GGAAATGATCATGAGACTGATTTACCTGCTCAGATATTGGAAATTGGCTATCTATAATAATAAAAGCATAATATGCTAATTAGACCAGCCAGCCAGACAATCTCCTGGACTAAGTGGGTCTGCAGTACTGAGACAAGCTACTGCAGCTGTGAGGACTGAGCCCCTTGCACAAATTTTGTGCATCGGGCCTCTAGTTAAATATAAACTAAAGTCTTATACTGAGGCAGAGACTTGGTTTGCCTGACATTCTTTCTGACTAGCATCTAAATGTTTTTTGGCTGATCAAATACAAATATTTAAAAGATGTGCACTGCTGAGGGAGAACCTAATAATTTCTGAAACTAGTTATTGTCTTTATTATTGGAAGGATTAGTAAGTTGAAATTTGATGCTAATTTTGAACATAGAACTTCATGGTTTTATTTTTAAATGTTGGACAGATTTTTCATTTGTGAGTGAAAGGATTCTCTTATGTAGTTTCTCCAGAGCCAAAAACAGAAATGAAGACCCTGAGATGGGCAATTTCACAGTTTGCTTCAGTGGAGAGGATTGTAGGAGAAGATAAATATTTCTGTGAAAATTGCCATCATTATACTGAAGCTGAACGAAGTCTTTTGTTTGACAAAATGCCTGAAGTTATAACCATTCATTTGAAGTGTTTTGCTGCTAGTGGCTTAGAGTAAGTATTATAAATAAACGCTATCTGAAGAAAATGAGATGCTATATAAGAAGTTTTGTTCAAAATAGTATAATATAAACTACTTCAATGAAGTAATTTATAAATATTGCCTTAGAAAAGTTTGTTCTCTTAAGTTTCCCTGTAAAAATGTATCAGTATGAACATACATTCTGTGATTTCTTCACACCTTTTCATTCCTTATCAGATATAGTTGAATTGATTAAAGCAGAGAACAAATTTTATATACATTAAGGTTTTTTTTAAGGGGAGAAGAAAGGCAAAATTATTTAGTTTTAAAGTTAGCCAGGAAATCAAACGAATCTGAGCAATTAGATTCTTCTATAGTTGAAAATTTAAATATCTAAAAGCAATTTAAAAAAACATAAAATATCAGTTGCATTTTGAATAGTCTGAATTTTTCTGACATGTACACATGTTGTGGATTTTATTCCTTTTTATATTAATGAATTTTTTAAATTACTATGAGAGCTTCCCAGAAGAACAACATATGATCCTTTCATTTTCTTATTGCACAAAATCAGTATTTTTCTTCGTGGGAATATTTTAAATATATTAGTTGGGGTCTTTTTTTTAAAACAATATTTTGTGTTTACTCTTAGGAACACTAAATATTAAGGGTTCCTTCAGACTCTTACTTGGTTTCACATTGGGTATATAAAATATATATGTGTGTGTTAGCAGAAAACCTTATTTATTTTTTCTTCTTCCAAAGGTTTGATTGTTATGGTGGTGGACTTTCCAAGATCAACACTCCTTTACTGACACCTCTTAAATTGTCACTAGAAGAATGGAGTACAAAGCCAACCAATGACAGCTATGGATTATTTGCAGTTGTGATGCATAGTGGCATTACAATTAGTAGTGGGCACTACACTGCTTCTGTCAAAGTCACAGACCTTAACAGTTTAGAACTAGATAAAGGAAATTTTGTGCTTGACCAGTTGTATGAAATGAGTAAGCCAGAACCACTGAATGAGGATGAAGCAAGAAGTGTGGTTGAAAATTACGATGATGAAGTGTCAATTAGAGTCAATGGAAACACACAGCCAAGTAAAGTTTTGAACAAAAAAAATGCAGAAGCTATTGGACTTCTTGGAGGACAAAAGAGCAAAGCAGATTATGAGCTATACAACAAAGTAGCTAATCCTGACAAAGGTACCAGCACAGCATTTGCTGAAAATAGAAATTCTGAGACTAACATTACTAATGGGACCCATGAGTCTGATAGGAACAAGGAATCCAATGACCAAACAAGCATTAACATGAGTGGATTTGAGAACAAAATTTCAGATGTAGTGCAAAGCTTAAAGGAGTATGAGGGGAAGTGGTTGCTTTTTGATGATTCTGAAGTAAAAGTTACTGAAGAGAAAGACTTTTTGAATTCTCTTTCCCCTTCTACATCTCCCACATCTACTCCTTATTTGCTATTTTATAAGAAACTATAGTGTACATTTTCCTTACGTGTGTGTATATATATATATATAAAAAGACAGACCCAGACAAACATTGATAAAGTTGATTACATCAAAAAGTCTAGCTTATCTTTTAAAGCTGTTGGATTACAATTGGTCTCTAGGTTTTTGTATAGTGAAATTTGAATTCCTGAAAACCATGTTAATTTTTAGAATTCATTTTCCTTAGTAGAGACTAGTGATGTATTATCTCTGGGGGAAAACTTGTGTATAGGTTCGTAATTGAATTATCCAAAATGGAAGCATTTAAACACTTTTGAATTTACACCTTTTTTTGTGTTCGCTTTTTAAAATAAAGTGCTTGTATTTGTATCTCCAAATTTTGGAGTAATTACATGTTTATAGGTCCTGTGGTTTTTCAGCTAAGCAGAATATCATTTCAGTACATTTACTTTTATAAGTCAGGAAGCCAAATATTTGATGGGCTGTAATAGAGGCACAAAGTCTGGAATATGTATGTATTCACAATGATGTGTACATTTTGTGCCTTGGGTCACTCTGAAAGTGTCACAGAAAACCTGGATAGTTCTATCTTCACAAGAATTTTATATGTACTTATGAAGGTGATTCTTTAGTAAATCTTTTTGGGCATGGACTAATTTGTATCTATCTCTTCATAGTCATATTCTGCACGATCTGTATATAGTATATGAAACTTAGAGGTCTGACCTTAAGTTTAACTTTTTAAAAAAATAAGGTCAATAAAATTTTAAATGCTTAACTATGTATACAAATGCTCATTAAAAAAAAAAAACTTGCTTATTTTTATCATAAATACATCTGGGTTCTCAGAATGTGTGATATTGAAGAACGCAAGTAGGCATAATTACCTTTAATAATACTTAATATTTTTTACTGTTGTAATGAAGAAACTTTGAAGTAGAATTCAAATTGTGCTTACTTAGTCCATCTAAGTTGTCATACTTAAAAGAAGTACAGTAAAAATTGTTAGTAGTTTAATCATTTGCACTCCGAACCATTCTGGACATTGGCTACCAGCTACTCGACGCTACTTTGCGAAACGTGCGTTAACTCAATTCCCCGTAATCACTAATAAACTGCAGTGTCCCCTGAGAGGGGACATCCGAGTGATATGCTAGAATTCCGATGTCCCCTGAGAGGGGACAGCGGAGTGCAAAGGGTTAAAGTAGAAATACAACTTTATGGAATCTAGAACTGGAAAACTTAAGATGATGCCTCGGGCACACAAAAAACTTCGTTAAATTTTCATTTTAAATATATTAAGTTTGTAAGTGGTCAATTATCTTATGCCTTGATAAAATACATTTTTGGTTAAGTTTGTAAGTGGTCAGTTATCTTATGCCTTGTTAAAATACATTTTTGCTATTTAAAAATAATTCTAAAGAATATACACTATTGGCTGAAACCGGTTTGGCTCAGTGGTAGAGCGTCAGTCTGCATACTGAGAGGTCCCAGGTTCGATTTCAGTCAGGGGCATGTATATTGGTTGTGGGCACATCCCCGGTAGGGGGTGTGCAAGATGCAGCTGGTTGGTGTTTCTCTCTCATCGATGTTTCTAGCTCTCTAGCTCTCTCCCTTCCTCTCTGTAAAAAATCAATTAAAAAAAAAAAAAGAATATACACTATTGGAATAACACCTTTATTCCATTTCAACAAATAAGAGTACCTATCAATTAGTTATATACACTGAGTGGCCAGATTATTATGATCTCTGAATGCATAATAATCTGGCCACTCAGTACCGTATATATCCTATATAATAAAAGGCTAATATACAAACTGCCCCCTTGGCCAGGACTTTGACCAGCAGGCAGGCCGGCCAACCACCCATGTCCCCTCTCCCTGGCCAGGCTGGCTGGGTCCCACCCATGCACGAATTCATGCACTGGGCCTCATATATATATATATATATATATATATATATATATATATATATATATGTGTGTGTGTGTGTGTGTGTGTGTGTGTGTGTGTGTGTGTGTGTGTATGTGTATATGTATGTATATATGTTATACACATACACTGAGTGGTTAGATTATTATATGTTTAGAGATCATTATAATATAGCCACTCAGTGTAGTTAAATAATGTCTTACATACTTCATAAGATGGTATGATATAAAAAGTCACGGCTCACCTCATTCTACATTCAGTATCACTAATAGAACTTTTTAAGAAACAGCTCTGAACATTATCTATCTGATGAAACAGGAATCACTAACAGAACTCTTAAAAAGAAATAGCCTGAACACCACCCATAAGCTTCTGACGGAGCAGTTCAAGGCCTCCAATACTTAAGGGGCAGCCAAGGTTAAGAACCTCTAGTATAAATTCCTTATAGGAGAAAGTTTAAAGGAAATTGTGTTCATGGTAAGTTACCAAGTGTTCTGTCTTAAGGGTAAGGAGTCAGAAAATAATCAGTAATGCAAGCTAATTATATAATTATATAAATACTAGAGGCCTGGTGCATGAAAATTTGTGCACACGGGGGTGGAGGGTGAGTTGGGTGTAGCAGTGTGTCCCTCAGCCTGGACTGCCTCTGGCGATGTCCACTTGCCAGCTTAGGTCTCCTGGATTGGACCTAAGCTGGCAGTCAGATATACCTCTGGTAGCCCAGGAGCCCTTGGGGGATGTCCACCTGCCAACTTAGGCCTGCTCCCTGGCTTATGCTGAGATGAGCTCCCCCTGTGGGAACACACTGACCACCAGAGGGCAGCTCCTGCATTGAGCATCTGCCCCCTGGTGGTCAGTGCATGTCACAGTGTTGCCTTTAGGGTAAATTTGCAAATTACCCTTTTATTACATAGGATTCAAGTTCTTGATATTGTCACAGATTCATTTGAAACTATTCAAATTTTACATAAATGCAATTTAATGAGAAATGACCTAGGGGTTTAATATCCTCTCCCTTATATCTTCCTACTTTCCGTACCCATGGAAAAGTATATGTACCTTTTTTTTGTTTTAAAGAATGTCCAATTCCAGCCTTTCCTTATTGTCTATCTGGATCCTTTGTCCCCAAATATATTTTTGAAGTTATACCTTGTTGACTTTTTGGTTAACCCCTTGTGATCCAACATTGTAGACTTATCTGAAAAACCTTTTCATAATTCAGTCTTTGGATTGATGTAAATAAGAATTTGAGATGATACTGCCAGTTATAAAGGTAGGTTGGAGGTGGGTAGATACTCTGACCTCACCTATGCACTTAGGAGAATCAGATGTTTTGGAGATCTTACTTTCTTAAGTGATTCATGTAACTGGTCAGATCAGAGGAATAGATTATAAATGATGATTTTCTGTAATCTATAATACTACACAAATAAAACATTGTCAAAACACTTCCAGAAAGCATTAATGCATTTTCTTGGGAAAATCTGCCAAGTAATTGAAATACATTTCCCCCGAAATTGTTGAATTTCTCGTAAAGTTAAAAATTTAAATTAATTGGTTCTTAACTTCAATTAAAACAACCAATTTTACATATTTTTGTAAAATCTATACAAGTATCAAAAAATATAACTTCTTAGCTGGTAAATTAAAGTCATACAGCAGCTCTTCGTGTTTTTATGGTGTAATAGCATTATGATGTAATAGTTTTGGTCACGAAAAAACTGATGACTGGCTTGTTTAATTTGGAAACAAATCATTCATTTTAGTCACAGTCATTAAACTGATACCATTATCATTAGTATAATAAAGTTGAAAGTCAAAGATCAAGCTACTGTCACTGGTGTTAGCTTTCCCAGTACTTAAAGTTATTTCTGCAATTTATTCTAAATCCCCCCTTTTTTGATGTCTAAATGCAAAATAGCTTAGAAACCAGTTTTAAGACTTCACAAACCAGTTATCAATGTCTTCACCCATTCATTCAATTTGGAACTTTGGGGCCATAAAGTGACTGTCAATTTTTATTTTCATTATGCTAGTTCTTGAATCAACTCTTAACTTATTTTTTGCCTTTGTCAATAAAGAAAGTTTTTAAAAGTCCCACTCAATAAAATTAGTGTAAATGTTCACATATTTAATAGTACCTTTAAAATAATCATTTACTACATTTAAAATGGTTCCAAAATGAATTATAAATGGTCATATAAATTAAAAAATACAAACCTAAAGTAAATAAAATTAACATTAGCTATGGTATAAATAATGATAAATGTATAGTGTACCCTTGAGTCATTAAAATGTCTTTAAAAAGATAACAGCACATTACCAGAATATTAGAAGCTATAGCCATGATTCTCAAACTTCAACAATCTACATTTGATTTGGCCACTGCATTCTTCATTGAGTAAATTAATGCTACGATTTTCTGATTTAAGTGCCAAGTCTTATTTTTCAATAGATCTTAACTTCTTGTCACACTCAATGTTGAATATGTGGCTCTCTTCAAATTAATAAAAACAAGTGTTTATTTTAGAGATCCATTTTGCGCAGGCTCATTCGACTGAAGGAATCTCTGGGAAGAAAAAGGATATAATTATAAGCAAGCAAACTTTGCAAACTTCTGTACATTACGCTTCACTTTTTTGTTCTGCCAAAGTTACCTCAAAGTTTTGCCACCAAAAAGTTAATAACTTTTAAAACTTTTTGTACCAAAGTTGTTATTAATGTTCAAATTAGTCTGCCTTACATATATTACTGTTTATAGACCTTTATAGATTAAAGTATATTGCAGTAAACACTTTAGCAAATGCATTGATCACTTAGTCATTTGTGCAATAGTAGCATTAGATATGATAAATAAGGAAATAAGGGGTAATGGGCAAGATTTCAGGACAAGATTTTTTTTTATATACAATTATTAAAAGGCAAAAGGCAAGGTGTGTTTAAAACAATAAATTTTTCTTAGTTTTAATTTCTAATATGGTAACTATAATTCACATAAACAAAAGTTTCCTGTGTACTCAATTTTTAAGTGTAAAAAAGTCCTAAAACTCAAAAGCTTAAGAACCACTGATTAAAGAATTGAAATTTAATGTTTTAGGGGGTTCTTTCAGAAGAGAAAGTAAATAAAGATAAAAATTATGAACAACAAATATGTAACTATTAACAAGTGAATCTAAAAACCAAGGAAATTAAAAAAAAATCTGATGAACAATATTAACTGTTGAATATAATAGAATTAGAGGTATGGAAGGGGAGTGAAATGATGATTCTTGGGGAAAAGGGGAGAGGGGGATGTAGGAAGAGACTGAACATAAACTGTGCACCTATGGATGAGGACAATGGGGAGTGGGGAAAGGGCAAAGGGTGGGATGGGAACCTGGTGGAGGAGAGCAATGGTGGGGGAGGAAAAAAGGAACATTTGTAATAATATGAACAATAAAAATTTATTTAAAAAAATTCAACTTATTTTTACAAAATAACCTATTACATAAATAGATTTATTAAAAATAACTCGGGCCGGAACCAGTTTGGCTCAATGGATAGAGAGTCGGCTTGGGGACTGAAGGGACCCGGGTTCGATTCCGGTCAAGGGCATGTACCTTTGTTGAGGGCATATCCCCAGTTGGGGGTGTGCAAGAGGCAGCTGATCGATGACTCTCTCTCATCGATGTTCCTAACTCTCTATCTCTCTCCCTTCCTCTCTGTACAAAATCAATAAAATATATATTTTTAAAAAAATGGAATTGCCTTTAAAAAAAAAAAAACTCGGAATAAATTTTACAGTAGTGGCATGCTTACATATTTAATGTCTGGCTTAATAAAAAGCCTAGGTTCTCATGTCTTTTACAATATCACGTTGCATGTAGTCTGGAAAACCACTGTACTTTCTCAAGAGAATGACAGTGAGAAAGGCAAATCATATTTGGTTTTATATAAAATTAGTTTTGACTCTGGAACTTCCTGAAAGGGCCTCAGGGGCACCCTCCCACAGAAGTTCCAGACCATACCTTAAGAACCACTATCTTAATACTGTATAAATAATTAATACTCTAGATTTTTTAAATCAGTAAAAAGTTTCAAATTCTAAGGAAGCTTTATTTTCTAAGTTCTAAAGATTTAGTTAATAGTGAGGAGACTAATATTCTTCAGTACCTCTTAATGTATTTTCCTTTATCCTGAATTTGTTTCATTTATCCTTCCTACTATTAAGGTTAATCCTTTTTTTTTAATTAAATCTTTTATATATATATTTTTTATTGATTTTTTATAGAGAGGAAGAGAGGAATAGAGTTAGAAACATCGATGAGAGAGAATCATCAATCAGCTGCCTCTTGCGCACCTCCTACTGGGGATGTGCCCGCAACCAAGGTACATGCCCTTGACTTGGAATCGAACCCGGGACCTTTCAGTCCACAGACCGACACTCTACCACTGAGCCAAACCTGTTTCGGCTATTAAGGTTAATCTTTGAGGTTTACAATCTCCAGGAAAGGAAAGGGCAGGTATAAAAAAGTCATGAGCTTTGAATTTCAAAGTGTGGGGTTTTTTTTTTTTTTGGTTCCAGAGAAAATAGCAGTATTAAAAGCTAGATAATGTTTATAAGAGCTTTTCTAAATTCCAAAGAACTTCTGCAAACATTAAGAAATGAATCTTGAGGGACTGACCATAATCAGTTGAGAAAGCAAAAGCTCAGGATAACTGTAAGGGAGTTCCCTTCAAATAGGAAGAATACAGTCTTTCCATTGACAAGTGGGAGAGATTTGAAGGAAGTGAGACAAGCATTAGGAAACTGCCTGACAACCTCAGGGACCCAGCACCCTCATTCTAGGTCACAAACAGTGTAAAACTGGTGGAAGGGGGTTAGAGGCAGCAAGAAGAAAAATTCCAAAGTGATTGAAGGAGAAGCCAAAAGTGGAGGGGACTAGTGTTGCTTCCCTCTGGCAATTTTAAGAAGAAGCCACCTTAGGTATTCACATCTGTACTGGATGGTGGAATCAAAATAATATTTGCCAGAGGAAGGATTTAATTCGGGCCCTCTGATCTCCCTCTGCTCCAGTAGATTGTGGAATAGATTCAAATAATATGCATGCTTCCTGTAGGAGACATGACATATAGCAGCCAGATAGTCGGCATTTTTTGAATGAATGTTTTTTTTCCAGAGGACTAAAAGTACAGAAATAGATTACTGAAGAACAAGGACTAATTTCCAGATGATTAAATAATTTTCTTTTGTAATATATTATAGCATGCATTTACATTATGTTCTCTTTTTTTTTTTTTTTTTTTTTTTATTGATTTTGTACAGAGAGGAAGGGAGAGAGATAGAGAGTTAGAAACATCGATGAGAGAGAGTCATCGATCAGCTGCCCCTTGCACATCCCCTACTGGGGATGTGCCCGCAACCAAGGTACATGCCCTTGACCGGAATCGAACCCAGGACCCTTCAGTCCCCAAGCCGACGCTCTATCCATTGAGCCAAACCGGTCCTGGCCATTATGTTCTATTATAAGCAACTTCAAAGGCCCTCTGAATATTAATTAGGTAAGTATAATTTAATGGCTTTACCCTTATTAATTCAGAAGGTGGTAACATATTGGTGCCACAATAATTCAAGTTATATATATATATTTAGGTTTCAAAATGCAAAAGCAGTTTACCTTACCATGTCTTGTCCAGAATTGAGGCACTAAAAAGTACAATGTTAAGTACCATCCTTGGAAATGTACATGCCATTTAATGTCCACAACATCATTTTCAAGGTAAGAAATTTTAGAGGAGAAATCTAAAAATTAGGTTAAATTACCTGCTCAAGTACAACTAGGATCAATTGTAGAAAATTCCAAGTTATTTCTATTTCTAACTTTTTGTGTCATACTTGGAAAGTAGAGAAAAATACTGAAGCCTTCTTGATACCCAATGTGGCTGTGTGTTTTAATACAAAAGAAGAACACTACATATACTATTTACTGCCAGGGCTGAAGGAAACAAATGCTTGGTTCCTGACATACTCCAGTGAATTCTCCCACAAAAATACTAGGAAGTGTGACAGGACTTTAATAAAAGGAGTAGTTTTAAGAGGCCAGACTTATATATGGTCCTGGTTAGTATGAGTATTTAACACAACTTTGTGATTCTTGAATTACATACATAACTTGGAGGCTGATTCATGTAGAGATATAAAAGGCTTATTATTAGTTGAACTTGTCAGGAGACACAGTATCTAAAATCATGTAATAAAAGTTACACTAATTCATTATTAAAACAAATAATTCAACAGATTTTGTTTTTCTGAACATATACCAAACAATAAAAAAATGAGCATACCTGTGGCAGGTGACAGGTAATACTACCTTGTATAACTGAGGGATCTTTCTGTTTATCAGAGGCTGTAGGGCCTCTTTAAGGCGATGATAGTTTCTCTCCAGTTCTCTTTGATACTCCTTTTGATCTGGCCCAATTAAGCTCTTATTTTTTCTTAAGGCATCTTCACACCTAGAAAAAACAGTGATGTCAAAAACTTTCTTCTGGTATAGTTTGAGGGGTTAGGGCCATATACTGACTGTATACACACACACACACACACACACACACACACACACACACACACATACATATACATTCCCCATGATGACATTCAAGTTTCTTGGTTGATTGTTAAATATTCTGTCTTATATTAGGTTTAAGAAAGGGAACAGATGATAAACTGTTTAAAATCATTCACTTCCAGTTTTCATTTAATTGAAAATTATTTTATTCAATGAAAATTTAACAAGAAAAAAACTGTATTTTTTAATATTAATTCTGAAGCATTTTTCCTCCCTCCTATTACCACTAAACTTAAAGCTCTAAACTAAAAGAAATATAATAGCCATATTCATTTATGATGCAACAATGGCATCTGGTACACTGGTCTGCCTGTGTCCTAGTGTTTCTAAATGAATAGCTCTTGAGAATAGTTTATTCAGATATTTGAGGAAAAAATATCTGACTCTGATAGATAAATGAAAGGATATTAAAAGGCAATGTAGCCCTAGCTGGTTAGCTCAGTGGATAGAGCGTCAGCCTGCAGACTAAAGGGTCCCGGGTTCGATTCCAATCAAAGGCATGTACTTTGGTTGGGGGCACATTCCCAATAGGGGGTGTGCAGGATGCAGTTGATCGAAGTTTCTCTCTCATCTATGTTTCTAAGTCTATCCCTCTCCCTTCCTCTCTGGAAAAATCAATGAAATATATTAATAATAAAAAAAAAAAGACAATGTATACAGATCACCACTTGCAGAACGTATCGAAAGTATTGCTCAGAGGAGAATATACAGCCCAAATGCTTACATTAGGAAAGAAGGCTAAAACTGAAGAGCTAAGCAATCTAAAAAGAACAAAATAAACTTGAAGTATAAGGAAGGAAATTAAAAGTATGACAGCTATATATGAATAAATAAAAAAATTGGTTCTTTCAAAGGAAAAAAAAAAGACTAAGCACTGGCAAGATTAAATGAGAGAAGGCTAAATAATTCCTATTAAAAATTAATAATGAGACAAAGTCAAATACAGAAGTTTATAAAGGTACAGAGGATATTATGTATAATTTAATGCAATAAATCTGGAATTATACTCTTCTAGATTAATATAATTTATCAAAACAGACTTAAGAAAAAAAAATTATCCTAAAATCATCAAATACATAGAATCAGTCAAGTCACAAATCTATCCCCAAAGTAAACACTAATATGTAAATTCTAACAAACACTGTAAAGATGAATAATCCCAATGTGACAATTCCAGATTATTAAAAAGAAAATCTGAAATATATAGGGTGGGAGGGGGGAAGAGGAGAACTATTCCTGAGACGAGTTTCCAACTCATTTTTCAAGGTTGGGATACCAAAACCTAATGGGAACTACAAGAAAAAATTTTATTTCATTTTTAAAAATATATTTTATTGATTTTTTACAAAGAGGAAGGGAGAGGGATAGAGAGTTAGAAACATCGATGAGAGAGATTAGCTGCTTCTTGCACACTTCCTACTGGGGATGTGCCTGCAACCAAAGTACACGCCCTTGACCGAAATTGAACCTGGGACCTTTCAGTCCCTCTATCCACTAAGCCAAACCGGTTGGGCAAAAAAATTGTATTTCAATCTCATCCTTAAAAACAATTGCAGCCAAAACCAATACTAATTTCCTTCCTCTTTGAAATTAATAAAAATATATTTAAAACAAAACAAAAAAATTCTTAGCCTAAGTACAAATAGGTGGGAGCCTCTTTAGTTAAAACATCTACAAAAAACCTGAAGTAAACATTATACTCAACAGTGAAAACATTTCCTTTTAGATCAGAAATAAGAAAAGGATGCCTCTATTACTGTTACCATTTAACAGAGTGCTAACAATCCTAAACATCACTGTAAAAATATTCTACAAGTTAATTATTAGAATTAACAAGTTTGGCAATATTCTTATGTAAAATATATCAGTATATGCATTTCTGTATACCAATAAACAAAACATAATTTAAAAAGATACCATTAACAAAAATATAAAAGTATTAAATATCAAGGAGTAAATAAAAAAAAAATATACAAGGTCTCTATGGAAAATTAAAATAATATTAAGAAAACAGAGAATCCAAGATGGCTACACGGGTAAACACCTAGCCGCAGCCACACACAACAATTTCAATAAAATACAACTAAAATATTAAATGGACATTACCCAGAACTACAGGAAAGTCGACTGACTGGAAATTCTACAAGCAGCAAGGAGAAAACCAGAAGGAAGCACGGAGGAGCTGTAAAAGCCTAAGGTATGGAGATACAAGGTGCGCGCAGAGAGGACGGAGCCTGAGAGGAGGGCGGCTGAGTGCCTGGCTGGCATTCCCTAGCGGGAAGGAGATAAAAGCTCCGACTGTGCTGAACCCTAGACCCGACAGCGCTGAACCCCAGTTCTAGGCCAGACCCCGCGGACCCAGGCTCATCCATAGGGAGCTGGGCTGTAAGGCAGAACCCCGGGGGAGCGGCAAAAGGAGGTCCCGGAGGCGCGCAGAGAAGGGATGGTTGGCTGTGCCATGGAATTGCTCTGGCGGGAAGGAAACTGGGGCTCCAGATTGCTCTCAACACCACCTCCAATCCCACTTCCAACTGAACTGAACCCCAGTTCCGGGCTCATTGGGGAAGAGCCTAGACTGTTTGGTAGCAGGCGAAAATCAAGGGCACCTTTCTCTCAGAGGGGCTTGCAGCGAGTACCGAAGGACCCTGAGGAATACTGAGACTCAGGAGTCACATAGGGCGGGACTGACGGAAGCCAAGGCTGTAGGCTCCACCCTGAAACTCCGCCCCATCAGGGAAGCTGCGAAAATGCCGAGATGAAATAGATCACAAACGAAAGAAATAGAGGACAAAAAGCGACTGGATATAGAGTTCAAATCTATGCTTATAAGGTTTTTCAAGAATTTCCTAGAAAAGGTCGATAAGACCTGTGAGGATATGAAAAGGGATCTAGAATTAATAAGGAATCAATGAGAAATGATAAGGGATCAACAAGAAATAAAGAATACATTGTCTGAAATAAAAAATATTATACAGAGTCCTAAAAACAGAATGGAAGATCGCAAGAATCAAGTCAAAGATTTGGAACATAAAGAGCCAGAAGACACTCCTCCACAGAAGCAAGAAGGCAAGAGAATCCAGAAAATTGAAGATGATGTAAGAAACCTCTGGGACAACTTCAAGTGAACCAACATCAGAATTATGGTGGTCACAGAAGATTAGAGAGAGCAAGATATCGAAAACATATTGAATGAAATAGTGACAGAAAACTTCCCCCATCTGGTGAAAGAATTAGACTTACAAGTCCAGGAAGCGCACAGAACTCCAAACAAAAGGAATCCAAAGAGGACCACACCAAGACAAATCATAATTAAGATTCCAAGAGCAAAAGACAAAGAGAGAATATTAAAAGAAGCAAGAGCAAAGAAGGTAGTTACCTATAAAGGAGCACCTATACGATTGTCAGCTGATTTCTCAACAGAAACCATGCAGGCCAGACGGGAATGGCAAGAAATATTCAAGGTGATGAATAGTAAGAATTTACAGCCAAAGATAATCTACCCAGCAAAGCTATCACTCAGAATCGAAGGCCAGATAAAGAGCTTCACTAATAAAAAAAAGCTAAAGGAATTCATCACCACCAAATCAGAATTATATGAATTGCTGAAGGGGGTTCTTTCAGAAGAGAAAGTAAATAAAGATAAAAATTATGAACAACAAATACATAACTATCAACTAGTGAATCTAAAAACCAAGGAAATTAAAAAAAAATCTGATGAACAATATTTACTGGTGAATATAATAGAATCAGAGGTATGGAAGGGGAGTAAACTGACGATTCTTGGGGAAAAGGAGAGAGAGGGATGTGGGAAAAGACTGAACATAAACTGTGCATCTATGGATGAGGACAATGGGGTGTGGGGAAAGGGCAGAGGGTGGAATGGGAACCTGGTGGAGGAGAGCAATGGAGGGGGGGCGGGGAAGGAACATTTGTAATAATATGAACAATAAAAATTTACTTAAAAATAAAAATAAAAATAAAAAATTAAATAAAAAAAGAAAACATTTAAAAGATGTCAGTAAATGAAGAAATACGCAACTATTTTTTCATTATGAATCACTTTTCTATATTTTCTCTTTTCAGTTATTCCTTAAGACACTTATTTTACAGTGTGGTTTTAGACATTCTCAATTTGAAGAGCTTTATGTAGGAAGCCTTGAATACCTTTTAGTAAAATCTTTAAAGCAGAGTCGCAGTTTATTATGATGTCTGAAGAGTTTTGGGTCACTGGGTATTTCAGATAGGAAAACCTGAGCAACTTCCAAAGGCCCCTGTAAAATAAGAAAAACAAGAGGTGTGTTTTGTCTTCTCTAAAATCAGAGATAGAAGCTACCTGAATGATTTTTCTTACCACTAAAATGGCTGCATCTAAGCTTAATGCATATGTACATGTGACAGGATCTGGTCATATGTTTTTAGTTTTTCCTAATGTCAAGTCTATATTCTTGCCGACAAAATTTAAATTAAATTCTTGGGCTACTAGCAATCAATTGTTAATTCAGATTATTAGACTTGATTTCCTGAAACATTTCCTCTACATTCAAAATCTGTTCCCAACACTGTAAATTAAAGAAGATAATCTTTTGCAAGTTATATTATTTGGAGCTAAGATCTCCAAATATTGTGTTTTAAGGGGTTAAAGGTCTTAAAATGTTTGCTTCTCGCTGAAACCAGTTTGGCTCAGTGGATAGAGTGTCGGCCTGTGGACTGAAAGGTCCCAGGTTCGATTCCGGTCAAAGGGCATGTACCTTGGTTGTGGGCACATCGTCAGTAGGGGGTGTGCAGGAGGCAGCTGATAAATGATTCTCTCTCATCGATGTTTCTAACTCTCTATTCCTCTCTCTTCCTCTCTGAAAAAAAATCAATAAAAAAATATATTAAAAAAATGTTTGCTTTTTTGGCTTTATTCCTTAAACCTAAAAAATAGGGTAAGACAGCCCAACTGATGTGGCTCAGTGGTTAAGCATCAACTTATGAACCAGGAGGCCTTGGTTCAATTCCCGGTCAGGGTACATGACCAGGTTGTGGGCTCAATCCCAAGCAGGGTTGTGTAGGAGGCAGCTTATCAATGATTCTTTCTCATTATTGATGCTTCTATTTCTCTTTCCCTCTTCTTTCCTTTGTGAAATCAATAAAAATATAAAGAAAAAATAGTATAAGACATATTATATGAAATCTTACTTGAAGCCTGTCTGGATTTCCTCTTACCTTGGAATATTCCCTAATCATCATCAGAGAGACAATGGAATGCCTTCTAATCTACATGTGACAAACCAACAGTACTCTTTTGTGTATATATATATTATTAAAATTTCAAAATGATTCCACATTACTTATTTACTCCTCACAGTTCAGTGTGGCAATCTGGAGGAAATAACATCAGGAAATATGAAAAAGAGTAAGCATTCACATGCATGTACATAGCTCTGAAAATGAACCTTCCTTTTTGAGCACATTTTTTTAGTACAAAAAGGAAAGTCTATTCTAAGCGAACCAATTCCTCCTCCTCCTCCTCCTTCTTCTTTTTAATTCTCACCTGAGGATATTTTTCCATTGATCTTTTAAAGAGAGTAGAAGAGAGGGAAATTCTGATAGAAATATCAACATGAGATACACACATTGATTGGTTGCTTCCTGCACAAACTCTGACTAGGGTCCAGTCTGGGGAGGAGCCTACAACTGAGGTAGGTGCCCTTGACCAGAATTGAACCCGAGATCCTTCAGTCTGTAGGCCGGTACTCTATCCGCTGAGCCAAACTGGCTAGGGCCTAACTCCTTCTTAATGGAATGTTTAAGAACAGGCAGATAGAAAAATCTAGGCAGGGTAGAAGGCAGGAGTGAAAATATTTACCATTGAGATGATACTAAAAACTTTTCCCAGTTTACCTTCATATTTATACTTTCAGTGTCTTTTGTGACCAGTTTTAACATCTTTTTCACTTAATTTGGAACTTATTTGTAATCTTTGTAAAATCTATATATATAGAAGCCAAGTGACCAGAAAGACCGATTGCTATGACACACACTGCCACTGGCCAACTCCCCCAGCCCCTCCTCCTGGATGGTCCAGCCCCCGATTTTCCCCCTCTATCCCTGATTGGGATGGGCTGGCCAGATCCCACATATGCACAAATTTATGCACCGGGCCTCTAGTATAATGATAAAATCACTCCAAATTGCATTCATAACTTAAACAGTGCCAGCAGAAAGCACCAACCTGATTCACAGTTGTGCCCACAGAACCCTGGAGCACCATCTGAAGCATTTTGGGATCTGCTGGATCCTGATGTGTTGCAAATGCCAACTCCTGTGTCTTTTTCTGCATGTCTTCAATAGCAACTTCAATTGGTGTTAAGATGATCTGGATGAAATAACATCTGTTAGGTCAGTGTACTGATAGAAAATTATTTAAAGAGCTTTATATATAATCAATTAATAAAAAAAGTGGAGACCAATTGTAAATTGTCATCCTATCTAATAAAAGAGTAATATGCAAATCAACCATCACTCTACTACACCCACAAGCCATGTCCACCAGCCAATCAGAAGCAAGTATGCAAATTAACCCAACCACGATGGTTATGGCCACAGAGAGAGTAGGAGGGAAGGTTGGGTGTCCCCAGCGATGGAAGCCAAGCTTTCCATATACCCTGGCGGGCCCAGGCCTCTGCTTAAGGCTACAAAATTTCAACTATAGAAGATCCATAAATCCCAACAGAAATGGCAGCAGCTATGGAGCTGGAGAAAGCAGGATGCTAGGGTTTCCCATGGCAATGGAAGAAGCCAAGCTTCTGTAGCCCTGGCCTGCTTTGGACTCCACTTAAAACTACAAAGTTTCAATTATAGAAGATAAATAAATCCCAACAGAAATGGCTACCAGAGCGAGAAGAAAGCTTGGCTCTGCTCCTGACTACAAAGTTTCAATTGTAGAAGATAAATAAATCCGACACAGGGTTTTTATTGGGTCACTGGGGGGCGTGACTGGCCTGCAAACCATCACAGGCCCCTTGCCCAGGCCACCCCACGCTCCAAAGGAACCCCCACCCTGATCTGGGACACCCTTCAGGGCAACCCAGCTGGCCCCCACCTGTGCACCAGGCCTCTATCCTATCTAATAAAGGAGTAATATGCAGATTGACTATCACTACAACACACAAGATGGCTGCCCCCATGTGGACACAAGATGGCCAGGAGGGGAGGGCAGTTAGGAGGGACCAGGTCTGCAAGAAAAGGCAGTTGTGAGCGATCAGGCTAGCAAGGGAGTAGGTGGGAGGGACCAGGCCTGCAAGGGAGGGCAGTTGTGGGCAATCATGCCTACAGGGGAGGTCCATTAGGGATAACCAAGCCGGCAGAGGAAGGAAGTTGGGGGCAAACAGATTGGCAGAGGAGCAGTTAGACATCAATCAAACTGGCATAAGAGTGGTTAGGGGGTGATCAGGCTAGCAGGCAGAAGCGGTTAGGGGCAATCAGGAAGGCAGGCAGGTGAGCAGTTGGAAGCCAGCTGTCCTGGATTGTGAGAGGGATCCCAGATTTGAGAGGATGCAGGCTGGGCTGAGATACACTCTCCTCACCCTGTGCACAAATTTCTTACACCAGGCCTCTAGTGTAATAATAAAATCCCAAACTTAGGATGCCTTAATAAAAAATCACCTAAGTAGCCAAAACCAGTTTGGCTCAGTGGTAGAGCGTTGGCTTGCAAACTGAACGGTCCCAGGTTCGATTCCGGTCAAGGGCATGTACCTTGGTTGCAGGCACATCCCCAGTGGGGGTGTGCAGGAGGCAGCTGGTCGATGACTCTCTCTCATCCATGTTTCTGACTCTCTATCTCTCTCCCTTCCTCTCTGTTAAAAAAAAAAAATCAATAAAAATATATTAAAAAAAAAATCAATCAGAATTATGGGGGTCCCAGAAGATGAGAGAGAGCAAGATATCGAAAACATACTGAAAGAAATAGTGACAGAAAACTTTCCCCACCTGATGAAAGAATTAGACTTACAAGTCCAGGAAGCGCACAGAACTCCAAACAAAAGGAATCCAAAGAGGACCACACCAAGACAAATCATAATTAAGATTCCAAGAGCAAAAGACAAAGAGAGAATATTAAAAGCAGCAAGAGCAAAGAAGGTAGTTACCTATAAAGGAGCACCTATACGATTGTCAGCTGATTTCTCAACAGAAACCATGCAGGCCAGACGGGAATGGCAAGAAATATTCAAGGTGATGAATAGCAAGAACCTACAGCCAAAGATAATCTATCCAGCAAAGCTATCACTCAGATTCGAAGGTCAGATAAAGAGCTTCACTAATAAAAAAAAAAGCTAAAGGAGTTCATCACCACCAAACCAGAATTATATGAATTGCTGAAGGGGGTTCTTTCAGAAGAGAAAGTAAACAAAGGTAAAAATTATGAACAACAAATACGTAACTATCAACAAGTGAATCTAAAAACCAAGGAAACTAAAAAAAAAAAAAAATCTGAGGAACAATATTAACTGTTGAATACAATAAAATCAGAGGTATGGAAGGGGAGTGAACTGTTTATTCTTGGGGAAAAGGGGCGAGGGGGATGTGGGAAGAGACTGAACATAAACTGTGCACCTATGGATGAGGACAATGGGGAGTGGGGAAAGGGCAGAGGGTGGGGTGGGAAAGGGGGGAAAGGAACATTTGTAATAATATGAACAATAAAAATTTATTTAAAAAAAAAATCACCTAAGTAAAGGCTGAGTGTGAACTAGGGACTTAGAAAAGAAGCTTAAAGTAAGTAACTTAAAAAATGGATCAAGTTCTAGTATGCTACCACATGAGGGGTGGTATATAAAGGCATATCCACACTGTTCTCACATGGCTCCAATGTATTAATTTCACCAGTTCTGTTTCCTCATTTGTGAACTTACCTCCTCTTTGTGAGTAACATTGACCCTTGTCTTAATATAAGGAAAAGCATGAGAAGTGGTCAGTATGGTCTTCCGTTTGAATTGTTCATGAAGTTCCCCATGGGCACGACCATCTAAAGTGAAGGGTGTACAGTACATGAAACGGCGAAGATTATAATTTTTGTCAAAATATGTGATTCTGTCCTTCATCTCATATGTGTCAAAGTACGGCTCCACATAGGTAATCTGAATATATGCCTGGGAAAGGAAAAAGTCATTCGTTTTCTCACTGATAAATCATTACACAGTCTCTCTCCAACAACATCACAGTCTCAAAAACATGTCTACATATCATACAGTTTAAGCAACCATACCTTGTTAGGATCTAATTTACACTTGTCTACAGGATTAGAATCCTTGATTACTTCAACCACATCCTCTCCAAATCTTTCTCCATAAAATCCCTACAAGAAAGAAAAAGAAATCTTTCACATGATGCTTACAGTATTATAGACTAGAGAAGGCCTCTGAAGGAGACTCCTGAGCAAGGTTAGGCCATTTAGTAAGCTTATGTACAACCATGTTAATAATTACAAAGGAAATTATATTTAGCCTACAAATTAGCCCAGTCTCAGTCCATATTTATGTGATATTATTTCCATTTACTTTTTTAAAATAACACAAAGCGGAAGAAAACAACAGTCTTTCTTCAATAAAAATTCAGGTTTTCACAATAGGTCCTCAAGAAATACAAAAAAGGACAGAAAGCAAAAACAAAAGAAACTCAGTATCTTTGATTTATAGATCTTACTTTTTTTTTTTTTTTTTTTTACATATTTTTGTTAAATTATTATTTGTGTACATATTTTAACATTGCCCCCCTAGGTCTTTTATTGTATCTGATGTGGCCTGATTTCTTGCGGACATGGGTCAATGAAGAAGCATTCAATTTTATGAATGATTACATGCAATGCTCTAGAATTTCAAATAAAAGCACTAACTTGATGAAGTTTTACTTAGGTTTAGATTTTGAAAAGGCAACCCTGGGTCAAGAATGCAGTGACTTTTCCATATGACACTGAGTAGCAGCATGGGCAATGAATGGAGCTATTCAAAAGAAAAAATTAAATCTGAATCTTCAAAGGAGAAACCCTACTCTTCCCCCAAAGGTAATTTTTATGATTAAATTTGAGGAACACTGTCTCCATATTTCCCAAGACTTACCTAGCCTCTTAAACTATGACTTAGAATTAAGTCACAGTTTAAGCCAATTTACAGAAATCGATACCAGTAAAGTCATCAATAATCCCAACAGAAATGGCTACCGGATCGAGCATAAATAAGAATAAAACATTCAAAAAATTAACAATTTTGTTGAGAATAAAAACAAGCCGCGAGCAATGTTTCTCAAACTCTTAAGTGAATACAAGTCACCTAGGATCTGGTTAAAATGCAGATTATTATTAGGAAAGCCTGGGTCAGAGCCTGAGACTCTGCCTTCCAAGCAATCTCCCAGCTGATGCCAGTGCTTCTGGTCGCTGAACCACACTTTGAGTGATAAGAATAGAGAAAGGTTGGAAAGCAAAATGATAGCAGAAAAGATAATTCCTTGTACTCTAAAGGACAGTTTATTTGGCATGATGTGTATTATCAGAAGATTAGATTTGGATCTGAAAGTCTACTCTCATTGGGAATTAAAGATGACATTGTATGAACCACGACAGCATTCACCTCCAGTCTGTGAGATATCTCTGCAAGTTTGGTTATTGCAGGCTCCTTGTAAACAAATTCCTGTTCATCCAAATCCCCAAACTTGGTTCCATAAAAACCAACACGAAAATAGGTGCCAAACATCCGCTTCCCATCCTAGTTTAGGAAAATAAAGAAACTTTAATACAAAGTCTTTTTGTTTTTGACATTATGCTTAATTACTATAATATAAAATTCCCAAAACACTGCAAAAAGTTTTAATTAAAAATTACAATACTTTGTTATTTCCCAAATGAAGATAAAAACAAAGCAATAACTTTTCCTCTTTCAATATTTCTAACAAATAACATTATAGAACTGGCCTTTCACCAACTGAATAAATCACACATGATATATGCTTTTTTTTTTCCTTTTCTATTTTATTTTATTTTTTATTTTTTAAAATATATTTTATTGATTTTTTTTTGCTCCCCTCACTCCCTCCCCACACATGATATATGCTTTTTAACATTTGTACCAAGTGACTACTTCACATTGGTTTATGTTTTAAGTCCATACACTTGAAATAAATTCACTTATTTTCCTTATTGCAAGAAAAGATGTTCAGTATGATATGGACTGTGTCTTAACTGTTCTGAAATTAGAGCATACTACATAAAAACACTAACATTTTTAGTTAACAGCCTTATATAATCTCTAAATATAATAAATTAGATAATAAAAGTTAGGAGCCAAGTATAGCACTGGGCATAGAGCAGTCAATCAGTAAATGCCAAGACCATCCAGAAGCATTAAAGCAAAACATTTATAATCAGTAGACCTGTGCTGATAAAAATATTTGGATGAGTAACTAAAAATGAAATAGAAAAGGAAAAATGTAAAACGGAAAGCTAAAAGGGGGAAAAAATTGATAGGAGTTACGTAGTTATTTGTCAGTCCTCAAACCACTCACTTCATACATTAACCACACATTAATTTCAGGTATGAAGTACATTACAGTCACTTTTACACAGAGCATTTGGAAACAAATTCCTTCAATAAAGATAAAATAGTTGGAAGCTTTCTATGCAATTCTTTCAATTTAGATACAAAGATATTTTAGGATTTTGTGGTGGCTCCTACATACACAGCACACATAAATATTTAACCCTAATGTGTCCCATACTTATTTTTCCTATATTGAGTTCTTACTATAAAGGCAAAGGGCATGTAAAATAAATCACAAATGTCACAGATAATCAATCAAAATGGAAAAGTCTGATCCTTAATTTATCAGTTTTATAATTAAAAAAAAGGTACATATTAAAATACCTCACATTTTTGTCAAGATTTAAAGTTTTTTTAAAAAGACTTTGGAGCCAAATAAATGTGAGGTTTCTAATTTAAATTTTTTCCACAAGTTATTTCATTTCAAAATTTAACAGACGTAAAAAATTAACTGATTTCTATACCAAAGGAAATCTTTCCAGATAGATTAAATGTATTCAACAAAAATTCTGATAAAAATTATCAACTTGCTAATGGAATAATATAATAATAGCAAATTTTGACATAATTAAGGAACAAAGAAAACAGTGCATGGGAAATAAAAATTATTTTAAAAAATGAATGACTTGTGATTATTTTTCAAAACATTATATACATGAAAATTCCAACAAATATTAAAATATTGTTATTCTGGCTGTACTCCTCTGAGAGGTTTCCAATTTAAGATACTATTTCAAATCTTCAATATGATGATTTTGGCCTTTTATATATTTGAAGACAGCTATTAAAATTTATTTCCTTTAGCTATACTTTCCATATGAGAGTAATCACTATCCTGTGTGCATTTTATTTGTTTTTTTCAATGCCATCTTTTTTAAAGCGTTGTGCCTCAGAAATAAATCTAATACTGTTATCAATGAGGCTCACTGCCTCCCTGGATCTGGACTTGAATATTATTAATGCTAACTTTAAAATTGAACTATGAGCAACCATTTAAACTCTTTCTTTACTTTCCATAATAAAATCCAGTTCAAAGAAAGACATTGAGTGCTTATGATGTGTTAGCCACTATTCATCAGTAACAGGAACATAAAAATACAATTTGGCTCCTCAAGAGAGTAAAAAATGTATTAAAATAATTACAATATGAAGGGTTATGTGCTAAAAAGTTGTACCAAAAAATATTAATCCTTTTGGAGCCAGGTCACAAAAGGGATAACACAGTCAGGGTTCTACAATTTGAGAATGAACACTGGATTGTGGGAGGAGAAAAGGACATGCTAGCGGACAAAGAGGGAAAATCATGAAACAGAATGTCTGTAAGGGAAACCATCCATTCACATATTTGAGTGCCTCCTATGTGTCAAAAACTATCCTAGACATTTGTGATAAATCAATGAACAAAGACATGAAGAAAGTGAGTTATTCATGTGGATCTCTGGGGGAAGTGTATTCCAGGCAGAGGAAAGAGCCAGTGCAAAGGCCCAAGGGCAGGTGCCTACCTAATGTGTTCAGAGAACAGGAAGGTGGCCAGTGTGACTGACGCAGAATTAAGGGCTAACTATATGGAGTTGCTGGAATTAAAAATGAATGTGTGCATACTAAAGTGAAGGAGGGAGCAACAGAGGTAGGAAAATTAAGAGTCTGAGTAAATTTACTTTCTTTCTGTTTAAAAAAATATATTGTTGAAAGTATTACCTAGATCCCTCTTTTCTTCCTCATTGCCATCCCCCCTGCAACTCCCCAATCAGTAAATTTATTTTTTATTATTATTATTTTTTAATATATTTTATTGATTTTGTACAGAGAAGAAGGGAAAGAGATAGTTAGAAACATCGATGAGAGAGAGTCATCGATCAGCAGCCTCTTGCACACCCCCTTCTGGGGATATGCCCGCAACCAAGGCACATGCCCTTGACCGGAATCGAACCCGGGACCCTTCAGTCCCCAAGCCGACACTCTATCCATTGAACCAAACCGGTCTCGGAGTAAATTTATTTTCAACTTAAGAGTTCTCCAGTGTCAAACCACTGATGCTATCAGGCTCATGAAAACATTAACACATAGCTTTATCTTCAGGAAAAACGTCACTTCCATCTTTATTTTCTCTCCAGAGTTTTGGACCACAGAATAACTGTTTTCCTTTGAATTTGAAAAATAAAAATCCACTTTTCTTAAACCTAGCGTATGATTTTCTAACATAATCTTCCTTTACTGATATGAACTCTCTTGGACTTCCCACATACTTCAACTTATTCTTTCTTAGCAGTTCTACTTATTGGCTTGCACAATCTTTTGGTTGATGAAAATGTCCCAGACAAGGAAATCCATCTACTCATCTATCCATTTCTCTAATGGTTGGAATTTCTTATGAGAAATATATCTTTTTTTTTAATACAGAAGTTTTTGTTTTAAAAAAATATATTTTATTGATTTTTTACAGAGAGAGGAAGGAAGAGAGATAGAGAGCTAGAAACATCGAAGAGAGAATCATCGATCAGCTGCCTCTTACACACCCCCCGCTGGGGACGTGCCCACAACCAAAATACATGCCCTTGTCTGCAGGCCAACGCTCTATCCATTGAGCCAAACAGGTCTTGGCGAGAAATATATCTTAAATCTGTATTTTATAAGAAAGATTCTGTTAGGCTGGTTATATATTTCTACAATGACATCACTTCTATAACTTCTTTTATCCTTACTCAATTGTTACCCCCTCTATTTCCTTCAAGTTAACTGATTTCCATCAAGGCATACCAGTATTTCACACAGTGGTAGTTCCCTTCTATTAGATCTGTTCCTCTTAAGAGATCACACTGCCCTGGCCAGTGTGGCTCAGTTGGTTGGGCGTCATCCCATGTATCAAAAGATTGCCAGTCTGATTACCAGTTAGGGCACACGCCCGGATTGTGGCTTCAATCCCTACTAGGAGGTGTGCAGGAGGCAGCCAAACAATGTTATGTTCTAATTTCGATGTTTCTCTCTCTCTAAATCAATTTTAAAAAACCTTTAAAAAAAAAAGTAACATTAAAGTAACATACTTAAAGAGAGAGAACACTTACATACTTTTATCAGTTTATTTAGTCACAGATCTCAATTTGGGGACATTAACACCTCTTAGATTTTATTAACCAAATTGTGTTAGGATTTCAAGTAATGGTACAAATAATGATGATAATGAATATAGTACAACAAAAACAATAATCTCCAACATTTTTGACTACTTAGTGTGTGCTAGACACTGGCTATCCACTTTATATGAAGTATGTCAATTTTTATCTCAATTTTGAGTAAGGTACCATTCTTTCCTCCCTTATTTTAGGAAAAGGGAAAGTAACTTGCCCAAGGTCACATTTGGAGACCATACTGTGGTGGAGATGGGGGTTAAATCTCAATATATTTGACACCTTAGTCCAAGTTCTTAATTAGGCTATCTATTCCCCATACTCTATATATACTGGTATACAAAAACTAGAACATAAATATATATACCATTTGAGACTTCTCTTGTTTTCCCTGAGAATTTTTGAGAATTTCCTTGAGTAATTATGTGGTACTTCTCTTCCTATATTTTGTCGTTCTCTACCTTACAACTATATTCTACTATGAATACAAATGACCTATTTTTAATATAAATTGATCACTATTTGGTAAAGATATCTTTTAAAAATGAAATGCACATATAATATATGAGGTGGTTATAAAAATATCCAAACAGAAACTCAACATTTCTCTTTTTAAATAAAAACAATTTAAAATGCAATAAGAAATGATTAAAGCACATTGTATTTCCTATTATTTAAAAAAAAATAGATGTAGGAAAAGAAAAAATAAAAGTGAACAGCAAACAGCCAGCGAGGTACTGAAACTGGACAGCAGATTAACAGTCACCTTGATTCATAAAGGGTTTATGATTGGTTATTTTGCATGGTAAATACTTTACTAATAAGTGTCAAGTTTTAGAATTACCATTTATATACATACACAAACCCGAACACACATCCCCCAAAAGCTTTACCAACTCAAACAATTTATACCAAATCAAGGAGAATAAGAAAAATGAAAAACAATGCATATATTTAAGTGCAAAAGGCTTTTCCTCTGAGTCAAAGAATCATTCTATAATGTATAAATTATCCTTACTAAATTTCAACCCAGTGAGAGTTCTTTGAAAATACTAGGAAATTAGCTAGAAAACACAGTTTTATAGAAAAAAAAATGAAATTACTGAAGTTTTCTGAGTAAAAAAGAAAAATATTCACAAGATAGGAACTTACCACAATAGACAATAGTAAAAGTAGGGAGTAGGGTCAGCAACCAGGGGCAAGAGAGAAGAGAAAACAGAAGGCATTTTAATTAAGGAAATTTCAAAACAAACAAGCAGCAAATGGTAGCAAACACATTTTTTTTTTTTTAATGCAAGCATTCATTTAAGTTTTACAAGGAAAAAGCAAAAAACAAGCGTGCAACAATTTTAGAAGCTACAAAGCTAAAGGTCCAGTGAAAGGCAGTAACAAGATATAAACAAGAAAATAAAGCCTGTGTGACTTTTACCATGCAATAAACATGATGACAGAATGATATTAATGTCATAACCAGTGAAAATTATACCTTTCAGGGGTCGATTTAGCATCAAGCTGACTAGTAAACTGCTCAGAGGTTTCTATATAGCCTTTATGCTTACTTTTCAGCTAATTCCATTTCACGATAGGAAATCCATAAGGAACATTATCCCTCATAGATAACCATGGCAAGTCCTCATATGTCTTAATTAAGCCACAGAAATGAGGGATTATGTACTAAATATTAATAAGGTCATACACATTTCATCTGGAGAATTAAGGTAGGTGCAAAAGTACAAAAAAAAAGTTAGGAATCAATTCAGAAATGGAAGAAAATACAGTAATAACATTTATTGCTAAGGTTTTCTATTTGGATCCCAAAACAAGGACTGCAATACCAAAACCAAACAGAAAGCCTAAGCTGTTTAGTCAACATGAACATAACTACGAAGTGAGAAGTTAAAGCAGACAACTTTGCAAATACACCTCGCTTTAAATAAATTTGATTAATATTTTGCTTTTTATCTCATCAAAATAAATTAAAATGTATTTTATAGAATTCTTTCCTTTACATAAAAATTTAAAATGATGGTAATTCATTTCTTCCTGGCATTTTAAGATTTGATATAGCTTTCATGAGCCTAACCACTTAATACATAAAAGGCTGCACACATTGTTTTCATTAAATATTAATTATCAAACACTATCAGAATATGAGGTCAATTAAATTTCAAGTTCTCTCAATCTCTTTATAATCCCTCCCCCCAATGAAATTGAATTTCTTTCTTCAGGAGTGCTTATACTCAAGGTGAAGTGACTCAAGATCAAATTAACACATTCTTTCATCAACTCTAAGATGCACAATTGTTTTTGCATACATTTTCATAACTCTGTAGTTGGCATTAATCTTTGACCTGATAGGATTTTGTGGTTTAATACACAGGTTTCTTTTTCTTTCTTAAGTGCATGTAAATTAATGAGATGTCTTACAATTGATGGCATCTTAGATCAGATGAAATACAGTATTTTTTATTTACACCTCTGAGCAATAACACATAAATCGACCTCTGTAAAATGAGGTGAAACAATATGGTTAAAAAAAGAAATCTGTGTGTAAATGTTGATGAAAGAAAATGCTTCAAGGGATAAAAACAAACTAAAGTGATGACAAAGTGGCTCATTTACCAAAGAATCTCATTAGTGTAATACGGATTTCCATGCACTACCTACACCTCTTAATAATAAATTAAAAAAACAACTTATAGTATTTTAACAAAATTTCTTTGGTTAATGAATTCAGTTGATAGCAGATAGCAACAGAATGCCCACAGCTAGCACATGTGGGCAAAGCATTGGCATAAGAAATCTGATCAAATCAATCTATTAGTGTCTTTAACTAACTAAAACATTACCTACCTCCCAGCCAGTACTCTGTATAATAAAAAGTAAAAAAGGGCAGGTCATAAAAAAATTGTTTAAAAAGAACAAAAAAAGCCCAAAGGAAGTTCAGCAGTATAAAGAAAGGCACCATATATCATAAATTCTTCTCCACTGATAGCACTAGGATATTTTTAAACACCACATTCTTTCACTTTTAAGACCTCTGATAATTTCATTAAGTTGCTTGTTCAAAACCCAATAGCTAAAATTTTGCCCTTTAAAAACTTTCAAAGTGAAAGTACATATTTTGGGAAAAGAAAGCCTACTGCTTATTTCATTTGTGTATCTAAACTAGATCTCTAACTAAACTCAGCTGAACTACCTGGGGTAAATTGAAATAGAAATTGCAATTTTGCTCACTAGTCTTTGGTACACATGGATGCGAGTTTCTTGTAATTTACTAGCTCTAGATGTTCCAGAACTGACTTGTGTAATTTGCAGTTTACAGCTCTAGAAGCTGGAATAAGGCTCCTAGACAGTATATGTATAATTGAATATAAACCCCCCTCCTCCTTATGGACATGAATACTAGTAAATCTTTTGCAATTTCAATATTTTAGCAGACAACAATAAAATCCTGGCAAAACAGTATAGCAGCTCTATTTTAAGACTGTTAAAGTTTTTAGATTATATCATTTCATCTAGGACAGCTTAGTCAAGGGCAAGAAAGAAGTCAAGCTGACAGACAATAAAGAAGTAGTACTGAATATAGAAGTGGATATTCAGATTTCACTTCCTTCTTAGATGATGGCGGTAGCAGATAACAGCATGGGTAGCACAGGAAAGGAACAGTAAAGTGGAAGAGGAAAAGGCTTAGTAGGGTATTATGGAGTATTTAAATAGAGCCAAGGATTTAGTTTTAGGGACAGCAATTGCTAATAGTCTAATTGTAAACTAAGTTTATTTTGATTTTAATATTTGTGACATATGGATTCCATGAACTATAAACAAGTATTGAAGTTATACTATTATTATTGAATACATGTAAGACAACCATTTTATTCATTATTTTCATACTAGAAATATATCAAAGAATGATTAAATGGAAATATCTAGGATAAAACAGTTAAGTCCAGTTGAAATCACAAAATATTAGGGGTTTATTAAATTTTCTTACCATTTAATAAAAAATTAACTTAAAAAACTTTTTTGGCAGCCTAGAAATAAAAATTAATTTAAAAATCAAATTCATAATTATAACTCACACAGTGAAACAGAAAATACCACACAATTAAAAAAATTTGGCAACTAATTATCATTTTAAAAAGGAACACAAAAAATAAAAAAACACGACAAAGACAAGCTAAGTGGGAAGCTTATAATGATCTTAATCTACTTTAGGTAAATTCATTTTTTTGTTAATGAGCCTTGCTTTGGTCCTGAACCATCATTTTGACACCGTTCATTTATAACCTGATTAAAATGGTCATTCCATGGGATCCAGTTTGACATCAATTCAACGCAACACTAATGTTTTTAGACAGTTTTCTTCATTTATACAGAAGCTTGAAATTGCAATCATTACCTGATGAACAATTTTGCTGAATGCTTCTTGAAGTTTACCATGAATTGTGGATAGTTTCTTTGCATCCCGATTAGCTTCATGAATAGGAATAAGTACCTTGTACACCTCATTAACTGCTTCATACATGCCAGCCTGTAAGAATAAGATATTGCTTTCTTTTACATCAACAAGAAAGTAAATATTTGCACTTTATGAATTCACAATATATCTGCTACAATACCAACTGAAGCTTTTCCAATAGGACATAAAAACAAACAATACTAGTTTTAATTTTACTAAACTTAATAGAAGAATTTTTCACAATGTATTATCTTCTCTAGACGGATATAGACGCATATATATGTGTGTGCATTTAACACACACATGCATATTTATATTTCTATATAATTTGAATTGGACATTCTGCTTCTATCTACCCAGTAATTACTTCACTAAGGTAAATATGTGTGTGTACTTGTATATGCAGATAAACTTTTTAAAATATATATATTTTATTGATTTTTTTACAGAGAGGAAGAGAAAGGGATAGAGTTAGAAACATCGATGAGAGAGAATCATCGATCAGCTTGCCTCTTGCACACCCCCTACTTGGGATGTGCCCACCACCAACGTACATGCCCTTGACCGGAATAGAACCTGGGACCTTTCAGTCCACAGGCCGACATTCTATCCATTAAGCCAAACCGGTTTCGGCTGCAGGTAAACTTTTGCAGAAACTAATTCTGAGCAGAGAAATAAAAGAAATCCAATTATTAAATTGGTCACAGATACATTACTATCAGATAACCTGTGGCCTCCAACGAAACTAAAATTATTTAACTTTTACAAAATATTAAATTGGCACAGGAAATCCCCTTTGGGAAAACAAATGATTTATAACAAAACATGAAAATGTCATCAGATTTTCAGATTTTATTCCACTAGTGGCTAGTTGGCCAGCAGTTGGCCAAGGGTTACTCTGGTTATACTAAGTAAGGGACAAAATGTGTTTGTACTACTCTCCCATTCTCTTGTCCTTAATCATGGGTTGGTAGCTATAGTGAAGGAAGAAAGATTTTCCAAGAGCTAAAGAGTTCCCATTGCCTCACAAATCAGCAAATATATTTTCCCAAGGAAATAAACATATGGTTCTTATATTTTCTAGTTAGTACACAGGAATATGTTTAAACAGTCACATAGCTATAAGAGTGAAATAGATTTAGTGTAACTAAAATGCCTCAGTAATTATTTTAATTAAGATTAAATAGATTAATTGAAAAAGAATGAAATTCATTATTACATGCTATTTATTAAAAAAGAAATTCTGTAATTAGGTCATTGTACCACAATCTGAATTCACTACTTGATTATTAAAATTACACACACACACACACACACACACACACACACACACTAATACACACAGTGTATATTTATAAAAATATTCCATTAATAGCAAAAAAAAACCTTCCTCCCCTGCTAGTTCAGATCAATTATATTGAAACTCATGGAGCAGAGATCCAAGGTTATGAAAGACAAAAATTTTTTAAAGTGGACCAACACCTAACATTCTGAGAGTTATTTATTTATTTAAATTCTTCTTCTTCTAAATCTTACCCAAAGACATGCTTAGAGAGGAAGGAAGGGTAGAGGAGGGAGAGAGGGAGAGAGGGTGAGAGGGAAAGAGAAGGGAAAAAGGGAGAGAGGAGAGGGAGAGAGGGAGAGAGAAGGGAGAAAGGGAGAGAGGGAGAGACGGATAAAGGAGGGAGAGAGGGATAAAGAAGGGAGAGAGGGAGAGAGAGTTATCAGTTGCCTTCCATATGAGTCCTGATCAGGGATCAAACCTGAAACACAAGTATATGCCCTGATTGAGAATCTAATCAGCAACCTTTCCATGCACGGGATGATGCTCCAACCAACTGAGCCCCACTGGCTGAGCTAAGAATGATTATATTCAGACTACCTGGTTCTAAGAGCCATTACGATGCAGACGAGGATAGTCAGCCGGCTAGTGTTGCTCAGTGGCTCAGCACACATTATTACTAATCTGGAGCCACATTACATATATTAATTCATTTAATACTGACAACATTCCTATGATGTAGGTACTAGTATTAGATGCATTCAATGGGTAAGAAATGTAAAGCACTGATAGGTTGAGTAATTAGTGCCTGAAGTAATTTAACTACTAAGGTGGCAGAGCCAGGACTTGAATTCTGGCTGTATGCCTTTTAAATCTATACCCTTAACCAATATATTGCAAGGTAGGGGTAAGGTCAAGAGAAGAAATAACCAATTCCTAATTGTGGTACAATGGGGAAGTTGGGGCAGCATTGTGTATTATCTCAAGATACCATCTTACCCTAACATGTACCTCCCTGCCTCCTAAACCTTGATGCTGGGACACTAAGCACTCAGCAGAAAAGTCAGAGGAAGTAGGTGACCCTATCACCATGGTTAAAGAAGGGATTCAGCTAGTTCTCTCAACTTTCTTTGATAAACATCCCATCCTAGAACCACATGAATACTTAAATTTTTCACATACAGATGTGGAGGGACAGGATTGGGGTTAAAGTAAGGTAGGGTAGGTCACACAGAGATCTAGAATGTAGTTCATGAAATTCCTGATATGTGAGCTCCAGACCCCTAACACCTCCAGGCAACCAATGAGATGAGAAACCATAATCTTCCTGAGCACTCAACACACTCAAAAACAGATTCGCCCTTTCATCTAACCAGCAGGTCTTGTCAGTGTATCCAAGCAGGGAACTGAAATCATTCAGAGTCCTTGTTTTGTTCTGTTCTGTTTTTGTTTATAAAATTCTTTTCTGTTTGGTGGTGAAAGTTTTATAAACAACAACAAAAATCTGTTGTAGATTAAGCGTTGGTCAATAAACAAGCAAATAGAGAACACGAAAAGTGACAGATTATTAAGACTGAAAGGAGAGTAAGCAGTAATAAATTGATGAAGATTTATTCCTAGATAGTTCTTAAGGTACCCAGAGAAAAGTATTGCAAAGGAAAAGTAGGATCATAAGCAGAGAGAATAAATATACACATTACTAATAATCCAAAGATATGTAACTGGGGAAAGAGAATGAGCACGAGTCATTTACCATAGAGAAAGAAGCAGCTGCTTGCTCTAGCAATCCCACAAGTCCTGACTCAGTGAAGTACTTTCCAGAGCAGATGCCTTCTTCATCGGGAGATACGACATCATCTGAGACTGCAGACTCTTCTAAAACATTAGATGAAATATTCTAGGGAGAAAAAAAATCGAAAAGGTTTGTGAAATGGAATTTCTTATCATAAAAGATTTATATGAAGAAATAATTTAAGATAAAATATAGTTATCAGCTTAGGTTAAAAAAAAAAAAAAGGGGGTAATTAGCCCGGCTAGTGTGGCTCAATGGTTGAGCATTGACCTATGAACCAGGAGATTATGGTTGAATTCCTGGTCAGGGCACATGCCTGTGTTGTAGGCTTGATCCTGTAGATTGGTGCAAGAGGCGGCCAATCAATGATTCTCTCTCATCAATGATGTTTCTATCTTTCCCTCTTCTTCCCTCTCTGAAATCAATAAAAAAAATTTTTTTTTAAGGATATTCTATACACAGATAAAGACAAATCTCCAAAACCTTTTTGTAATTTTGGAGATGACAATAAAATGACAAGGTGACGCCAAAACCTGTTTGGCTAAGCGGTAGAACATCGGTCTGCGGACTGAAAGGTCCTAGTTTCGATTACGGTCAAGGGCATGTACATTGGTTGCGGGCACATCCCCTATAGGGGGTGTGCAAGAGGCAGCTGGTCTATGTTTCTCTCTCATCGATGTTTCTAGCTCTCTATCCCTCTCTCCTCCTCTCTGTGAAAAATCAATAAAATATATATATTTTTTAAAAATGACAAGGTGACAAGAAAACTTTTCTATCAATAAAAATTGTGAGAAATTTTTAAAAAATCATAGGCTAAGTAAAATATTAATATGACACTGTAGGCCTGGTACACAAAATGGGGGTTCCTCAGCCTGGCCTGCACCCTCTCCAATCTGGAACCCCTCAGGGGATATCCTACTGCCGGTCTAACATCCCTGTCGCAACCCAGGACAACTGGCTCCTAACCATTCACCTGCCTGCCTGATCACCTCTAACCCCTCTGTCTGCCTAATCACTCCTATTTTGCCCCACTGCCAGCCTAATCGCCCCTACCTTGCCCTACCTGCCGTCCTGTCTGCCTGATCACCCCTAACCTCTCTGCTTGCCTACCTGAATGCCCCTAACTGCCTCTGCCTGCCTGCCTGATTGCCTCTAACTGGCCTCCCTTGCCAGCCTGATCTCACCCCTACCTGCTCTCCCCTGCTGGTCTGATTGCCCCTAAAAGCCTCTGCCTGCCTGATCAACCCCTAACTGCCCTTCCCTGAAAGCCTGCCCTGCCCCCAACTGCCCTCCTCTGCCAGCCTGATCTCATTCCTAACTGCCCTCTCCTGCCAGCCTGATTGCCCCTAACTGCATCTGCCTCAGCCCCTACTACCATGGCTTTGTCTGGAAGGAAGTCAGATATCTGGAAGATGGTTGGTCAACCCGGTCTAATTAGCATATTACCCTTTTATTAGTATAAATAGATTATATAGGAAAGGGTTGCTTAAATGGCGGGGGAAGTCTTTTTCATCAGAAGGAGATGCTCTTGGCAGACAAAAATATATAATCTCTATATCTGGACTGATAGCCAGCTATATGCAGTATACTGCCAAATCAGTCATTAAAAAATTGAATCACTTTCTTACACCTTACACCAAGCAACTGTTGCCCTTAAAACTCCTCCTGAGGCCCCACGTTAGGTTCTGCCTTTGCAGTTCACCCAGAGTAGGTTCTGATTAGTCAGTTTCTATGCCAGTCAGCATCAAAAGCTCTGCCTCCTAGGCAGCCATTGGCTCTTTGCAATTCATCCAGATTTGGTTCTGATTGGTCAGTATCTACGCCAGTCAGCATCTCTGGGCCTATCTCTGGGCTTGATCTTAGAGGCGGGGATGATCAATAACAGCCCCAGGCTGCTGGCGAGTGGGCTGAACTGCTGACCTCTGGGAGAAAGAGAGCGGCTTGGCTTCTGGCGAGGCCCAGAGAGAGAAGCAAGGTCTGATCACCCTATTTCTTTCTCTGGGCCTCGCCAGCAGCCGCTCCCACTGCTGCTCACCCCTCCCCCCTCCCTCCAAGAGGTCAGCGGTTCAGCCCATTTGCCTGCTGCGCACGCAGCCTAACATTTGGTTAAGTCTTTGGTCATTTTGGATGTTACGACCTGGCTCTTATATATATAGATATAGATAGGACATCCAAGGAGATTTAAATAGTATTTAATTTAATTGTTCTTGTCAAAATTCCCTTTGAGGGAAATTAAGATACAAAAAAATGTTCTCTTTGATTTACCCAACACAGAGTTAATAAAAAAAAGCCTCAGGTATAATAATAAAAAAACACACACAAAAAAATCTTTACTCCCTAAGATTGGAATCAATCATTAGTTCTAAAAAGAAATGATGCATAAATACTTTAAATATTTTATTGTGATGTAAACACTTACAGGAGATACTCATTTGTCAATTTTTTCAGGCAGGTATAAGACCTGTTCTTTGAGTATGTGCCTCCAGATCAGAGTTCCATGCACTTTCTCTTGACTACTCATAATGCAACCATAATTTGGTATTTCCAGTTTTGGTTTCTATAGAGTAAAGATTTGAACTTAAAAAGTTTATTATATTATCCTAGATTTTTAGGAGCTTTTCCTGCAATCTTTTATATCTATCTGATCCAAAATTAACTCAACTGTTCTGGAGACTCACTTTTATCAAGTCTTTGCAAATCATTCAACTGATTTGCAAAGACTTGATAGTTTTCAAAGAAACAATAACTCACTTTCTTTTTGCATTTAGATTTCATCAGAGTTTATAATATTTAATAAAAATTAGAAAATTTCCAAACCTGGCATAACAGGTTTTTAAGAAAAGCAACACATAACTGACTCTTTGCAAGCAAAGAATTCAACTAGTGAATCAAAGGTACCTTTGTAACTCTAGTAAACTACCACTTATGAGCCAGGTATTAACATATTTTATACAGAAGATGGAGAATGTTGGTTTATCTTCTAGTTAAGTAAAATGTTGGTTTTTCCTCTAGTTAAGTAAAAGCCAAATAAAAGCTTCTACTGAATTTTGATCCTCAGTATTTTGAGTGTGTTCCATAGATGACATAAAAGTCCATAATATTTTAGGCAAAGAGAAAAAACATACACGGCATTGGCAATTCAGAGGTAAAACCATGGGGAGAGAATGAGCAAGAAGTATTCTTAAAAAATATATTAAAGACAGTGATATTGAAATGTTACTCCATCTTATGAAGCATACCTTCCATCTTTATGCTTTCCTTACCAGTCGAATTAATCTAAACACCAGGGAGAAAAATTAAAACCAAAAAAGGGCATACCTGGATTTAATTTAAGTCTGGCAGATTCCTACCTGAAATGTTACACAGCCCACAGGGAGATATTTGCGGTCCTCCAGCATGCTCAAATATTCTGCAACCAGTGCTGCTGAGTGGACCAGGCACTGCGCAGCCTCAGCGTGATTGCTGCGCTCCGAGTGCTTGCCAGCCATGTTCTGCAACCAGGTCAGACGCAGATCCGGAGAGGTCTGATAGCCCTTGGCAATTCTAAATAGAACAGAAATTCTTCCCAATTAGCATTGGCTTCCTAAGCTGAAGGGAGTTTAGATTGCTTTTTATGAGTAGTGTTTACCTACAAAGGTTTCTGTTATTTAACACAACCCATTAAGACAAGTTTTTTAGGGGTATGGAAATGTCTTTGTGTATGCTTAGAGAAAGTGGGCCCACGGAATGGGCAATATCAGGGTTTTTTTTAACGGAGGGAGAGGGAAATACTAAAAATAGCCGTGCCATATTAAAATCTGGCTATTAACCAAAACTGGTTTGGCTCAGTGGATAGAGCGTCAGCCTGTGGACTGAAGGTCCCAGGTTCGATTCTGGGGGTGTGCAAGAGGCAGCTGATCGATGATTCTCTCTCATCGATGTTTCTAACTCTCTATCCCTCTCTCTTCCTCTCTGTAAAAAATCAATAAAATATATTTAAAAAAAAATAAAAAATAAAATCTGGCTATTAAAGAAAACAATAAGGGAAAAACTATGAGAATTTACGTGTTCATTATGGAAAAACATAAAGATGTTTTATATTCAATAAAAAAAACCTTATAAATATATTTGTCTTGAATGTGCCCTTTAAAGAACTCCAAAACTGAAAAGAGAGTCATGTGGCAAAGAAAAAGCTTCAAGTTTTACTTACATCTTTCTACATATAATAGGAATTACAAAATTCTCAAAACGTGTTCCTAGACATATTCTATAGCATAACCATATTTAAAGTCAGGAAATGGTTATGATAAATATCACTAAAGGACTGATTTTTATATTTAAAATATGGGTTCTTGAGCCTTCTTAGGAAGTCTAGGGTCCAGGATGCCAAGGTGTTAAATGTGTTCTGATAATTTTTTTAAGCCCTCTCCTTTTTTATAATCAATATATATACTGAACAATTATGCATAGTTCTTAAAAGAAGGAGTATACAAGGGATGTGAAAAAGCCACCTAAAAAAAGTGCATTTTGACTTTTCAATCTACCATTGGGAAATGACTTAGTATTTGTGTGTTTATTTTTTTTTTTACCTGTTTCCTGTGTCTTACTAATTTAAGCCCTTAATATAGTATTATTATAAGTTAATCAAACAAATGGTACCTGTACATTAGATCAATCAACATTTCAGGATCCTCCTGGTGCTCCTTCATTTTAACAGTATCAGAAAGGATCATATGAAGATTGAAAACCAAATCTTGAACCTGTAGCAGATAATTATATGAAAAACATTCTTCAATTGCCATTCACAATTACTAAATTAGTTTGGAAGATATTTCCTAAGAGTACCTGAAGATTTCAAAACAAATAATTGATATAGTTAAGAGTGGGATTGCTGGAGTATCGTGGGTTAAGGGTACTAAACTTTCTACAGCAGACTTTTTTGTTTTTCAGTTTTCTCACCTGGAAACAAGTAGAATTATAAGTAGAAATAAAATATAGGGACAGAATAGATATAAAAAAGAATACAAAATATAATTCTCTCCTATGTTTCTGATTCTCCCAAAAGGTCGTTTGTAGAAAACTCAAGTTGTTAAGGCAAATTACTATTTCAATAATAATTGGAAAAAACATTTCATCATAAAACTTTCTGGTTGCCCATACTGCTCGACTATGGTTCTTTCTGTGACAAATACACAGAATTAAACCCTTCTTTTTTTAACCCAAGAAGGAAAAGTAGCTTATTGAAATAAAAAAATTCATCCCTGTCTATGGGATATGATATGTGGATTGAAAGAAAAATTCAGGCTCCTCCAGTAAAAAAACAAAGATTGATTTAACAATTTGGAAAAGTGACTATTCTGCAATACTATTTTAATTAATGATCTAGAAAGTGGCATTTCTGACCTGATCAGGAAAGGTTGTTTCTCTCAATTCCAGATCTTCTTCAGCATAGGTCAATATAGTCTTCAGAGAACGTCTTAAGAATTCTTCATTAAAATTCTGAGATGTACCCACCAAGGAAGATAGTGACATGGTTACCTGCATTTTAACCCTGGCAAAGTTCTGTAACAGAGACATTATCGGGTTACCATTCAATATAGGAGAGCTTAAAGGAACAGTCCAAAAGAAAAAGTTAATTAGTGAAAGAAATACCACTCTACGCAAAATACTTTTAAAAAGTAATAAGATATGCATATTGAAATCTTATTTTAAAAAGAACTTAGAGCTGAAGCCGGTTTGGCTCAGTGGTAGAGCGTCGGTCTGCGGACTGAAAGGTCCCAGGTTCGATTCCGGTCAGGGGCATGTACATTGGTTGTGGGCACATCCCCAGTAGGGGGTGTGCAGGAGGCAGCTGGTCGATGTTTCTCTCTCATCGACGTTTCTAGCTCTCTATCTCTCACTGTAAAAAAATCAATAAAATATATTTTAAAAAAGAACTTAGAACAGGGTTTTAAAAAGTGCCACGTGTTAGTTAAATTAGAAATTGTACCTAGACTTAACATTGACCTATTATAAAATACTAGAGGTCCGATGCACAAATTCGTGCACAGATGGGGTCCCTCTGGGTGGCTTGTGAGGATTGGGCTGAAACCCACATCCAGTGCTGCCTGCAGCTCCTACCTGCCGCTCCCACTCATCCTGGCCCACTGTGCCTGCCGCAGGCTCGTGCCCTATCAGTCCCAGTCGGGAGAGGCTTGTGCTACTGCAGCAGTGGTTGCCAGCCAGTGGTGAGCCCTGCAGTTGGCACCCTCTGAAGGGCGTGGCCTGTGGGAGTGGGCTGAAACCGGCTCTCCAACATCCCCCGAGGGGACAGGCCAGGCTGAGGGACTTTACTGTGCATGATTGGGCCAGGGAAGGGCTGTGGGAGGGCTCCAAGGCGTGTGAGGGCTTGTCTCACCCAGTCCCAATTGGGATCCGTGAACTGGGGAGGGATGAGGGAGGTTGGCCAGCTGGGGAGGGACCATGGGAGAGCTCCAGGTGTGTTCGACCCATCTTGCCCAGTCCTGATCAGCTGAACCCCAGCAGCAAACTAACCTACAAGTCAGAGGCTTTGCTCCCTGGTGGTCAGTGAACATCTTAGTGACTGGTCAACTGCCCCCTGGTGATCAGTGCACGTCACAGCGAGAAGTTGAGTGACATTAGCATATCATTAGCATATTACACTTTGATTGGTTGAACAGCCAACCAGATACTTAGCATATTAGGCTTTTATTATAAACAATGTAATTAATAACTAGAGACCTGGCATATGAAATTCAGTCCCTAGGCCTTGACTGCAATCAGGGCCATCTTCCCCAGCTGCCTGCAGCAGGCCCCACCCCCTGCCACTACTCACCCCCAAATCCCTGTCTGCCATTGGGTGATCAGTGCCTGACAGCCAAGGAAAGGAGCCAGGAGGTCGGTTGTTCTCACCTGCTCACTGGCCTTGCCCCTGCTGCAGGTGGCCATCAGGCAATCGGAGCCTGCCAGCCAGGGAAAGGGACCAAGCAGTGGTCAGTGCACCTCATAGTGACTGGTTCAGCAGTCATTCTGGTTGTTCTGCTGTTAGGGTCAATTTGCATATTACCCTTTTATTATATAAGGTAACACAATTTTTACAGACTAGAGAGCTTAACCAACCATCATAAAATTATTACTTTTATTTGTTAATCCTCAACTGAGGATATTTTTCCTTTGACTTTTAGAGAGAGTGTAAGGGATGGGGAAAGAGAGAGAAACATCAATGTGTGAGAAACACGTGGATTGGTTGCCTCCCACATATGCCCTGACCAGGGCAGGTGATCAAGGCTGAAACTGAAGTACGGGTCCTTGACTAGAATTGAACCTGGGACCCTTAAATGCAGAGGCTGGAGGCCAACACTTTATCCACTGAACCAAATCACCTAGGGCCATCACTAAATTCTTAAGTGGTAGATATGGTCTTTAAACTTTGGCACATTTCATTAAGTCCATTATTATGACATAAATAACACAAATCATTCATAAAGTAACTTAAAGGTATTGTAGAATCTTTAGAATAATGTCTATAAGAGAATTTACATTATTCCATTTTTAGTGTAAATTCATTTATTTCACCATTCCCCACTATGAAACTATTTTTAAGAGTTTATCAATAATAACATAGTAATTGTCAAACTGAAGATATTTTGTCAAAATCCTATTTGATATCTTTGTATATGTAAATGTATTGATTATTTTTTCCTTTAAAATTTCCTATCTTATCTTCAGTGGTACCACTTTATCCTGTTTTTCCTATTTTTAAAAATATATATATTTTATTGATTTTTTGCAGAGAGGAAGGGAGAGGAATAGAAAGCCAGGAACGTCAATGAGAGAGTAATATAGATCAGCTGCCTCTTGCACACCCCCTACTGGGGACGTGCCCGCAACTCAGGTACATGCCCTTGACTGGAATCGAACCCGGGACCCTGGAGTCCGCAGGCTGACGCTCTATCCATTGAGCCAAACCGGTTTGGGCTGTTTTTCCTATTTTTTATCTGCTCTTTTGGTACTAAAGATTCTGTCAAGAAACTTTATAAAATACATATATTTTTATTGATTTCAGAGAGTAAGAGATAGAAGTATTAATGATGAGAAAGAATCATTGAGCGGCTGATTCCTGCATGCCCCCCACTGGGGATTGACCGGGAATAGAACTGTGACCTTCTGGTTCATAGGTAGACATTCAACCACTAAGCCACCTCAGCCTGGCAAGAAATTTTTTTTTACTTGTCATACTCTAAATAGTCTCATCCATTTCTTTGTTTTTGACTAGTACAGATACATACTTATGTCTTCATAGCTCCTATTTTTCTCTATAGAGTTCTAGGCTATTATATTTTACTAGATAGCTCTATTTGGATGTGTCTCATAGGTACCACAATTTTAACATTAAAATACTTTCTCTTCCTATAGATTAAATGAATGGTGCTTCTATTCATGTACTTATTCATGCCAAAAATCTAGAAATCATTCTTCCCTTATTACTCATACTATAAATCCAATTCACAATTCCCTAATCTGTTCCAATCTGTTCTTTCTCCATTCCCAATGCCATTGCTTTAGTTTATATCCTTACTATTTCTTGCTTGAATTACTGTAATAACTTCCTAACTGATCCTTTTTGCCTTTTCTCTTATATCCCAAGTCTATCTTCTAAATAGCTTCAGAAAAGTTTTTGTCAAATGCAAACCTAAACACATCTCTCTTTAAAAAGCTCCAATTGCTGAGCATAGCTTTAAGGATAAAACACAAGTATCAACTCAGTCAATGTGTCAAACTATATGGTGGGAACTGAGTACAGTAATAAACAAAACAAATATCTGTCCTATGAAAGGCCTTTTCAATGACAACTTTATCTCTTATTACTCTCTCTTCCAGCATAATCATCAAGCAGTGCCAGAAAGTATCTTTTTCTTTTTCACTGTCTCCTTCTATTGTTTCCAGGCTTTTCTAATGATTATTATTATTTAAAAATATATTTTATTGATTTTTTACAGAAAGGAAAGGAGAGGAGAGACAGAGAGAGCTAGAAACATCTATGAGAGAGACATTGACCAGCTGCCTCCTGCACACCCCACACCATGGATATGCCTGCTACCAATGTACATGCCCTTGACCGGAATTGAACCTGGGACCTTTTAGTTCGCAGACCGACGCTCTATCCACTGAGCCAAACCGGTTTTGGCAGCTTTTATAATTATTTACAAGGCTCTATTCATCTACTTATCCTAAAGTACAGATGTCGGAGATAATGGGAAAAAACACTTCTTTTAAATGAAAGACTCATTTTTGAAGTGATAAAACTATCTGTCCTGAAAAGTAAATGAGTAAAAATCTGTGAGTGGACAAAAACAGATTGACCAGAAACTTAGAAAGTTAGACAAGATGTATGTATAATAGCAAAGTTCCAAGAGAAATTACACTCTTGAAGGAATTTTCTACAAACACCTGGGTCAAGAAAACCCAGCTTATTCTATATCTGTACTAATAAAAGGGTAATATGCAAATTGGTCACAATACCCTCACAGTAACAACCAAACAGCAAGCTGCGTGGGGCGACCAGGCCAGTAGGGAGGTTAGCGAGGGACAACCAAACGACTGACCAGCAGGCTGCATGGGGCAACCAGACTGGCACGGGGGGCAGTAAGGGGCAACAAGGCTGGCAGGGAGGGCAGTTGGGGGCGATCAGGTTGGCAGGCAAAGGTGTTTAGGGGTGATCAGGATGGCAGGGGGGCAGTTAGAAGCGATCAGGCAGGCAGGCATGCAGGTGAACAGTTAGGAGCCAATGGTTCCGGATTGTGAGAAGGATGTCTGACTGCCCCAAACTGGCAGTTGCACATCCCCTGAAGGGTCCTGGATTGCAGAGGGTCCATGCTGGGCTGAGGGCACCCTCCCCTCCCGCATGTGTACTCTAGTTGAGTAATAAAATAGTAAAGAAGATCAGTGAAATTCACCAGATAAAGAACACTTATTATAAAAATGCTGTCATGAAACAGATGAAAATTCTAATGAAATATTTTGCCTTACATTATTAAAAAGATGTGTTTAGTCATTAACTTTAAAAGGGAATAAAGGCAGAAATAAAATAATTTAAGGAAAGATAGCAAGAATAAGAAAGTGATGATGCAATAGGAGTTCACATGTCAGTATAAATAGAAACACAAATTTTGTGCACTGGGTCACTAGTTTGTTATAATAGCAAATATGAAAAGATTTACTTCAACTTAGAGAGTGGATTACATAGCACAATTCTATCTTGTATATGAGAGGCACAACTAAAATAAATTGATTCTTAAAAGTACAAATAAAGAAATATACAAAGGTAACTTAAGAACACATAAGAGGTACAGGAAGAGAAAAGCACACAAAATGAACAGTAGGGTTCAAATTAAAAAGAAAGTGGAGGTATTTTAATACCATACAAGGTAGAATTTAGACCGAAATAAATTTAAAATAAAGCCTCTTCACCCTTTTCAATTCTAAAGGGAATAATAATATAATTCATAAAAAAGATGTAATAGTTATGAATATCAATTCACCCAATAAGAGCTAAAGGAGAAAATACACAATTTGTAGGCTTAAAATAATTTCTATCAGTCCAGCAAATGGATCAAAAATAAACAAGGATATAGAAAAATAGAATAATGTAATTAATAAGGTATTTTGTTTAACTCAATGCTCTAAAAATAAGAAATACCCATCTTGTGTAACATTTACAAAAACATTGCATATATGAACACACAAAGGCACACAGTACAAAAGAGATATATGCTGTATGATCACACAGCAATAAAACTAACATCAAAACTTAAACATGCCTGACCAGCGTGGCTCAGTATACTGAGCATCGTCCTATGCACCAAGAGGTTGCTGGTTAGAATGTGGTCAGGACAAATGACCGGGTTGCAGGCTCAATCCCCAGTAGGAAGCATGTAGAGGGCAGCCAATCCATGTTTCTATATCTCTCCCTTTCTCTCTTAATATAAAACCTATAAATACATTATTTAAAACAACCACCACCACCACCACCAAGAACTTTAAAACAAGCCCTTCCTAGGTAGCTTAGCTGGTCACATCATTGTCATATAATGCCTAGGTTGTACGTTTGATCCCAGGTCAGGGCATATATGAGAATCAAGCAATGAATGTATAAATAACATGATGCTTCTCTTTCTCTCTCCCTCCTTCCCCTCTCTTTTTCTCTCTAAAATCAATATTAAAAAAAATAATAATAAAAAAACTTTAAAACAAAAAGGACTATCAATTCTTTGGGTTAAAAGAAAATACTACATATCAGACCCAATAAGATACCAAAAACAGTACTCAAAGAAAAATTATAAAATTTAATTTTTAAATACTTACCTGAGTGAATTAAACATCTGACTAAAAACAAACAAAAAAAACTAAAATAAAAAAATATAACACATGAATGTATTATTAAATAAATACTTAAATGAAAAAATGGAATTCCTCAAAGTCTGACATATAATCATAAAATATTAAATCAAAATACTTAAACCTTTAATTTTCTCTATTATTACTTTCATTTTACTAAATGGTAACAATTAAAATTTATAACACCTCAACATAGATTTATGTTCTAAGTTTACTACTGTATATTATTTTTTTAAAATATATTTTTATTGATTTCAGAGAAGAAGGTAAAGGGAGAGAGAGATAGAAACATCTATGATGAGAGAGGATCATGGATTGGCTGTCCCCCACTGGAGATCTAGCCCACAACCCAGGCATGTAGCCTTGATTGGCATTGAACCCAGGACCTTTCAGTTTGCAGGCCGACACTCTATCCACTGAGCCAAACAGGCTAAGTGCTGTATGTTATTTTTAATACAGAAAAAAAAATTAAAGATTTGAATTTTTATAAGATATCCATAGAATGACATGCAGAAAACAAAATTAAAGATTTGAGTTTTTATAAGATATCTATAGAATGAGAAATATCAAGATAGTCTAGGATTAGGCTCAAAATATATAAAATAATTCCAAGCTTCCCCCTAAATCCATTTAATAGACAGTTGCAGGAGTTATATTTCATTATGAATCCAAAGACAAAATACTTACATTCCCTATTTCAAAGTTTTGTCTCATCAATAGGTAAAGGGAGGCACTAGCATGTGACCGTATTGTACTGATGCTACTGCTACAGTGTCGGAGAAGCCGGAGGCATAAATCAGCACATTGTTCTGTCTCTTCTTCAAACAGGAGTTCAGGGAACTATAAAAAACAATACCGACATTGAAGTTATGTAGCCTGAACTAGAGATTTGTTAGTATAGCCAAGAATCAAAAGAATGGTGAAAGGACAATATTTGCTAATTTATATATATAATCTCTATATATAAAGGCTAATATGCAAAGTGTCCCCTCAGGAGTTTGACTGGCCAGCAGTTCGATTGCTCACTATGATGTATGCTGACTACTGGGGGGTGGCGTGGAACAAAGGAAGGTCCCGGCTGGCAGCTGGGAAAGGAAGTCCCCAGCTGGTAGAACCCTACTGGTGCATGAATGTCATGTACTGGGCCTCTAATGGTTAATAATGTGGATCAGATTCAGACAGACTGGGTTTGAATACTACCTAACTATGGCACTTACTAGCTAGTAGCAGCGTAAAATTGGACAAGTTTTCTTATCCATAAAATGAGCCAAATAATATTATCTACTTGGGGTTGTATATCTATCTTACATTAGATAATTCCCATAAAACACTTGGTATAGTAACCAACATGTAATAATTCTATAATATGTTTTTATTATTACAAGAGTACTGAAAGTTATTTTCACTGGTTAAGTTTCATCAGTAGCTCTGTATTCCATCTTATAAGATGTATAAGATGAAATAGCTACCTTTGAATATGATCTCACTTATTTGTGGAATCTAATGAACAAAAGAAATTGACCAAAAAAATAAGACTTAAGCATGGAGGAACAGACTCACATACCACAATGTGGGGTTGAGGGGACAAGAAGAGATAAACCAAATAATTTATATACTTATTAGAGGCCTAGTGCATGAAATCTGTGCACTCAGGGTGGGGGGAGGGGACTCCCTCAGCCCCCCCTGCACCCTCTCACGGTCTGAGAGCCCTTGGGGGACATCTGCTTCCTATGGGGAACGGGTCTAAGCCAGCAGCCGGACATCCTTAGCATTGCCACGGAGGTAGCAGAGGCTCGCCAGCTGTGAGCCCGGCTTCTGGCTGAGCAATGCTCCCCCTGTGGGAGCACACTGACCACCAGGGGGTAGCTCCTGCATTGAGTACCTGCCTCCTGATGGTCAGTGCATATCATAGTGACTGGCCATTCCACTGTTAGGTCAATTTGCATATTAGCCTTTTATTATATGGTATATGCATAGCCCATGGGTATGGGCAATAGGATAGTGAAGATATGGGAATGTTAGGGAGGAGCTTAGAGGAGGGAAGTAAGAGATGGGGCAAATTTGAGGTATCTGTAATATTATCAAAAAAGAAAAAGAAATAGCTACCTTCGAGATTTAAGGATATTCAAATTTTTAGGAGGAAACCAATGTAGGAGATAAATATTTGAAGTCGTTGAACAAATGTACTTTATTTTCCATTCACCATACATTAAGTTAATTTAAATTGAATGGACTGAACTACTTATACATTGAATTCTTGATTTATCAAGTTAATAAGGAACAGGAAGAACAAGAAATAAGGAAAGCCCCAAATTTAAAATTAGCTATTAATTTTAGGCCTTTCCTCACATCAAAATTATTTTTTAAGCCAGAAACTGGTTAAAGGTGATCCAAATAATAATTCGAAAAGGCAAACAATAGAAGAGAGACAAAGAAGAATCAAGGGTCTTGGGTTTCTATGAAAACTTTAAATATAAATACATTAGCCAATGAACATGTCAAATGATCTTAGACAATGTTAATAAAGTCTGATAAGACTGAAGGGAAAAAATTAACCTACCTTTGAAACCAGGGCCCTCTGTGTAGCAAAACAGTGTTGTAGATAAACTGCACTTTGGTTACATGCCATACTATGTAGCAGCACTTTTAGTACCCCACCAAGGATGCTCTCTTTGGATTCTGTTACAGAAACGGTCTGCAATTTAAAGATTAAATAAAAAAAGAGATGTACTTGCAATTTGGTTAAGGAGACAGAATATGTATACACAAAAAAAAATAATGTTTTTAAAATAGGAAAATGATAAGATCTAAGAGAACTTAAAAAAAAAAAAAAAAAGTTTACCAGGATTTGGATAAAAGAAAAAAAGAGAAAAACAGAATGGGCAGAATTTATTTATTTATTAAATATATTTTATTGATTTTTCACAGAGAGGAAGGGAGAGGATAGAGAGCTAGAAACATCAATGACAGAGAAACATCGACCAGCTGCCTCCTGCACACCCCCCACTGGGGATGTGCCCGCAAACAACCTATATACCCTTGACCGGAATCAAACCTGGGACCTTTCAGTACGCAGACCAATGCTTTATCCACTGAGCCAAAACGGTTTTGGCCAGAATGGGCAGGATTTAAATGAAGGAGAGCAAGGAGAGCAAGGATATAGCTTTTAGGAACTACTTATACTTAAAATGTAATAAAATGGCTCAATGAATACCGTATTTTCCAGCGTATAAGACGACTTTTGAAAGGAAAAAAAGCCTTCTCCGATTGGCCAGAGTCAGAGAGACAGTCTATTAAAAAAAACAAACAAACTGGTGTTGCCTCGGAAGTGAGGGGTAGTCTTATACAGCGAATATAGGCCTAAACCTATGTTTTAACTGTAAAATTAGGGGGTCGTCTTATATGCTGGAAAATACGGTACTTTCCCCCCAAACTCAATTTACCAAATATATATATATTATTGATTTTGTACAGAGAGGAAGGGAGAGAGATAGTTAGAAACATCGATGAGAGAGAGTCATTGATCAGCTGCCTCTTGCACACCCCCTACTGGGGATCTGCTCGCAACCAAGGTACATGCCCTTGACCGGAATCGAACCCGGGACCCTTCAGTCCCCAAGCCGACGCTCTATCCATTGAGCCAAACTGGTCCCGTCCAAATCTATATATTTTTTCTTTTAAATATATTTTTATTGATTTCAGAGAGGAAGGGAGAAGGAGAGAGAGACAGAAACATCAATGATGAGAGAGAATCTTTGATCAGCTGCCTCCTGCATGCTCCCTACTGGGGATGGAGCCCACACCCCGGCAAGTGCCCTTGACTGGAATCAAACCCAGGACCCTTCAGTCTACAGGCTGACACTCTATCCATTGAGCAAAACGAGCTAGTGAATCAAATCTATACTTTAAATTCCTGTTCTTTGCGTTCTTACCTGGACAACAATCTCTAGTGTATCCAAAATGATTAGGTTTGCTTCAGTAGCCAGATTTCCATCAATCAGTGCTTCATGTTCAATCTCTGCTCTTGATCTAATTAAAATAGTATAAGAAATTATATTTATCTTAAAACAGCAGATCCACAATTCAAAAAAAGACTTAAAAGATTCATAGAAAAAACAAACAAAACTTGGAATCATTTTTCAGTATTTGGTGAATTGAAAATTATAAGAGAATAAGGGAAAAGACAATATTTTACATATCAATGTTTTATTTTACCCTACATTTTGTTGACTATTCCTATATATATACTTTATCACAATGCCAATGAGAGCAGAAATACTTAGCTTCCAGAGATACAGCAAACACAGAAAGTGTTTTATTCTGCATGGAATAGCCACTAGGTGGTGCTATGTGGGTTTGCATTTAGGGCTGCATCATGGCATTATTCAAAATGTTGAAGGATAAAAGTACTTTCCCCCCCTAAAGTTTAAAAAATTTTAAATTTTGATGCAGAAAATAAATTAACTCTTCAATGAGACTCTGGATGGAATCACGCATTAGAAACAAAACATCTGATGCCAATCAAGTCATTTACTTGACTATCCAATATATACAAAAGTATTATTTAATAAAAATTTAAAAAACTATAGATGATTTATAGGTAAAGTTGACATTATTTTAATAGCAATACATATATAGAAATTATATATTACATCTAAATAGACAAAATAATACACAAATCAAAGCAAAAGTATAAGGACATACTAAATACTAACTTACTGAAGTTCTTAGATGTTTAAGTCTCTGAATTTTTATTACTACCATTAAAGAGAAAAATTTATGAGTTTATATTTTACAAATTAAATTTAAGGAGAAAATACAGCATAGTTAGAATTAAATTGAAAAAGAAAATAATGCATTGTTCAAACATAAAATCCAGAAAGACTTCTGTAAAGAAACATTATAAAAATATGGTTTAGCCCTAGTTGGTGTGGGTCAGTGAATAGAGCGTGGGCTGAAGGGTCCCATGTTCCATTCCAGTCAAGGGCATATGACCAGGTTGCCAGCTGATTCCCAATAGGGGGTGTGCAGGAGGCAGCCAATCAATGATTTTCTGTCATCATTGATGTTTCTCTCTCTCTCTCTCTCTCTCTCTCTCTCTCCCTCCCTCTCTCTCCCTCCCTCCCTCCCTCCCTCCCTCCCTCCCTCCCTCCCTCCCTTTTCCTCTCTGAAATCAATAAAAATATATTTTAAATATTATTTTAAATAAATATTAAAAATATATTTTAAACCATATATATATGGTTTAAACAAAAAGAATCAGGAAAATACTAAAAAAACACACAAAAAACAGCTTCCTTAGAATACGGCAAGATAAGCAGAAAGAACATTACACAAATGCAGAAATAAAGCAATATATGCTGGCTGTTTTGTGAATTCCACCACACATGTGGAAAAGTAATCAAAGAAATGGACTTAGGCAGACAAAGAAGAGAGAAAAGTGAACACTCAAAGTTCAAAAATGTTAGCATATTAATTTTATACTCAGTGTCTGCTTTGGTCTGAATATTTGTGTCCCCCTACATTCTTATGTTGAAAATCTAATGCCCAAGGTAATGAATGGTATTAGGTGAGGCAAAGGTCACGAGAGTAAGGGCCTTGGGAATGGGATTAGTGCTTTTATAACAGAGGTCCCAGGGAATCTGTTTGCCTTCCTACCATATGAGAACATAGCGAGAGAGAAGTCTGTAACCTGGGAGAGAGTCAGACACCAAATCTGCTAGTGCCATGATACTGAACTTCCCAGCTTCCAGAACTGTGAGAAATAAATGTCTGTTGTTTATAAGTGGCCCAGCAAATGATATTTTGTTATAGCAGCCTAAAGAGACTAATAATTTCAAATTCTCATCTATATGGTACTGAGTCTGCTGTTACTGTTTTTTGTCTATAGGCTTGCATAGGGCCTTGCTTTCTGTGTTTTACGGTTTCACTATTGTGAACTAATATTTCTGGAAGTTTATTTTAAGAATCCTCTAACTCTTGGGCTGAAAATGGTTTCAGATTGAGTGACCAACAATCTTGGACAGGACTGAGGGGTTCCCTGGGATATGAAACATTCAGTGCTAAAAATTAGTAGTACTAGGCAAACCTGAATGAGCTGGTCACCATATACTAAAGTTTTTTGGGCCAGTCAAGCTACTCCAGGGCTAACTTGTAATTACAAATTGCCAAGAGAAAATATTTAGCCCCTTAATTCAATGCCAAGTTTCAAGCCAAGCAATTTTACCTGCAGTCACCTAGGCAGTGAGAAGGGTTCATTTCTAGTTCTCTTTATACTGATGATGTAGTCCTTTAGGCTCCTGGACTCATGGTAGTGCATTTCAGCTGTGTTTTTACCTGGCTTGTCTCCACGCTAGAATCAGAAGACCCAGAGTGTTTTGTCTTCCTTTAATTATATTTTAGGCTCCAAGAGGGCAAATAATAGTTTTCTAATTTTTTGTAATGCTTGAAATATTTAGTTTAAGTGTGATACCCAAAATATATTCTAAAATAGTTGTAGAATGCAACTTTCGAAGGGGGTGGGCTGCTGGGGAAAATGGGGTAACATTTAAAATATGTAACATTATGCTTTACTATACCATATTAAAAATTCTTCCCCCAAATCTTTTTAAATCTTCTATTTAAAAATTAAGTATAATATTTTTTCTTCTAAGATTTGAATGTCTAACATATACATAAAATAACATTAAAATTAAGTCATTTTCCTCTTGCAGCTGAAATTCAACAGGCCTATCATTTAACATAAAATAGAAGATTATATTACTTGTCAAGTTTCTCAGTGTTTTGCCGCCAGTGAGTCATATCCTTCCTCCACCTCAGATTTTCTTGACTGCCAAAGGCACTTCCAGATGGGCTTCTCTCTGTTAAGTACATTTCACAACCATTTTTAAAAATGTTATTTCAAGTGGACACATATATATACTTGCAAACATTTAAGAAATCCTGCACAATGTTAATAATTTTTTACACAGCCATTTTTATCCTCAATAACAATGGAAAAACCTGACAACGATGCTTTTTATTCAAAGCTTTCATAACAGTTACAGAAGAAATATGCTTGCTATATGTATTATAACAACAACAACAACAACAAAAACAACATCCTTTTAAATAAGCAACTTTTCTAATACCTATTTTCTCAAAATCTTAACCATGGCTTCTATGGCTCTACATGATATAACCTTATTTCCTATCCTTATTCCTCTTGCTTGCACCACTAAAGTTGTGTGTGTGTGTGTGTGTGTGCTTGTGTATGTGTGGTGTATTCTGAATATATGCTTCTGAGTTAGAGCCTAAAGGTTGTTTTTTCTTCTACCAGATTCTTCTTCCCAAATTTTCCCTGGCCAGTCATTTCTTACTTCCACAGATAGGCCTTTCCCAACTCTCCAACTTCTTTTCTTCTTAATCTGCTTTACTTTTCCATAGCACTTATAAACATAAGGTTATAAATCACTAAGAACAGAGATTATGTTTATTTGCCCACCACTTAATGTCTGAGGCTGACAAAGTTTCTGGCACATTTTCAGTGCTCAATAAGTTTGTTTGATAAAGAAAGAAAATAAGGATAATTCCTATAGTGATTCTTTTAGACAACAGAAAGCAGAGCAAGAGAAAAACAAGGGCTTTCTCCCAAGAGGTTTCTAGGATGAAAGATGGACTGAATCACACAGACTCTTTTAAGAGGCAGTAGCAATAGAACTGATTTATACAAATCCAGCAAAAGTGTGATACCCAAAATATATTTGGGAATTGTGCAGAAATATAAAAATACTTAAACAATAGAATGCCATGATTTAATCAATGAGAAAGTTAATGCTCCTTTTTGAAAAACATGAGACCTTAAATTGGTTGGGAAGATGGAAAGAAAAATGGAAATCAAAATTCAGAGTTCAAATACAAATTTTAAAAATTTTGAGAAAAAATATAATTTGCCACACAATAAAGGACATGTCTGGATATATCATCTCTGTAGTGACCATATCTGTAAACATTTCACAAATTGGAGGAACAAGAAAGGAAATGTGTAAACATTTCATAAATTGTAACATATTGTTAGTAGTTCCACCTTTCCAACAATAAACTACAGAAAGAGTTGTAGTATAATATGAAGAACACTAAATTGGAAGCCAAAAGATCCTGCTTCTGTCACTTAGTTTATGATCTTAGACAAGTTGTTTATCTCTATGATGAGGATATCCTCTCTTAAAGATGAGGATAATATTCATTAGATTTTGGTAATAATTAAATAACCTACTTGAAAGTTAATTTTCATACCTTTCTTGAAGATTATTGTACATAATAAATGAGTTAAAAGAAAATACATAGGTCATTGTGAATTGTATATAACTACAGTGAAAAAATTGGTGCTCTATTAATTCCATTAAAGGCAAAGACTTTATCTTATTCATTATTAAATTCCAAACATACATAGCATATAAAGAATATTTAAGCTCACTTAAATAAGTGACCACCGTGATGACAGCATTTTGAAAAACAATAAAATATCTATCTAAATATAAAAAACCCTAATATGCAAATAGACCTAATGACAGAACAACTGAACAACCTGTCCCTATGAAGTACGCTAACCACCAGGTGGCATGCATGGAACATGGTGGGTGTTGGCAGCAGGCAGCAGAGCATGGAACAGGAGGGCGTTGGCTGTGACAGGATTATGGAGCAGGTGAGCAAGAGTGTCAGACCAAGACAGGGCGCTGGTCACTGTCATCAGGACAAGCCTCTGGTGGTTAGTGAAAATTCTTTGCTCCCGCACACTGCAGTCCCACCTGGCGCTTGCACCAGCTGCCAGCATTGAGCGGCCACTCACACCCGCTGCCAGCACCTAGCACCGATCCCAATTGTTGGCGCTGTCAGCAGGTGTGAGTGGCAGCTGCAGGCCTTGACCACCCCTGCGGGTTTCTCTACCTCTCCCTGCTCCTGAGGGGCTGTTGGTACAGCTGCCACCCCTCACACCCACTGATGGGGCCGGCCCTGCTCACACCCACTGCTGGCGCCGGCTCCAATTGCTCCATGCTGTCAGTGGGTGCAAGCAGGGCCGTTGGCAGAGAGGGGACTGAGGGCCACGGTGGGGGGCCTGGGTGGGGGTGCAGGGATGGGCCGATACCCACACCTGTGCCCACCGCAGCCTCGTGGCCCACAGTTCCTTTCAAGGTGCATGAATTCATGCACTGGGCCCCTAGTATACTTATAAATGTATAGTCATATTTTAAGTCAACAAATATACATGGAACTATTAGCATGTGTCATGTACACAGATGACTAAGCCATGGCCCTGTCCTTAAGGAGTTGACAGCAACAATATCATTTACATATCACTTTAGAATTTATGAAATGTTTATACATATGATCACTACAAAGATGATAAGCTCAGTTAGTTATACTACCTTTTAAATTCTCCAAACTATCACAAGTAGATAAGGAAAAAGAAAGTGGGGAGATTAAGTGACCTGGTCAAAGTTATATGGCTAATTGTTAGCAGACCTGGGATTAGAATCAGGCCTCTAAAGCTATTGCTTCTTCTCACTAATATTGGAGTTTGATGGCCAATATCTTTGCCTTAGTTACAGAGTATATTAATTCATTGTGCAAAATAGGTAACTTTTAAGAGTAAAAGGAAATGCTACAAAGAATGATACCAAGAGTGAGCCCTATATAGACTGTGTGATTATGATGTGTTAGTGTAGGTTCATTAATGATGTTGATAACGGGAGAGTCTATACATACATGCAGGCAAGGAAATCTCTGTATCTTCAGTTCAATTTTGCTGTGTACCTAAAACTAGAGTAGTTTTAGGATGCTATTAATAATCACACAAGGGTAACAGGAATAAACTGAGACTATCCAGAGCAAATCACAAAGAACGTTTCACCCTACTTCAATCAGAACTCTTAACTTGAGTTCCTACGGAGAAATGGTTATTTCAGTTAATTCACAGTTACATTTAAAACACTTTTTTTTAAAGGGTAGAACTGTCACTGAAGACATGCAACAATGAGGACTATAAAATAAACTTGAAGGAAAATGAAGAAATTCTCACCAGAAGGAGAAGACATTGTGTACATACCAAGCTGTCCTCGGCTTCGGCGCACCATTTCTTGCCTAGCACCTATGCTCCCAAGAATAGCTTCTTCAAGCTTAGCTCTCATGTCTTTTGATTTTTTAAAGGTCAAGCTATTCATTCTTTCAAACACTTTCTTTCCCTAAAATTTAAACATTAGAAAAGAAGAAGAGTTGAGAAAATTTTCTTCTTTCTCCACATAATTTCCTATCTTGTTCCTCTTTGCAATGGCATAATGATCACTTACTTTGTATTCAAAGCAAGATACACAGAGGTAAAGCAGATCTAACAGGCGGTTGAGCTGCAGGACTGAGAGATCTGTAAACCACTTTTGTAGAACTGACTCATCTGCATTCTTGAGAACCCAAAGGAGGCAGATCAAAAGGCTCCGACTTGATTCTGCTGAAAAGGTAGTGTGTTGCCTGCCACTCTGAAAATCAAGAACAGTAGAATGAGTTAGAATGATCAATGACCTTTCCCTTTTTGAGCAGTTGTCAACTGTTTTCTTCTAAAAGCAAAAAAACAAAATTATTTAAAAATCAAATATTATAAAATGATCATTTAGATAATACTTGTATATGTCATACACCTAACCTTAGACTTAAGTTCTTGAAGTTTATTGAACCTTTCCTGGCAATAGAAGACTGTTTTAGCTTGGGTAGGGCTTCCAGCAAATGTTAACAGAATTTATAAAGCAAAAAACTAAAGGTCTTACTATTAAAAACTAACATATCTACCACATAATATCAAACATAATGAAAGTAAAAAGAAGCAGCTGATTCAAAAAATAAGAGAAGTATAAGAAAGTAATAACAAAAAGTTTATTAGGTTTAGAGAACCATTGTTTCCTGTCAGGGACAATGACAAAAAAGAAGTCTTCGATATTTATACAATGTATTATAAAAAATATTAACTTTTCCACAAAATAAAGCTCAGAGTACTTCTGCGTCAGTTAATACAACAAATAATCTTAGTTATTTAAGGGTACAAAAAAACTTTTGTTTGAGGGTTGTTTTTACCGTTGATGTGAGAATAAAACTTCCAGGCCTTGTTAGTTGAGGAACTGATGTTCCTGCAATTGCCATGGCAACTGTCTGGCTTATCATGCTTCCACTCTCACTTTCATAATCATCAGTGGCTATACAAACTGGTCTTCCTCGTTGATTGTGAGTTTCTGAGGGGGGAAGGAGAGAAGAAATTCAAAATACATACATACATACATAAAACTTCTGAATAGCTTAATAAACAGTTCTTAATAAACACGAGGAACTCAGTAAATGTTTGTTTCTGTTTTGATTGAACTGGAAGTATTTTATCTAGTTAATGGCTAGCTTAAATGCAACCTACAGTGTTTTTTTCAGAGCAAGTGAAAGAATTCAATTCTAATATGAAAAGCAAAAGCAATAAAACTTTGTAGGTCCTAATTTTTAAAAAGCAACAAAACTTCATCTCATTAACCCAATGTTAGCAATAAACCTAATTATTGATATTCAGGTGAATATTAATTTAAATTACATTTATATGAATAAAACTAATACAGAGGGTAGTAAACAGTTTTCAAGTTTTCTTGTGTTTTTTTTAAGAGGAACAGTAAGTACACAAAAACCCTATTTTCTAACAAGTAGGAATAAAACTACTATACAATTATTACTTAAAATTTCACCATAAGAACTACTTACAGAAACCTTGCAGTGGATTCTCTCACAAAGTCAAAAGATTTTCAGTAATATAATTATTTACAGTTTACTTATATTAGTACATTTCTTTATATTGCTTTTCCTAAAATAAGATCTTTAATCTTGAGAAATTGTCTAACACTTTTATTATATATTGTGACTTGCCATTAAAATCTGTTTTACATATACTAAGTACCTGTAAAATCATACAGCTGAGGAACAGTTTCCATGATAATGCCAATCAGAGGTAGATATAACATAGCCACCCGAGCCTTTATCTGGGGGTCAGAGTACCGTGGGTCTGAGTCGTGACTGGATAGTAAATTGTGTACCATATTGATGACTTTCTTATGCAATCCAAACAGTCTATTTAAAAAGAAGATGGAGAAGAAGCAATAAGGTCACCTATATTAGTTAATACCTTTAAAGCAAACAGTCAGCAGTGGTACTGAATTAATTTTGTTCAACTTCTTAATTTTGCCACGTATTTGCATCTATTCTTTTTTTTTTAAAATATATTTTATTGATTTTTTACAGAGAGGAAGAGAGAGGGATAGAGAGTCAGAAACATCGATGAAAGAGAATCATCGATCAGCTGCCTCTTGCACACCCCCACTCTGGATGTGCCCGCAACCAAGGTACATGCCCTTGAGTGGAATCGAACCCGGGACCTTTCAGTCCACAGGCCGACGCTCTATCCACTGAGCCAAACCTGTTTCGGCTGCATCTATTCTTATAAAAACACTTCTATTTTAAAATTAATGTCTTTCTGTATAAGTAAAAATTGAGGGAAAAGAAATGTTGTATAAATTCACTAAAGAGTAAACCTGAATATTTTTACATTAACTCCTTCTTAGTGCATTTTAATGTTAAATAACGTAAGAGCAGTTATGGTGATATTTTATTTTATTTTTTTTAAAATCAATCTTTATTGTTCATATTGTTACAAAGGTTCCTCATTTCTTCCCCCCTCCACCAGGTTCCCACCTCACCCTCCGCCCCCTCCCCATCCCCCATTGTCCTCATCCATAGGTGCAGTTTATATTCAGTCTCTTCCTCCCTCCCTTTCCCCGATAGTAAATCCCTTTTCAGATAGTAAATCAGTTACTTAGCATTTTCTCATATCAATAATACCACCACATGCCCAATGACACATTTCACACAAAAGACATTTCCAAATAGGTCAACCAGCCTCATCCAGGCCCCACCCAAGGCACTCACAGGTCAACACCCCAGCCCTATACTAACTCAACACATCCAGATCTAAGCCTTCATCACTTGATTCAGCAGACCCTCAAGTTCCCGCAAAAGTTTCCAGCCATGTCTGAGAGGCAGCCGTGGTGCAGGGGCAGGCGAGGAGCGAGCTGTTCCGGGCCTGGCTGCTCCGGGCCTGGCCTCTGTTGCTCTGGTTCATTCCACAACCAGCTGCTCCGGGTCTGGTCACCGCCACTCCCGACCTAGTTGCTCTGGACCTGACTGCTGCTGCTCCAGGCCTAGCCGCACCCTACCCGGCTGCTCCGGGCCTGGCCGCTCCCAGCCTGGCAGCCGCTGCTCCAGGCCTGGCCGCTCCCAGCCTGGCAGCTGCTGCTCCGGGCCTGGCCGTACCAGACCCGGCTGCTCCGGGCCTGGCCGCTCTATGGTGATATTTTAAAGAAAAAAAATAAAAAGTTAACAGCTACATTTTAAGTAATCTTCTATTTCCTTTTTCCAAAGAAAAATCCTCAACCTAATGGATTATGTCGTTCACAGGCTGAGGTTGCCTTTGACATCTATTTGAACAGAACTTCCTTGCTCACATACCTCATATGGGCCCTAACAACTTTTCTAGACTTCCACTCGCCTGCATTTCAACTGAGATAATAAACTAGCAAGGGTCACTCTCATCTTCATAGTTTTGCCTTTCTTCTTAAATTGAAGATGCTTTGACTATGCAAACCATTCTAATTAAAAATTCATACAACTTCACCCGCCCCTTAATGCTGTACCTAGGACCAATTTCAGATCACATTATCTCTCCTTAAGCCTCTCACCATCAATATCAGTAAAAGACCTTACCTCCAATTTCTTTCTTTTAGGAAAGAAAGCCATTCCAAATTTGCTCTAGTCGCATCATTTAAAAAAAAAAAAAAAAAAAAAAAAATATATATATATATATATATATATATATATATATGTTTTTATTGATTTCAGAAGGAGAAAGGAAAAGGGAGGGGGATAGAAATATCAACGATGAGAAAGAATCATTGAATGGCTGCCTCCTGGATGTCTCCTACTAGGAATCAAGCTTACAACTTGGGCATGTGCCCTGACCAGGAATCAAACCGTGACTTCCTGGTTCATGGGTTGATGCTCAACCACTGAACCACAATGGCCAGGCTGGTCACATCTTTTAACATATCTCCATCTATATAGCTATAGATCATCTTTCCTGTGTTTCAGAAAAAGCTGTATCTTCTCTGTATGCAGATAATAATTTAATGAAAAAAAAAGCAAAAAAAAAAAAAAAAAAAGCTGTATCTTCTCTCAGAAAGTAACCCCTCCATATAGTCAATAAACCCCATCTTTCTTCAATAGCCTAAATGTCCCCTTCATTTTTCTTTTCTACCTTGAAAATATATGTTCACTTGAAACTAGTTTACTCTAACTTATACAGTATTTCACTTAGTAATAAACTATTACATGATGTCCCCAGTAATAAACTTCCTGAATGTTTTAAGTCTACACCAAGTGTTTCCAGTTACTTCCTCTATTTACTTCCTTTGTTTGTAACTAACAGAATTTAAATGTTTATAATATGGTACTTACTAGCTTCAACGTTTAATAGCTAAATGATTTTTTGAAGATACTTAATCTCTGTCTCTTTATCTATGGATGTGGGTAATAACCTACCTAAGGTGGTTTGAAATTAAGCTAAGTAATTTATGCCAAATGCCTAATACAGTGCCTTGTATACTGCCTTCCTCAGTAAATAGTAACTTTTAAAAAAAATTTTGCAAGAGAACGTTTATTAGGTAAATTACAGAGGTAGAAGTAATTGCTAGAAGAAATGGGCTTAGGAACGAGTTACAGAGGTAAAGGAAGGGCCCTTGGAGCTTGGGAGTGAGGAAGCTACTGTGCCTGGGGGAGTGGGAGGGGAAGAGAGAGAAGGGAAGGGAAAGCGATGGGCATGCTCCTGGCAGGGAGAGCGCCAATACATATTACCTTTTATTTCTTAAGATCATATAGATTCAAAAGCTGAGATCTGAAACAAAGTAATCTTAACGCCAGAGCCCTTATCTGCCATTTTATATAGCTGCCTATGAAACTTAGCTGGAGATTCTTCTCCCTTCCAGATTTTTATTCAGAAAGTATATTTTTAAATATTGTCATGAACCACATCTAATGAACATATATCAGATTTCATTCTCTAGATTTCTACTTGACATTGTCATCTTGTAAGTTCTTTTCTCAATATTTTCTCCAAATAGTTCCTCCTCTTCTGGTCATTTGCTTTTTGTGTTTCCCCTTTCTATTTCCTGCATCACCAGCAATGATTCCCAAACCTAACTGTCTATTCCTTATCTTTCAACAGCTCCCAATTCCAGCCCGATCTCACCTCTATCTGCCCTCCCCTGCAGGCCTGATTGCCCCTAACCCCAATAGTACATTGTATCTAAACTTAATCACACACAGTAATTAAATATAAACTTATGCAGGACCTGCAATATTCTATTCTAGATGTTGGAGATAAGACATTGTCTCTGTTCTTAAACAGCTTATTTTGTAGTAAGAGAGGAACAGACAGCAAAGTAATAATTTATTGTTACAAATGCTATAATAAAGGCGTTAATTTTCTACACAACTATGTCTGTACTACAAAATTAGCACTTAATCATAGTATATTGTTTCAGTTTTAACTTTCTTCCTATAATGAGTTTCTAGAGAGCAAATCTGTGATCAGTGTTAGAACATATTATTGCCCTCAAGGAATTATCTTGGTTTCTTATCAAGCTGATGGAATAAAAAGAAAAGCATTTCTCTCAAGTAGAAGAGTGGGAAAGATTAATCTTTTGATTCTTAGGAAGTTTAAGTGGGATACATCTGTCCTGTCATCAAAATCAAGCTAATATTCTACAAGCCAAAAACTGGTTTACTCACCCTTCAGCCTCAGGGTCTAAAATGACAGCCAGCTCTGTTAATACAAGTCCTGCCAAATAATGCTGTTGGCGGAAAGGCACAGACAATTCGAACATATTTGCAATCTTCTGGTCCTGTACATTGGTGGAAAATCCAGAACTCTGTTTGGGAGTGAGATAGAACAAACTATAATAGCTGTGCAACAAAAAATTCCACAGACACACATTACAATGAACAGAATGTGAGAATTATCTAAAAGTGAGAGAAACTTTGCCTAGAATAATTTATTGCCTAAGGTTTATTACAGATCAGTTTATTTTATTAAAACTAGAGGCCCAGTGCACAAATTTGTGCATGCATGGGGTCTGAGCCCGCAGGGAGTAGTGGCCATGGATGGTTGGCTACCCAAGGGGTGGGGGTGGGGGGGAGTGCTGTGGGTGGTTGGGGCTGCAGTGTATGTCATAGTAACTGGTCATTCTAGTTGCTTGGCTTTCATATATATAGACTAGTTCTGAGCATGAAACTTGTGCATGGGGGGGGCTGGGGGGGGGGGGGGAGGTGATTATCTCAGCCCAGCCCGCATCCTATCCAATTGGACATCCCTCTGGCAATCTGGGATCACTGGCTCCTAAACACTTACCTGCCTGCCTGCCTGATTTCCTCAAACTGCCTCTGCCTGCCTGATTGCCCCTAACTGCTTCTGCCTGCCCCAACCTCTCTACTTGCCTGCTTGATAGCCCCTAATTGCCAACCCTGACCTGATCTCACCCCCAACTGCCCTCCCCTGCTGGCCTGATTGCCCCTAACTGCCTCTGCCTTGGCCCCCACCACTATGGCTTTGTCTGGAAGGAAGTCAGATGTCCAGAAGATGGCCAGTCAATCTGGCCTAATTAGCATATTACCCTCTTATTAGTATATATAGGTTATGCAGAATAGAACTGCTTAAATGAGGGGGGGGGGGGAGTCTTTTTCAGCAGGAGGCAATGCTCTTGGCAGAAAAAAAATACATAATCCCTATATCTGGACTAATAGCCAGCCATTTGCACTATACTGCCAAACTGGTCATTAACAAATTGAACTGCTTTCTTACACCTTACACCAAACAGTTGTTGCCCTTAAAAATCCCTTCTAAGACCTCACCTTGGTTTTGCCTTCACAGTTCACCCAGATTAGGTTCTGATTGGTCAGTTTCTATACCAGTCAGTGTTAAAAGCTCTGCCTCCTAGCAGTCATTAGCTCCTCGCAGTTCACCCAAATTTGGTCCTGATTGGTCAGTTTCTATGCCAGTCAGCATCTCCAGGCCTGATCATAGAGGCGGGGCTGATCAGCAGCCACCCCAAGCTGTTGGCAAGCAGGCTGAACTGCTGACCTTCCGGGGGCAGGGGGTGAGGGGGGGAGGCTGGACTGCTGGCAAGGCCTGGAGAGAGAGGCAAGGGCTGACTGGTTATTCTGGTTGCTTGGCTTTTATATATATATATATATATATATATATATATATATATATATATATATATATATATATATATATATATATATATATATATATTAGTGGCCCCAGTGCACAAAACAGCCCTTGCCTCTCTCTCTCTCTCTCTTCAGGCCTTGCCAGCAGCCTGGGGCAGCTGCTGATCAGCCCACTTCTTTCTCTCTCTGAGAGGTAAGCAGTTCAGCCCGCTTGCTAGTCCCCGCCCACCCAAGCCTGCTGCGTGCAAGCCTGGCATTTGATTGTCCCTTCGATCATTTTGGAAGTTATGGACTCTGGCTCTTTATATAGATTGGAGAAAGTACTCTTTTGGTATAAGAAACTATGGTGAAATATACTTTTGATTATTTTCAATTTATTTTTCTCATACTAAAAGTTTCCATCTGTTGTCTCCCTCCCGCCCCATCTGTTTTTTTCTTTATTTCTTTTTGTTTGTTTGTTTTATTTTTATTGATCAAAGTGTCACAGATGTCCCCTTTGTTTGTTTTTCCCCCCCACTGACCCTTTCCACCCTGCACCGGGCCCCCCTCACAGGCCTTCACCACTCTATTGTCTATATTCATGGGCTATGCATATATACCTATAAGTTCCCCAGTTAATCACTTCCCCTACCCACTAACCCCACCTTTCCTCTGAAATTTGTCAGTCTGTTCCATGCTTTTATGTCTCTAGATATATTTTGTTCACCAGTTTATTTTGTTCATTAGATTGAACATATGAGTAAGATAATGTTTTAATATGATACTCTGAATAAAAAAAAAAGCATAAGGAATATAATCAATAATATTGTAATAACCATGTACAGTGTCAGATAAGTACCAGACTAACAGGGGTGATGAATTGGTAAGGTATATAAATATCTAGTCACTATGTTGTATGCCTGAAACTCATATATTACATGTCATCTGTAACTGAAAAAGAAATTTAAAATAATGTCAACATGTGACTTGGTTCCAAGTATAGTTGTGCCATTTAACTGTGTGACCTTGGGTAAGTTACTGACTTTAATGTGTTTCAGTTTTTTCATCTGTAAAATGGGAATAGTAATAGAATTTACCTTCTAGAGTTGCTTTGATAATTAAATGATTAATACTTATGAAGCACTTAATACAGAACCTATTATACAGCTTTTATTCCAGTGTAACCTATAATTTTTCCCCAGTGTTTAAAATGCTTTTTGACAGATGTGGACTTTCAGGATATTTCTTTCTTACACTTTGCATACCTGAGATGTTGCAGAAGAAACAGAAGGTGATGGTGATGCAGGCGGAGTAAGCAGGCTACAGGGCAAGTTTAATGTAACATAGTGCTCATGGCTGCAGATGATTCGCAGAAAATCCAACCTCAAGGACACCAGGACACTTGGAATTGGTAATGAGTAAAGCTTTGAAGACACCTTGTAAGCATTGCGTAAATAAGAGAAAACCAATCGAATATATCATTCTCTAATGCCAACACCAGAAGGACAGAATAAAGAATTAAAGAATAGTACTCAGTGGGCAGCTTTGTTTTTTGTGATTTAAGTAATAGTATCAGCTGTCTCTAAAATTACTGTTAAAATACAAAATTTTGAACTACAAGATTTATTGTAGAATTCCACTGATAGGCTAACTGGCTAAGACTAAGCCACATTCTTGTTTCTAATATAGCATTAATATTCTGCTTTTCAAAGATATACTTTATGAGAAAAAAATACACCACCAAATTAACTTCATAAAAGAAGTATTCATTCTTTTTACAATACTTTGTGTTAACCTATATTTATAATGATCTATTTGCCTATTTCCCCAGCAATACCATAAATTACTTGAGGACATATATGAACAGACTTAATAACTTTAGCAACCCTAGGACCTAGTTCAATGTTCAGCAAATGTAGGAGGTTAATACTTGATGAATAAAGACAGGAAAAGATTTTGGAAGCAGCAGAACATGAAAATTTTAAGATAGAGTAAAAATAATACATACTATAGCAAATAATTATAAGTGGGTCAGTGTCCACACACAGTTTTAACTTCTCTAATAAAAGAAACATACAGTAAAGGCATCCAATAGAACAGATCTTCAAAAGCCTAAATATTTCACTGCCAAATAGCATTCTTACCCAGTAGTTCCCAAAATCTAATTTGTGGACCAGCTCGGAAGTGCTTCACAAGCACCATGTCCCTCACTCCCTACGCCCACCATCAGGATTCAAACTCCTCAATAACACTGAGATGGGACCCAGAGGTCTACATATTTTAAGAACTTCTTTAAAAGGGATCTTTAGGATGAGTTACTAGCTCACTAGCAAAACTGCCCGTTGGGTCCAATACTAATTTTTTCAAAAGTTAGATTTCACTAATAAGTTGATAAAAATTTAAAAAGAGAATCAGCTGTTTGTGGAAAAGTTCCAGACTGCTTTTAGATTAATAAGAACAAAATGAATGACATTTGGGACTTGGGTAAACATTTGTCTACAATTCTAAACTTCAAGGCTGTGTTAGGAAGAATACATAGCAAAATGCAGCTACTTTAAATATCAATGAAGACACAAAAAATGCAGTTAGTTCTTCATTTAGTATAAACATTATTTTTGAATGAAATCTCTGGGCTGCTTTACCTGGTGGTGTGCTCCAGAATGGGCCAGTGTAACCCAAGCAAAAGCCAGTTTTACTGATATCAGCTTGCTACAGTCTTGCGTTCTAACAAATGTAACTTACTTTTGCTTACTAATAAAACTATGCTATTAAAAACAGTATTAATATATGCATGTATATGAAGGTCTCTTAGCTCTGGCTGAAAAAAGAGCAAACACTGTATTTAGGTTATTTGACTACTAATTATTACTAATTATGAATTACCTGTTTATAGAAGTTCTTTATAAGGCTAAAGACAAATCCTCTGTCCATAACAGACAACAGATCATTGAGAAAGAATGCAAGACTTGTGTTGAGTCTTTCAACCATTTCTGCATCCTATGAAATGAAATCAAAAGCAAAAACAAATAAAGGTATGAGAGTTTATTGTGAGCTTGAAAAATATTTATTTATTTAAAATATATTTATTGAGTTTTCACAGAGAGGAAGAGAGAGGGATAGAGAGTTAGAAACATCGATGAGAGAAAATCATCAATCAGGTGTCTCTTGCACACCCCCTACTGGGGATGTGCCCGCAACCAAGGTACATGCCCTTGACTGGAATTGAACCTGGGACCTTTCAGTCCACAGGCTGACACTCTATGCATTGAGCCAAACCGGTTTCGGCTTAAAAAATATATTTTTTAAAAAGTCATCATTACCTTCTGAAATCGAGAAACTATATCACTGGCAATTGTACTGACAAGAGCAGCAATGTCATCCATGAAACGCTCTGGAAAACGAGATTTTCTTGCTGCATTTAGTTTATCATTAAAGTATAAATGATGCACCATGCTCTTCACCTGAAAAAATAAATAAGCCATTAGTTTAATTTCTTACAGATGCAATTAATCATTATAAAGACTCTAAACAGTAGGGCTATTTGTTTCAATATAAAACGTGATTTATTACAAAGCTGAAAGATTTTTAGCTCCTCAAATATTTTGGAAAGTTCACTATAACATTTTGTATATTCCAAAGAAATGTAAAAAAAAAAAAAAAAAAAAAAAAAAAAAAAAATGCAATCCAATCACAGGATCATCTTCATAAAATTACCCTGGCTGTGAATAGGGGAAAAAAGTGTATGTGCCGAAACCGGTTTGGCTCAGTGGTAGAGCGTCGGTCTGCGGACTGAAAGGTCCCGGGTTCAATTCCGGTCAAGGGTATGTACCTTGGTTGCGGGCACATCCCCGGTAGGGGGTGTGCAAGGGCAGCTGATCGATGTTACTCTCTCATCGATGTTTCTAGCTCTCTCTCTCCCTTCTTCACTGTAAAAAAATCAATAAAATATATTTTTTTAAAAAGTGTATGTATGCAAAAGAAAACAAATATAGCACTCCTTAAAACTGTTTTAAATTAAATCTTTCCAAGACTCAACAATTTTGCCATTTCTTATCCCTGTGAGCTTTGAGAGATTAGGAACCTGGACTTCACTGTAGTGCCTCTCGTACCTAACAAATGGTGGATGTATATTAAATATGAATAACTAAATATTTTACCTAAATATTAGGTAAGCAATAACAAAGTGATTCAAGTTGATAAAATGTTTTTGGGGTATAGATTCTTATCCCCATGTGATAATGGTAAGAAATATTTTAGATTTAGGGAAATTGAAGCCAAAATTCTACATTTAGTAAATAGCAGATCTAAGTCTTAAACTATAAACTTTTGACTAATTTATATATAAGAAATCTGAACATACATTTACAACTATCAAAAAATAAGTCAAATTATAATTTTGAACTTATATTAAAAGTACATGAATTACAAATGTGGTGCTTATTTTCTAGGGAAAAAATGAGTTACCTATCATTTATGGATGGTCCCTTTACACTTATTTGGTGAAGAAATGGCTTTATATTCTCAATATATGTAACATTCGATGCTGAGACTGACCCTATGATGTACTCTAGAAGCTCCTTTTGTGTTTCTTTTCTATCTTTCTGATTTCCTTTGTTTCTTATTTATTTTTTACATACTGCTTTTCCAGAAGAAAAAGTTTCATTGATTTCAACTTTCTAGAGGCTGAAGAGAAAGATCCCTAGTGCTTGAAAAACAGTTCTGCTATCTATAAGCAGTGTATATTTAAAAGTTACTTAATTTCTCTGTGCCTTGGTAATATTTAGCCCATGGAGACAGTGCTAACACAATGCACACATCCGATAATACATATATACACAAAAGCAATAAACAATGATGTGTGTGCATAAATATTAAGCTCCTAATTGATTCCTTTGTTTTTAATATTATTTATTGAATGAAACAAAGAAGTTTTTTAATTGGCTTTAACTAAAATAAACTTTATCATTTCAACTAAATTGTGCTGAGTGTTCACAATGTTTATTTAGGGATATAATATATGTAATTTTGTCTTGCAGGAACATGTAAAACTGTAAGACAACAGAAAAAGATTTCTAGTATAAAATAATGAGCTAACACAAAAGTGTTCACTAAGGAAAACAATATTTAAAAAATGTGTTTATTTTGCTCACCATTAACTCAAAAAAGAACCAGGCCTGCTGCAAAGCTGCCTCCCGAACGCTGCCACTGCAAACCACCCACTGCAAAGCCAGCTCCTCGTGAAAAAGCTATCCAGAAGTAAATCCAAAGTTATTACCAAAGTCAAGTCTGTTAATAACACAAACCAAATAATAATGCAACTGCAAATGAAGATATAATGAGAATAAGCAAAATAAGGCATGTGAACCATTCAATGATGCAGTGAGGACACCCATTAACGAAACGGCTATTTATACATGTAAGACAGTGGCATGTTGAATAGCTGGAAAAATTACATGTTATCTTGTGGCAAAATGTAATTTTTAGGTGGGAAATAGCCTCCTAAATTGTACCTGCAAATAGAAACTAGACCAAAAACTCAAAATTGCAAATAAAATTTTGTTTGTGCCTTACATACATATTTCAACATATGCAAATACATTAATGAACTTTGCTGGTACAACTTAGGAAATACCTTTAAAAAATTTAAACTTTGACATTAATTTTCAAGTTTTCAGGTACTGAAAGTCTTTTTATAAAAACGGCAGAAATATCCTGCCTTGCAATGGATATGCATACAAAGCATTTGCAAAGTAGTGTATAAAACTAACAAAACTGTGCATAAGGGAAGCAAATCAACATATCTTACTAAGAGTGATAATTTTTCTAACTCATCTTCCTTTTCCTGGAGATTTAAAACACAAAACAGAAGCAGTTACAGAAACAGAATTAAGAGTTGATACATTTTTTGGCACTAAAATTTGATGATCAAATTTCAATTCACTGAAGTCCACAAGCAGCCAGACCTAAAGATGCACATTAAAATAATGTAAAAGAGCCTACACTGGGAAGGCATGCCCCAAAAGGCATCAGACAAGCAGAACTTGCTCAACTGTGTTTTAAAATGCAATGGAAATTCTGCAACATCTCATATTGATTAGGTAAATAAATCTTGTATCTATTTAATTGCTGAAATTATTTTCCCTCTATATGGATTGTCTTCATATGAATCTACCTTTTTAGTTGGTAAGCGTCCCGTTAATGTTTGTAAGAAACTTGACGTCTCTGTGTGCGAAGACATACGATTACAACTTCGATCCATAGCCTATGGAGTGAAGATGAATGATGACGAGATAACATTAAAGTCTGCTGTGGATGACTTTGCAGCTCAAGGAATACATAGAATTTTTTAAATAGTGTTTTATTGTGGTTTCAGAAACCATCTATTTTATTGCTCATCTCATTTTTACCATTATAAGTTTTTTAATGCCTTAGGAATATCAAAATGACTTCTAAAATTTTTAGTCTTAAAAAGATGAATATTTTAATAAATATATAAATTCAGAGTGCTGCAAAGAATGAAATTTTTATTTGTGTGACCTATACACATGCACATAACTAGTAAGAAAATGTAAAAACATACTTCTCAACTGATCTCAGACAAAAAAAAAAAACCCACCAAACTTTTATATTCAATAAAAAATTATAAAAGTTTAGAATGATTTCTTTCACTTTCCAGTATTATCAAAAATAGTATTCAGGCTTACCATATACTACATGAAATATAAGTCAATTCTGATATTAAAATATAATTAAATTGTTCCTACAAGAACAAAAACATTTTCCTCCAAAATCAATAAACAGATGAGAAGTATATTTGAAGGTATCATGCAGTATAAGCCATCAAGCAATTAGACTTAAGTCAGCAAAACCTAATTCAACTAAGTTATAATATATTTCATACTTTGCAACACAGCACAAATTGAGAAAGTATTTTGCTTCTGGTATTTAATCTTATAGGATGGGAAGCATACTGTATACTGTTCACATTTAATTTCTGCTTTATTATCAGTATTTTTACTGATCATGAAAAAAACAACAAGATAGTAAATGCTAAACGATACAATAGCTACACTTTAAACCAAAAGCAAATGGAAAACTGTCAGGTTTTTCCACTCAAAATATTTAAAAATTCCTACTGAAGATACGCTACCCCTAAAGTAGAAACCGTTATCAAAGTCATCAATCGCATAAGCAACAGGAACTGATATAATGACAGAGTGTATAAGGAGGGAGGGAGAAGAAAACAGGAAAGCAGAACAATACTGGTGCAACTGGTGGTATTCATGCATAGTAGTTGAAAAATGTGCTAAGTAAACAAAAATACACACTTTTTAATAATTAAAAAAGCAAGCCACTGAAATCATAGTATATACTAAAAAGTAATGTTCTAGAGGGAAACATCAGCAGCCAATAAAGAAACCTCTAATATAAACACCACCTGTGTTGATTCTGCACTTGGACTGGGGTTGGATCCCCATGGGGCAGCTTTTGGACCACCAGTGTTAACCCAGGAATTGGAGCGATCTAAACCCTAAGCATATAATAGAAAGCAGTTGGAAAGGAAAGAAATATTACATGTGGCATGCTGTAAATTATTCTTAAAGAAATCCAGAATTTCCAATGCAAACATTTTTTAAATTAGTACTGTTAAAGCAACCAAAAATTTTAGGCACCTACAGAGTATTATTAGTTTACCAAAGTTAACTTATTACATACATTTTTAAAAATCACCAAGACCATGAAGAACACCATTTAAAGGTGATTTCTTTTTATGTAAAGGGATCACCTTGAAGTACCAACAACTAAAATTCCCACAGCACCCCCCTCCCATTTTCTTTAAAGACAGTATGAGTTAGCAACAGTTAATTTACTATGAACATAACTAAGGTCTCAAAAAAAAAAAAGAAGAAGAAGAAAAAACACTCCATTCTTTTTTAAAAGAATTTAATTTCATTCCATATGTCATCACTGAAAACTTTTGTGCAGTAATACTCGATAATTCTATTTGATCCTGCTTCTTATTTTCTTTTAGGGACTGATAGGAGAAATTAAGTAGAAAAAATTTTTTTTAATGCCTAATATTTGTTCCTTCTTAAAAATAATGGTAAATTTGGGGTTGTGCTCAGTTTTATTGTACTTACTATAATTAAATCTAATGAGCTACTATATACATTAAGAAAAAACATTCTGGAGCTATTTATAGTAATTATTATCTTCATTATTACAATCAATAATTTAAAGTTAAATATGTTACTAATGTGTATGACCAGAAGTGAATTATGTCTATCTGTCTCTAAAAGGGGTCATTATGATCCCAGGTGAAGAAAACTGGGGCTTTAGTTCAATGTCTTAAACCTGACTGATGATTATAATTAATTGAGAAGGTTTGTAAAATCAGATTCTAGGCCCTACTCCCAAAAATCCTGACCCAGCAATCTGGGCCTGGGAATCTGCTAACAGAACTGGAGCAAGTTATAACAAGTTTTTAAAGGATTGTTGGAGTAAGATTTATGAAGACAAACCAAGAGAAACTGACTTAAAATATCAGAAAACATCAAAGGAAGAACAAGTAAAAGACTAGAGTAGTCACAATGTTAAGCAATTCTGTAGACAGTATCACCTAGGGAAATGGATAGTCATCTACAACACAGTATTAAGAATTCAGTAATAATAGATGGTAATCAGCAGATGCAATGATAAAAGTTTACTGAAGTTTTCTTCTGATGGCTTCAATTTTCACAATGAAATAGAAGATAAAGTCAGAAGGAGGGTTAGTGAGGAGCTTTTATGAGGCTTGAGGTAACAAAAAGTGGAATGAAACATTTTCTGGGAGAATGGGAAGGTAAAGGAAATACAGAAATATATATAATTGCTTGATAACATTAGGGCTCAGAGGTTTATGGTCTTTAATTTCAATTGAGACCAGCTATCATGGTATTTCTCAAGTCTTATTCAGTGGCAGAGGTAGTGACAAGGCAAAGGAAGTCAACTGGGTTGAACTATGGTTTGAGGTTTGGTTAAGCAAGTAAAATGAAGTGAGAGAAGGGTAAGGGAATTGAGGTTTGATATAATGGGCATAATTAAAGTGATTATGATATTTTAGCTGGCTAAATTGAAAGAAATAATATTAGGGGGGTAATACACAGTACAAAGGTCACTGAATCAAGTAATTGGAGGTTGAAGAGAAATAAAGAAATTGTTAGAAAGGGGGTACTGAAGAGAAAATTAACCCTTAATGGTTAAAGAACAAAATTCATGAAATTGAGATTAAGAGGATTAAAGTTATTGGTAACGAGAAGATCTAGGTTATGACCATGGCTGAGGCAAAGTGAAAGGCAAAATCATTAAAGAAGAGTTACTTAATATCTAAACCAATAAAATCAGACTAAATGAAAAGCAGCTATAAATAAACTTCAAGCTTCCTTACAATTTTTCAATAAAATAAAATTATATACAATTATAAGGAATTATGACTAAAGGATACTCCAAAATAAAGAGAGTTAGCAAAAATTTTACAACAAAGAGAAAACATAAAAAGCATTTAAATAAAAATTCATACAAGACTGTATTATCATAAAAAACTTCCCATTTTATGATGGCTTGCTCAAAAGTTGATGTTTATCATTTTATATAATCAAAAGTAAGTTTATGTCATAGGTCCCATTTTATAAACTACTTGAAAAAAAAGCAACTAATCATTCCAATATATGTAAATCTTGTTCTAAATCTTAGATGTTGTAAGTTATCAAATACATCATATGAAAGAAAACTCTAGAATCATACTAAATGAGGCATAATGCAAATCTTATAGAAACAGACATTTTAAAAGTATAGCCTTAAAGAAAATGGTGTCTATAGTTTATAGAAGAATTGATTATAATTAACAAATCAGATTCATTCTACAAAGTATTGTGTTTTATAAATATGTAAATAATGCTAAGTATTATTAACAAATATGTAAAGAACTTGAGTATTTTTCCTAAACACGGAAAGTATGTGGGGTAAGGCTAAAAAATGTATTTTTGATCTGTGAGAAATTACTTATAAATTGTTTAAAAGTTATTTTATGCCCTAGCCAGTTTGGCTCAATGGACAGAGTGTTGGCCTGTGGATTCAAGGTCCCGGGTTTGATTCTGGTCAAGAGCACATGCCCCGTTGCAGGCTCTATATTTCGTAAGGGGTATGCAAGAGGCAGCCAATCAATGATTCTCTCTCATCACTGATGTTTCTATCTCTCCCACTCCCTTTCTCTCTGATATAAATAAAAATATTTTTAAAAGTTATTTTACAATGAAGGATGCATAATTATTCTGAAAATGTAAAATTTCTGTAACTATATGAATAGATATAAGTAATTCTGATTTTTTTTGTCAGTATTCAAGTATTTCACCTAACCAACCCAAATCTTAAATATATTCCATTATAGTTCAGACTAAGTGTTAAACACAGACCCTAGAACATGCTTATTAATTCCTTCTCATATCATTATTATGAAATGCCAAATAAAAGTTGCTATGATTCCATAAAAATAACATCTTCCTCTTTTCCAATAGGAAATGTATTTACATTTGCAATGGTTTGGTCAAAACACATGACGTGATTTCTTGGACTTACTGTTCTTTTGTCCAGCTTGTTTAAACTCTGAAATATTTTTGTACTTTAAATATAAAAAGGGAATTAACTATTTGTTCCTTAAGCATATTTCTTTGGGTAATAAAGATTAATGTTTTAAAAAATATATAGCTAGATCTTAGATTAGCTGGCATCTCCCTTATTATCTGGAGTAATCATTAACCATCATTAAATAAATCATATAATTTTAATCCTGGTGCATCTTACATAGAGTTTTTCATAAGAAATGTAGCTCAATTACCAATCTAGATTCTTTTGGAGAAGGACTTAAAATTTTGTATCACTGATGATATAGTCCTTCTACCCAGCAGTCACATAAATCTGTTCTAATTCTATATAAAAATCATTTTTCACATGATGAAAGGCAGACAAAAGTGAATAATATATGATTGGTCATCCTGGACAAATTTTAGAATTTGGCAGATTTTTTTTTTTAGCAGAAGGCACAAACCAGTTTGCAATAGCAAGCATATTTAACAGAAACACAAAACACATAGTGTTTACTGGCAAAATGGAAATGTTTGTTATTAACTCAAATACATTTAAAAATTCAAAATAAATTAAAACATTTGGACATTTCTCATTTGTTCATGAACTGAAAATCAAATTTACAGGCGCATATCTTCAGTTTACCTTACTGCCGATGATTGACCGTACTTCATCATCTGGTGACGTGGGAGTCCCAGATATATCTGGATTACTGTTACTAAGGCTCCGAGAACGATTTAAATTAAGGCTTGCAGGTCTCACAGCAGATCTAGCCATTGTGGCATAATGCACTGATCCTCCTAAACCCCCAGGACCTAGAGTTGAATATAAAACAGCAGATAATTATACAAAGAAAATTAGTCAAGAAAGGACATGAAATTAATCTGTCACTTTACAGAATTTCACCAAGACCATGAAATGCTTTTGTTTCTGAATCAAAAATACTATAAATAAGAAAAAGTCTAGACTTAATAATAAATACACTAAGATATTCTATTTCACAGCAGTTGGCAATATCGTATGAATTATAAATACAATTCTTTTCAATGTTTCTTTTTTTTTCATTTTATTATTAAGGTATTATATTGTACATATTTTATCATTGCCCTCCCATCCCACTCCCATATATGCCCTCACCCCCTCTCTTCAATGTTTCTATGATTATAGATTATGTGTACAATACAACAAAATAGAAAACACTCACATACATTATCTAGGTACACACATTGTATCTAAAACCCAAAATGCTTCAGTTTGTGTCTCTTCTTTTTCCTCTGTCCTTCCTTGCTTTGTCCCTTGATACAATCAATAGAGGGACAGCCAATTTACTGTCATAATCTCTTTCAAGAGATTATGCTTTACTCCTCTATCTTCATCAGTGACAATCTGAACTATAACAAAATGGCACCTGTGTGATATCCATATAAAAAACCTTAAAGAAAGCCCACCTTATATAAAAGAACCCTTTTCATCTAAAATCAGGTCTGACACCATTATTCAACCATGTTCCATGAACATAAATATACCCAGCGACTGTATTCATAATTTATCTCCATTTTTCTTATTTAAAGAAATCTTTCTGAATGTCATATTTGCAAATAACAAATACCTGTCAACTATTTATTTGTCTTTCACATCAGCATATAAAAATGTTTTGCATAATCTGTGGTATTCTAACAGATACTGAATGAAAGAGTAAATGGAGGAGTATTATATATAGTCCACAATCACTTCCATACTTGGAGCCTCAAATACTATAATTTTAAAAACCAAGAGAGGAAATTATGAATCATATGTGATATGAGTCAATTACTACTACTTTTGCAATTAAGAAAAACAAGGAGCTAAAATTCATGTACTATTATCCTTAGTTTTCATAATGAATGCCATAATTAATTTTCACCATTATTAATCTTAACCTTGTCAATTGCTGGAAAGGGCACTTACCATTATCACTAGTGATAAATTATGATTCACACAGACAAATATATGAGCAAGTTGAGAGATATATATGATATATTCATCAACTAACTGAACATCTAATGAGTTATTCAAATTAAGATACATCCATCACCTCCACCACCATCATGAAAAACAAATAGCTACTTTGGGCTCTAGTATTCTGAAAAGTTATATGACTTTATTAATAATGGAGAAATCAGAACTTTTCTAGAAAATAATCTTTTATATTATTATAGGTTTCACACGGTTATCAGGGTTATTTCTTCTTTAAAGTCCAATAGGACTCCAATGACAAATAAATATTCTCTTTATCTTAACAGGAAATAAAATGCTTCCAATGACAAAAAGTTATTTTCAGGGCTCATTCCCAAGAATTAATTCAACCAAGATCTACTAAAGGAAGCTGTGTAAATAATGGTGCTTTAAAGTGTAACATTTATTTTACTCCAGCACTTAGAATAGTGTATGCCACTTAGTAGGCATTCAATAAATATTTGCTGTTCATGATAAAAAGAATAAAATACCTGGTGATGGTGAATTAGGGGAAGTATTTGGTAAGCGAAAAACATAATAGATATATGATGCAAGAAGACTGTTCCTGCCGTGCTGGTCATGACTTCCATCCAGATTTTTGTGAAGCCGATTTATAATTGATGACATCGCTTCAAAAGATGCTTGACCTAGATTAACTTTTAAGAAGAAGAAAAATATTTTTGCATTAATTTTTTAGACTATAACTTCCAAAAAGGTCAAGGTTTTGTCATCTCTATATACATTAAGTATAGTGATTACACATAGTAATTGTATAAAGATATTTGATGTTTATTTTCAAAATTTATTTTTCAATTACAGTTGACATACAATAATATATTAGTTTCAGGTATACCACACAGTGATTAAACAATTTGATGTTGATATTAAAGATTTTCTTATATTAGATAAACCAAATTACTTTTCTAAACAAAATGGAAATTTTTTTTTTTTTACTAATTTAACATAAAAATTGTATGGGTTTGTTTAGTCAAAAACAAAACTTCATCCCACAGGTACCTAAATTTTATAAACAATGCAAAGCACTTATGGAAAAAAAAAATCTATCTTGGAGAAGTAAATTCTTTTTATTCATTTAATATTTCATTTTTTAAAAACTTACCTTTATTGTTGAAAGTACTACAGCTGTCTCCTTTGATTTTTGTTCTACTGAACTTCTCCAGTTTGCACCTGCCCCTCCCAAGCTTTCACCACACTAACCTATATAGCACACAATGAGCATGTAACTTTTGTTTTTAAAAAATAAAAGTAACAATGAAAGTAGATTATTAAAAATACCAATATAATAAGAAAAGAAAATAGTGAACAAGCAACTTGATAGAAATGAGTGAATTTATAAAAGGCTAGAGGCTCAGCGTGCAAAATAGCATGAGACCTAGAGTCCCACCGCACCATGGGACCCATCAATGCACCTCCTGGTGACCGGTCATTTGGTCATTCCAGCATTACAGCCACTGGCCTTTTATATATTAGATTAGGAGGGGGAAAGACTAGAAAACCAGGTTGAGGTAAGACTATACAGCATTTTATATGATATTCAATTGAGTATGTAAGAAGAATTTTACGCCCTGACCAGTTTGGCTCAGTGGGGTCCCAGGTTCAATTCTGATCAAGGGCATGTACCTTGATTGTGGGCACATCCCAGTAAGGGGTGTGCAGGAGGCAGCTGGTTGAGATTTCTCTCTCATCGATGTTTCTCTCTATCCCTCTCTCTTCCTCTCTGTAAAAAACCAATAAAATATATTTACCAAAAAAAATTTTTCCCCCCCAAAACTAAGAAATACTGGTATCACATTGAATAAATAGGTAAACCAAACAGCCATCTTAAGCAATAGAGTCTCAGATACTTCTGTACAGCAAAGAAACCAGCACCAAAATGACAAGGGGACCCACTGTATGGGAGAACATATTTGTCAATGATAAATCTGATAAGGGGTTAATTTCCAACTCATATAACTCTATAAAAGAATGACAAACAACCCAATAAATAACAAACAGGAATCATGGTTCTACTTTGCAAAAGTTAGAAATACCAAATTATAAATGCTATGATTCCCCCCAAAAAAGTAAATTACCTATTTGGCCAGCAATGACTGGAGGTCTAACAACTAAAAGTATCAGTTTATCAAGCAGAAGATGAAGAAATCGGACCACTGGTTCCAACTGAGATAAATTCAATGCTGAAATACTGCTCTTCAATTCATTTTCTAAGTTATTTTCCATGATTCGCATGTCTCCAATTCGGACAGGGAACATGTGTTCATCCAGAGCATTGACCAGAGCAAAAAACTTGTCAAGATAAGGATCCTAAAACAAAGAATGAACAAAAGCACTAAGCAAATGTAAAGATATGTACACATATAATATCTTAATAAAAAAAACAATAAAAAAGCATTAAGCAAGTATAGCTCTATAAATTCTTCAAACTATAAAACACTAAAAAAAAAATCTCTTATTAACTAATAATACAAAAAATACATAGCAGTATATATAAACATTGTTTCCAATTGAACACTAAATCCACAGTGGGTTAATATAAAATCTGCATAAGTAGGTCTATAGTTGTTAATATAAAAAATAGCAATAGCCCGGCCAGCTGAACGTCGACCTATGAATCAGGAGGTCACAGGTGGATACCCCATCAGGGAAAATGCCCCGGGTTCTGGACTTTATCCCCAATAGGGGGCATGCAAGAGGCAGCTGAACAATGATTCATTATTGATGTTTCTCTCCCTCTTCCTCCCTTTCTGGAAAAAAAAAAAAAAAAAAAAAAAAAACATTTTAAAAATACAATAATAAATAATAGAACAAGAAAAAACACTTGTGTTTTGTGTATTTACAATTGTAAATCTACTTTTGCCCCACCCTATATTTTCACTTATTATTATAAAGTATCCACTTCAAATACTACTAATTACTCAAGAAATATATTGATACTTATTCAGAATATTTTCCCCAGTGAGTCTGCCTTATTGTTTTAGAGCTCAATTATAATGATAAGATTTGTTAGTAGATTATCTGTACCCATTACTAATTTACTAGATGCCTAGTGCATAAAATTTGTGTGGTCCTTAGCCCAGCCTGCAACCTCTTCAATATGGGACCCCTCAAGGGATGTCTGACTCCCTGATTAGGCCCAATCCTGTTAGAATCAGGCCAAATGGGCAGTCAGACATCCTTCTCACAATCCAGGACTGCTGTCTCCCAACTGCTTTCCTGATTGCCCCTAATCACTTCTAGTCTGATCACCCCCAAACCAATCCGCTGCCAGCCTGATTGATGCCTAACTGCTTCCCTACCAGTCTTTTTGCCCCTAATTGCCCTCCTCTGCAGGCCTGATCACCCATAACTGCCCTCGCCTGAAGGCCTGGTACCACCCAAACTGCCCTCCCCTTCAGCCTTGTTCCCCTACTCTCCCCCAACTGCTCTCTACTGCAAGTCTGGGTCCTCCCCAACTGCCCTTCCTTGCAGGCTCGGTCACCTCCAACATCCCTCCTATGCTGGCCTGGTCACCCTGAACTGCCATCCCCTGCAGGCTTGATCGCCCCAAACTGCCCTCCCTTACAGGCCTGGTGCCTCCCAACTGCTCTCCCCTGCTGGCCATCTTGTGGAGGCCATCTTCTGTCCACATGGGGGTAGGATCTTTACCCACATAGGGGCAGCCATCTTGTGTGTTGGAGTGATGGTCAATTTGTGTATTACTTTTTTATTAGATAGGATAGAGGCCTGGTGTATGGGTGGGGGCTGGCTGGTTTGCCCTGAAGGGTGTCCCAGATCAAGGTGGGGGTTCCCTTGGGGTGTGTGGCAGCTTGGGCGAGGGGCCTGTGGTGGTTTGCAGGCCGGCCATGCCCTCCGGTCACCCAAGCAGAGGCCCTGGTATCTGGGGTTTATTTATCTTCTACAATTGAAACTTTGTAGCCTGGAGCGGAACTAAGCCTCCTGCTTGCTCCATGGCTGCAGCCATTTTTGCTGGGATTTATTTATCTTCTATAATTGAAACTTTGTAGCCTTTAGTGGAGGCCTAGGCCAGCCAGGGTGTGCAGAAAGCTTGGCTTCCTCCATTGCCAGAAAAACCCAAGCCTCCTGCTTGCTCCGTGGCCACAGCTATCTTGTTTTGGTTAGTTTGCATACTCACTCCCAATTGGCTGATGGGCATGGCTTGTGAGTGTAGCAAAGTGATGGTTAATTTGCATATTACTCTTTTATTAGACAGGATTGCTCTCAGCTCCATCTATACCCAACTACCTATTTACTCTATTATCTCCAATCCTGAACAGCAAACAAACTACAGGTGCCTATAGGACATTGTCATCTAAATTGCATAGGCATGTCAAACTCAACAAGATAAAAAATAAATTCACTGTAGTTTCACAATTGCTTCCCCTTAATGTGCTCCCAAATTTACTTCTCTCATGTTTCCTATATTTAGGTCAGAAATCACCATCTACCTGGACTCCAAACTGTAAAGGATTCAAATTCCGTCATAATCTGTTACCAGCCTGGTCTTCCATCTTTATCTAACACAATTTCCCATGCACTTTACATTGCCTGCCCGTCCTTAAACAGATTACTGTCTCTTTGCCAGTTGAACGTCGTTTTTATCTTCTGAGTTGTCCACCTTTCTCTGTATGGCAAATGCCTACTTATCAGTGAAACACCTCAGTTCCCAGCAAAACAGACAACTCCTCTGTACTTGATTTAGTTCATATGTCTAACATAGTATATATTTTATTGTATTGTAATTATTTTTACATTTCTCCCTATTGTAAGGTAGGAAAGTCTCTTTTCTTGACAGGTAATGACATCCCTGACCTCATGAAGTTTATAGTCTAATGGGAAAAAGAACCAATAAACAAATGCATATTACGTTAAGTATATGTATGTACATGCAAACACACATGGACAAACAGTGAAAGTGCCAGAATGCATGAGAGCAAAAGGCAGTAGTAAATGCAAGGTAAGATGACACAGAATAATGAGGCTGCTGTTTAAGTCACCAGAAAAGTTATCTCTGATATAAACAGAAGCCTTAATGAAGAGAGGTCAAATGAATGTCAGGAGGAAAAGCCTTCCAGCTAAAAAAATAGTTAATGTAAAGGCTTTAAGGAGAACGTGGCATATTCAAGAAGTACAGTGAAGAATGTAGAGTAAATGATCCCTAAGAACACTTTCTATTTGAAATATCTAAGTCTATGATAAATAAAATATGTTGGATGATGCTTTTTGAACTTTAAAGTACTGCCATGTACAAGAAAGTTAGGGACAAAAATTATTTAATTGTTCAAAATGAAGTCAATAATATTTTGAAAAGTAAAATATTTGCTTTGGTTGACATTAACATTTTGTTGATAAAAAGAAATTTATAAATCCTTACATTTTTAACTGACTTATATTCCTAAGTCTAACAGCAGGCAACAAAACTGATTTAAGTACTAGACAATATGTTCAATTCATTCAAGTGAAATTTGATCATAAAAATTATTAACATTCACTTACTTGTGTATGGATAGATGAAACAGCAACAACTTCAACATTAAAAACACCTTTGTGGTTATCTACCCATTTCATGCCAGGTAGAGGAACCTATAAAATATAAATTACAACAATCGCAGATGTTTAAGTTGGTTATAAACTCTGAAAACAGATTTTAAAATTATAATATCTTGATGAGAAAAAAATCTGTGAAATATATTTTTATGCACTGTAAATAAATGTAAAATTTATGCTTAATTCTTATTATAAAAATCAATGCTTTCTAAATGAAGAGGCTCAAAAAGCCAAAAGCAGAAAATATACATTCAAAATTGTATCTTCCCAGAGACATGTCCCTTTATGTAATCCCAAATCTTCCTCTAGGAAAATAAGTGATTTTTAAAGTTTTTTAAAAATATATATTTTATTGATTTTTTACAGAGAGGAAGAGAGAGGGATAGATAGTTGGAAACATCGATGAGAGAGAATCATCGATCAGCTGCCTCCTGCACACCCCCTACTGGAGACATACTTGCAACCAAGGTACATGCTCTTGACCAGAATCGAACCTGGAACCTCTCAGTCCGCAGATTGATGCTCTATCCATTGAGCCAAACCGGTTTCGGCTAGGAAAATAAGTTTTATACACACCCTTACATAGGTGATATCAAAGATATTTTATAACCTGTTTTTCACATATTACATTGTGAATCTGTTTTCATGTCCACAGTACCATTTTAATGGTTTATAATATTCTTTTTTTTTTTTTTAGGCATTTTTTAAATTAAATTATTATCTGTGTACTTTTTTTAAATTTTATTTATTTATTTATTTATTTTTTAATCAATCTTTATTGTTCATATTATTACAAAGGTTCCTCATTTCTTCCCCCCTCCACCAGGTTCCCACCCCACCCTCTGCCCCCTCCACATCCCCCATTGTCCTCATCCATAGGTGCACAGTTTATGTTCAGTCTCTTCCTCCTTCCCTTCCCCAATCATTTTTTATTTTATTTTAAACACTCTTCTTTTGTTTTAAGTGGGTTTAAAATCTTCATAAACCAAGGAATTCTGTTTTACAGATGAGAAAACTTTTCTTTGCTAGAAATTAATTAAAATTATATAATAAAATCTTATTTTTAAAAGAGAATACATCTGCAGAAACCAGTTTGGCTCAGTGGATAGAGCGTCGGCCTGCAGACTGAAGGGTCCCAGGTTTGATTCTGTACATCCCCAGAAGAGGGTGTGCAGGAGGCAGCTGATGGATGTTTCTCTCTCATCGATGTTTCTAACTCTCTATCTCTCTCCCTAAAATAAATCAATAAAATATATTTTAAAAATTAAAAAATTAAAAATAAATAAAAGAGAGTACATCTGTTCTATTTCTCCTGCTAAGTCCTGCCAAAAAATAGAAGCATTGATATAGGAATGCAGACAGGCTAAAACCTCAGGAGGGAGGAGTAATAAGGTAGTGTTTCCTGGGTTTTATTTTTGCCTGATATATCCTAAACTAGGTGCTAGAGATGCTGTCTAGCCAGAAACATCAAAAGGAGCAAACAAACAAAATTTCAAGAAAGGTCTGCTCTCTCTTTTTAAAAATATTTTTTATTGATTTTTTTACAGAGAAGAATAGAGAGGAATAGAGAGTTAGAAACATCAATGAGAGAGAAACATTGATCAGCTGCTTCCTGCACACCCCCTACTGGGTATGTGCCTGCAATCAAGGGCATGACCTTCACCAGAATACAACCTAGGACCCTTCAGTCCGAAGGCCGACGCCTATCCACTGAGCCAAACCAGTTAAGGCAAGGTCTGCTCTCTTAGGTCAAAGCCAATATTTGACCTACTTTGGCAAAAACAAATTGCAGTCCCATGCCACCTCCACATGCTGAGTGGGGAGCCTGGGTCTCTACCCTCAGCTGGCTATAGAAGGTGCACATCCCCAGCTCTCCCCACACACAGTGGGTGGTATCAGAAAAGACAGTCCAGTGGTACCCCACCAACCATGGTGTCAGTGGAGGCCAAGAGGAAAGCAGTAACAAGGTGCCCCTCCCCCCTCCTAGCCAGGGAGGTGTTAGCACAGACTAGTGGGGAGCCTGAAATACAGGCCCTCACATCAACACATTGCTATGTGAGGAATGTGGAACTTTCCCTAGCAACAGCCTCTTCCCCCACTGTTAAAACACAGACATAAATAAGAACTAGAGTCATAATCTAAAATGCTCATATCTAATAAAAATCATCCATCCTAACCAGAACCAGGTCAATCTCAACTTAAATGAGAAAAAGACAACTGATACCAATACTAAGATGATATCATGTTGGACAGATTTGACAGAATTTTAAAGCAGCCATCATTAAAAACAAACAAACAAACAAAAAAACCAAAAAAAACACTACAACAAGCAATGATGAATACCTGTGAAACTAATGACAAAATTATACACTCAGAAATAAGTAAGTAAATAAATAAATAAATGGGTTTCTTTTCCATGGTTTCATATTTTTATGTGCAGAAAAGAAAATCAAATAAAATTAATTTCCTGTTAAATAATTCAACATAAATAGGTATATATGAATGTCTCTATTGAGGCAAACAATATAGATTTAGAAATATTTCTGGAAAAAAAGAAAAAGCAGTGAATTTAAGTGGCTCAAAGCAAAAATCAGTACTAGCTCTATCGACCCAAAATACTGTTTTCAGTATTACAAAAAACAAAAAGGGTGGGGGACACAGAAATAAAATGTGAACACATACTTCTTTAAAAATAGCGGTTCTCAAAGCTTGAACTAAGGATCAGCAACACAAACATCTGGGCACTTGTTTGAAATGTAAATAATTAACACCCATCCCAGATCTACTGCATCAGAAACTGGGGTAAGGGGGTGGAGGGAGTAAGGTCCAATAACTGGTGTTACAACAAAGTCTCCAGGTGATTTTGATGTTTGCTGAAGTAAGAATTGCTGTCTTAAAAAATTCTAACAAGCAGTGTGGTAAAAGGAATGGTGTAATAGTAGCAAATATTACTTTAGTACTTTTTATGTGCTTGACTTCATTCTAAATGCTCTGCATACCATTAAATCATACAATTATCAACACAACTCTTTATTATAAGCATTAATTACTCTCCTCAATTTACAGATGAGAAAATTCAGACAGAGAGAGTGGTGTCTTAGCTAGAGTGCTATTATAAAACACCATATGCTGTGTGGCTGAAAACAACAGGAATTTATTTTCTCACAGTCTGGAGACCTCAAGTCCAAGATCAAGGCACCAAAATGGTCAGTATCTGGTGAGAACCTCCTCCAAGCATGCAGATGGTCACCATCTCACTGTGTCCTCAAGAGAAAGCAAACTCTCTGGGTCTCCTTATAACTAATTCTATCATGAGGCCCCACCCTCATGACTTCATGTAAACTTAATTCCTCTCAAAAGGCAAATCTCTAAATACTATCACATGTGGGAGTTAGGGCTTCAAAACATGAGCTGGGAATGGGGACCACAACTCAGTCCATAACAGATAAATTAAGACACTTGCCCAAGATCACACAGCTGGAAGTGGTGGAGCCAAGAGTACTAGCAAAACCCTGGTAATTACGCCACACTGCCTTTCAAAGTATGCGAGGTTTAAAACAACAAAATATCTCACAATTCCACACCCCTTCAATAACTAACTTTGCTAAATTTGATGTATATTTTCCAAACTATTTCCCACACAATTACTGATGTACACCTACATACTAAGTTTGGTTGTCACTATATGTTTTTATGTTTTATTCTAAATATCCTATTGAGATATTGCAATCTATATCATTCCTCTTACTACCATACTATTCATTGTATGGATATACAAAAATTCAGATTGTAAATATCCAGATTATTTCCATGTTTTGTTTTTTGCTAATACCAATAATTCTATAATTTTTTCTATTTAATTCATACAACAAATATTTATTAAAGTCTATCTATTTTTCTAGGTTTTGGGGTTTCATGGTAAGGTCTACATAAGGTCTACATAAGTAGACATAAGGTGTACTCTCAGGCAGCTGACATGAATAGAGAAAAAAAAGTATGTAATTTCAGATAGTGATAAGTAGTAAGTAAATAAAATTTGATTAATATGATAGAGTATATCAGCAATGTGGAGGAGTAAAGGGTTGAAAGTTCATGAAGTGAAGAAAGATTTTTCTGAGGAGGTGCTATTTTACATACAATTCAGAGAATGATAAGAATCCAGCCATGTGAAGAACAGGAAGAGAAGTAAGATGATTCAAAGACTTGGAGGCAGGAAAATTTTTGGAAGAAATTCTAAGTACAGAGACAGGCTGCAGTTATGGCAAAAGACAATGCTAGAGATGAGGGCACATCCTCAGATCATTCAGAGATTTGAAGGTCATGAGGAAAAAATCTGGACTAAATTTTAAGGACAACAAAAGGCCAGAGGAATATTTTATTTTAATCAAAAGAAATACTAAATCTTGGTAATACAATACTGAATGGAAAAAGCAAGTTCCAGCCTGGCTGGCACAGTTCAGTGGTTGAGCGTCGACCTATGAACCAGAAGATCATGGTTCGATCCAGGTCAGGACACATGCCCAGGTTGCAGGCTCATCTCCGGTGTGGAGTGTGCAGGAGGCAGCCAATCAATGATTCTTATTCATTGTTGATGTTTCTATCTCTCTCCATCTCCCTTCCTCTCTGAAATCAATGAAATACTAGTATCTTTAAAAACAGAAGAAAAAAAGCAAAAGTCCCAATAGAATACATAAAATTAGAAATTTTGGTTTAATTCATAACATAAGCAAATTTTAAAAATGTATTATTTAGTCACACACAAAATTGTTTTATGAGGCTAGTTTTCGAGATAATATGACCATACTTAATGCCATAGAACTGCATACTTTAAAATGGTAAATTTTATGTTATGTATATTTACCATAATTTTTAAAAAAGAAAGCTAGCTTTTTATAGAGGAAAAAAGAGTATGGGATGGAGAGGAACAAGTAAATGATGCAAGTTATTCTAGTTCTTGAATTGCATGGTGGATACATCACTGTTTATTATATTAGTAAATAAAATAACAATAAATTGAAAAATGTAATTATCTATATATAGATTTAACCACTGCTAAGTTTAGAAATATGCTATCTGTGGATCTTTGCATACTTAAGCAATTATATCTGTAGAATAAATATTTAGAAGTATAATTCATGAGATAAAGGTTATGTATATTTTTCATTGTGACATGTATCAGGCAAAAACAATAAAATAAAAAAATAAAAAAAACTATTTTAAGGTCCAAGTGACTATGATGAGTGCTGAATACCATAATCCTAAAGAGAAAAAAAATCTGCTGACCATGCTGGTCTCTACTAATACGTCTATCTTCCACGAATTTTGTAAATATGAATCTGCTTCTAAGAGCCCAATAAACACTGATCCTTAAAAGCTGATGACACTGAAGTGAGGTAAATTCACCAAAGCACCAACAGTCTGTTGATGTTTATTGGTGGCCAAGGTTTTTCTCTCAGCATAAGGTTCCAAAAGTTATTTAACAAGAATAAATCTAATGTTAGGCATGTTATGCTCGAGGTATCTGTGGAATATCCTGGTAAAGAAAAATAACTGGCAAAATATGGATGAGCAGAGATGCAGATTTAGGATTCATCAACTAACAGTAAGAGTCAAGAGTATCTTGGTTTTTGTACAAGTTATACACTTTGGAAGTATTATACTGTTCACATGAACTGCAGCCAGTGGTCCTGCCTAGGAAGAGAACTTACAGGTCCAGAGTGAAAGGAACATGAAAACTTAAGGGGAAAATAGCTAACAATCAAGAAGAAGAGACAGCCGGGACCGGTTTGGCTCAATGGATAGAGCGTCGGCTTGGGGACTGAAGGGTCCTGGGTTCGATTCCGGTCAAGGGCATGTACCTTGGTTGCGGGCATATCCCCAGTAGGGGGTGTGCAAGAGGCAGCTGATCGATGACTCTCTCTCATCGATGTTTCTAACTCTCTATCTCTCTCCCTTCCTCTCTGTATAAAATCAATAAAATATATTTAAAAAAAAAAAAAAAAAAGAAGAGGCAAAACAAAGTCACATAAAGTTCACCTTCCTTTCTACCCAGTATTAAAAAGGAAACAATCCACTGATCACTAGAAATGGTCAGTCAAATATCAAAAAACAACAGTTCATTGGTTACAGAAATTAGTTTACCAGTATCGAAGCATGCATATATAACAAGCCTCATATTCTAAGCCCAAAGAACTACTGGAGTTACACATATCAAAAGGTCTCTGACCTTCAAACAAAGCTCAACCTCAGCCAGGAAAGTAAATAAAAAATTGCATTAAGCAATGACCTATAAAAGTTCAATGTTGAAATACTTATCTCTCACATATTTTAAATTAAACAGTAAAATCAGTAATATTTACTATTCTTTAAATAAAAGCTAAGAATATATACTGTTATTTTAATATATTAATTAAAATATGCAAAAGTGTAAGCACTTTCAATCAGGTGCTTTCCTCAGTATCAATCAGCCATACTACATGTCTATAGTCAAATCCAAATCTTCACCGTATTTTTTATATGTGAGCATACACAACATGGTAAAAGAAGCCACCAGCTTTGCTTTAGAAAACTGACCTTGCATTTGCAAATCATAGAAAATCAAATATATAACTTCCATAAAATCATATTTTCTTTCAAAATACTTCCTCTTGAAATATAATGCCCCCCTGGCAGAAGACTAAGTTATTTACTGAAGAAATGTGTTCCTGAAAAACTAAATGACAGATTAGGGAAGGAGGGGGAGAGTCATATTTTTAATTTCTAATAATAAATATTGATTTCCTACTATGAGCCATGCAGTATTCTAAGTACTTCTAGATACAGCAATGCACAAGAAAACTCCTACCCTCACAGTTTATAGCCTAGAGATAATAAATATATAGATACATAATCTATAAAGTCAGTGATAAATACTATGAGAATGTAGCAAAGTAATGGGATAAAAAATGGTGAAGGCTGCTACTTGAAACAATTGTCATAGACAACCTCTCCGAAGAGATGGCATGTAAGTGGCTATCTGAATGAAACGGAGAAGCAGGCCTTGAGATAAAGCATTGCCAGCAGACAGAAGTGCAAAGTGCCTGGGATGAAATGCTCTTTTCATGTTTGAGGAACAGCTAAAGTGACTGTGCTATGAGACTAGAGCACAGTGAGATAATGGTGAGAAATGAGGTCAAAGCAGTAGCATTATATTGTTTCTTCTTCTGTTTTAAAAAAATAAAAACAATACTAATTTACTTGTGAATACTTTCTGAGTTCTATTCTGAAAATAATTCCACCAGGACAACATAAACAATACATATTTCAGACATATTAAACATATTAATGTTTATATTGATGGTCAAAGCAATAAATGGATTGGTAATCATCCCATAGTAGTTCTCTTAAAGGGCACTTTGGTTTTTGAACAGTGGCTACTGATTCTCAAGTGAGATTTTTCCAATGTTTTTGTTTCTTTCAAGTCACATATAATCATCAAAGCTGCTAATGTCTCTTAAAATAAAGGAGTATGTTTATAGCATATTTATAGGCACTTTATTTTCACATATATAATCAGCAATTATAAAAAATTTCTTTTAAAATAATTTAAATCTGTTCTCCCTCTAGCCTTTTAGTTAAATACTAGAGGCCCAGTGCATAAAAATTCATGCACTGGACAGGGGGAGCCCTCAGCCTGGCCAGCCCCTTCTCACAGTCCACGAGCCCTGAGGGGCAGGAGGTGACCCTGAGATCAGGGGAAGGCGATGCCTCTCATCACACCTCTGCTACTACCACTATTGGCAGCGCAAGCCTCAGCTGGCCCTAGTTACCTGAGCCTCGGGTGGGCCCTAAGCGGCTGGGCAGCTACCATTTCAAGGCTTGCTTGTGCTTCAGCCTGCTCTGTGTGCCTGAGCCTCAGTCAGGGGGGATGCAGGAGGATCCAAGACCCCCAACGGAGATGACTTCTGCAGCCTGCAAACAGAGCAGCTGGCCCCGCCCCCACTGTGGGTGCTGCCATTTTATAATGGCATGATGGTCAATTTGGATATTACCTCTTTATAATATAGGATTATCTACTAAAAGAAAGACTTATTTATTTAAAGAAATTTCTCATGCTATAATATAAAAATTTTCCAGATGTATCTTTTCTTTGAGTTTATATTTCATGTATTATTATTTTTAAATGAATAAACTTATATTTTTAAAAAATAGTATGAAAGCTTCTTAGTATTCTGTAATTTTAATTATAAGAGAAAATAATATTATTATTTATTATCAACATACTTATAGACAGAATTGCAAGGTCTTGTTTGAAAAAAACACCTTTGTAATGAAAACCCATTTTGTTCAATCTGGAGAATTTCAACATGAGAGATACTGACCTCAGGAGACAGTACAGAATAAGCCTGTGGTGGTTTTTCCAGTGAGACCGGTAGGCAAAATTGCCCAGTCTTTAATCGTCCATTCTGAAGCATTGGTATCCACTTTTAAATAAAAAGAAAACAATATTCATTTAAATATGTTTGTTACAAAAGTAATTGCCTCTGAATATGAGCCACATTTGTCTCCCATCTCCAAACACCGAAGGTATTTTAATTATGTAATTATGAGCTTTCATAATTTCTCCAAAGTTTCCCTGACAATATTTTATTAAGGATGATCTGTGAGATATTATTAGTCCTAACCAATTATACAATTTTTAAATCTATACAAGGTCCTTAGAAGCTAAGGGAAAATTGGTAGTAGAAAAAGGTCAGAGTGTTTCAATACTAAACTGGGATAGCAGTGTCAATATAAGAAGAAAAAAAAGGATTTGATTATATATGACTGTTGAAATAAAAATTTAAAGTGTGAACATTAATTTATTTTCTTACATTTAGCAAAATTCATGTCATAAACTGCAAAGGATAATAAAATAAATCAAATGTTGACTTTTCTCTTTTGGGTGGAGGCATGAATTTTCTAACAAAGTAGTAATAGCACATTATGATGTCCTTCACCTTAGATTTGCTTTTGCAATTCAATCAAAATGATTTTCAAAAAGTACTCAAGTTTTTTAATTGCCTTTAATTGAAGTAAAAATATATTTAATTGACAAAAGTCCTTTTTTTTAATCACTTTATATTCAAACTACTCTTTTCTGAAGAACCCTTAAAATTATATTTATATTGTATAGTTGAATAAACATAATAATTAGAACCAACAACTAATGTTTAGACTTGTTAGTCAATTAATTACAACAATGAGCATTTTATTATTATAGTGGTCCTTCCTAACCAATGTGGGGAATCAGATAAGAATTATTATACCAACTACATATATCTTAAATATTGTACTAGTTTTAAGATCAAAGAGCTAACTATTTAACAAAAATATACTTACTGTATATCCAACAGGAGTTTCAAGAGGAGTATTTTGTTTTTGTTGACAACTAACATGATAAAAAGTAAAAAGCAAGTGATGATGGTCAGTTAAGGTAGCAGGGAGTTTAACCTTGATTTCTTCATGAAAATCAGGAGACCTTTATACAAAAACAACAAAACAAATCAACAGTCAGTAATTTCTTCAAAATAAAGAACTACTGCATTTGTATAGTTGAATAATTTTAAAATTAATTTCAGGATTCATGTTTAATTTTTCTTCTAGTCCAAATATTTTTTATTCCCAAATAAGTAACTAACTCCTACTTCTAGATGAAGGAACTGTCACTGTTTCTAAAATTTCTCCTCCCATTTTTATTAATAGGTTGAGTAATCCTATTATTTGAAAATTCATTAATAATTACCATCTTGATATTGAGACCTTCATTAGATTGGAAACTATAAAAGAGGAGACTATGTTAAGACTTTCTATTATATCTATACTAATTCTTATACACATCAGATAAAAAATAACAGAATTTTATAAGAGTATATTTTAAAACCATGCCACAGAAAAACATTTTTCTGTTATAAGAGTATAGCTTCAAATTAAGACTAATTTGTATTATCCTTTTGTTAAAAAAAGAAAAAAGAAAGAAAAAGGTAATCTTTAGACAACTTAGTAACAAGTGGGGCTCTCTATGAAATGTCTTACATCAATTATCCCATTGCTAAAAAAAAATAAATTATGTTACTAAAACACTAACAGCTCAAAGAAAAAAAATCAGGGAATACCCACAAATTGCATTTGTTCAACATTTTAGAAGTGTTTCCAGTCACTATAAAGAATACAGCAAATATATTTGATCAAACCAATGAAATTTTCATCTCAATATCCATTGAGAATTTTTATAGAAAACCATAACTATTATTTATTATATAGACTTGAAAGGGATAGAATCTTAGCATCCCAATCTTCCAGGTTGAGTTAGTATCTCTCAGAGTTATCTTCAATGAAAATGCATCCAAACTATAGAGCTCCAACTACCTTTAAAGTGAAGGCTGTTCATCCAAAACCAATTAGGTTATTTCTCTCTCTGACACTTATAGGTCAAATATTCTTTTCAGATAAACCCCAAAATGCTAAAGGGTGTAGATTTGATCACAGAAATAGTAAGTGGAATGAAATTTTTAATACCCATAAGAAAGACAGCCAATGCTAGCCATCTGAGAATTTGATGACTTTGGTGAGTAAAAAGATGCTACACATTTTACTACTGATCTTCCTAGTCATCCCTGAATTAATGAGAAGTTTACTAGAATGTTTGACTATACTGTCATTTAAATACTACTAATTATAAGAACAACAAAAATAAAGACTTAGGCATAAACTAAGATATTTTTTAAAATTACTACTTTATCAAAATTTTTCCTTGTATGGAGTGTTTTAGTTAATGTCTTTCTTTAGATTGTATTTCTGTGAAGACTTACAGAAAATTAAACATCTTCTAATTATTCATCAGCGAGTGAATTGCCCACCTTTAGGTTAGGCATTGTATTACTTTTGGTGGGTTTAAAGATGAACATAAAAAATAATTACCCTCAAAAATATATAATGTAGTAGAAATATAAATAGAATGGGGGTTGGCAAACTATTGCACACAGACCAAATCCAGTCAACTGCCTAGTTTTGTTCAAACTATAAACTAAGTATGATTTTTATATTTTTACACAGTTGAAAAAAACAAAAGTATACTGGTTCACTTTAAATATTACATGAAATTCAAATTTTAGTGCCCATAAATAAAATTTTATTGGAAGACAGTCATGCCCATTGATTTGCAACTTTACTTACTGGCTATTGCTGCCTTTGAACTAAAAATAGCAAGACTGAGTAGTTGCAACAGAGACCACGTGGCCTACAGGGCCTAATATATACTATTTGGCCCTTTGTGGAAAAAGTTTGCCAACTCCTGGGATAGAGCATATAAAGTTAAATGCTTTAAGAACAGAGTTCAACAGATTTCTTAAAATTTTAGGTCAGGGAATTTTATTTAGGAAGAGATATAATATAGGCCTTAAAGAATGAGTAAAAGCTCAGTAGGTAGAGGGTATATGTATATAATAGAAATAAAGATCCAAGAAAGGCCCAGAAATAGGACAGCACATATTATGTCTGGTGATGAGATAGGAAGAAAATCATCAAGATATAAAAGAAAGATACTTGAATATTAGAGAAAAGAAGAAAGAAGGTAAGAATGTCTTAAAGTTTGAGTCAAACTAACAGAAAAACAGATAGGGTCAGGAAGAGGGCCAGGAGAAAATAGATGGAAATTGAAAACGCAGCAGAGAATCCAAAAGAATATGCCCAATAGGCCACTGAAAATACACATTAGAAAGAAGGTACTGTCTAAAAATAAAAGTTGTGAGCAATCCACATAAAGGTAAAAGCATTTTCATTGAATGTAAGTCTGAGAAATACATAAAATTATTTAGGAAGAGAATGGTATAGTAATAGAGGGTTAAGAACAAAACCTTAGTGTTTTGTATGGAATGTCTGTACTTAAAAGAAAAGAAAAATTGAGAATAATTACTACAGAAGAAAAAAGTGTTCAAAGAGATAGAGGCCATAAAAAAAGGTGAGGTCCAAGAAAGTTTTAAGGAGGTCAGGGGAAACATGCTGTACAACAGCAGTGCAGAAAGACGTGTTTTGTTTGTTTTTTAAGAACAGGAAACGTAAGCTTCTTTTTGACAGTAAAAGATGGAGCTAATGAAACAGGAGATTGATGATGCAAGAGAGGGGATAACTGATGAAGTCATATTCTGGAAGAAGCTGGATAAGATTGAGAGCAGATTCACATTGAACAGGATGTGGCCCATTACTGCCTTTGAAACAGATGGAAGGCAGATCAGTGCAAAGATATTTGAGGTGAAGGGCAGAAAAGCTGATGGATCTCAAGTGGGATGGATTCAATCAACTTAAATAAAATAGAAAAGCTAAGAATAAAAGCAAACAGAAAAAAGGTAGCAGCTAGAGGAAGAGGAAGAAAACTTAAAATAGCTATTGCATAATTAGAGAGTAAAAAGTGATGACAAAAAAATTAACAAAAAATTATCTTTTGGGGCAAAAAGAAGATAAAATAACCTATGATAGTACTGATTGGTACTCCAACAGCATTCAATTAAAAAAGAAAGAACAAGTCCTAACTGGTTTGGCTCATTGAATAGAGCATCGGCCTGCGGACTCAAGGGTCCCAGGTTCGATTCTGGTCAAGGGCATGTATCTTGGTTGTAGGCACATAACTAATAGGGAGTGTGCAGAAGGCAGCTGATCGATGTTTCTTTCTCATCAATGTTTCTAACTCTCTATCCCTCTCCCTTCCTCCCTGTAAAAAAATCAATAAAATATTTTTTAAAAGAAAAAGAAAGAACAAAAGCAAAAATTAAAGGTTATCCAGTTAATTTCTCAAAGGAGTAAAATGGAAAGGTACCAAATCAAAGGATTATTGGTTGGTGAAAATATCAATTTAATTGACTAGTGGTTTCAAGCTTAGTAAAGAGTTAAATAAAGCTGCAAAATGTTAGGGGAATACCATAGGAAAAGACTGAAAAACCAGAAGCCACAAAGATAATCAATTGTAATATAATAAAAATGAAAGGATCAAAGAATTTGATAGAAAAGATGTTTTGTATATAAAGTCTTATATTTGAGATGTATATAGAAAATATGGATCCACATGTTGAAAATTATAACTATGATGTCAGCTGTCTTGAATTTGCACATTCAGTGCAGCAAAGCATTTGGGAAACACACTAACGTGAGTGTTAACAATGCCACTGAGAAGTGAGTAATTTTGAAAGAAATATTTGAATTCAGTACCTGTTATGATATACTACGGCTGTATAGGCTTCCTTTGAAAATTCTGAACAGCTAGATTTACCAAAGATTACCTGTAACAAATAACAGCATGTTGAAACTTTGTTGTAATAAATGTTGGATGTTTCATATCTATGTAAGAACTTGTCTGATTTAATAACTATTTGAGAAAAATGGGCAAAATTAGCCCAATGAAGAACAATGTGCCTACGACGATCATTAATAAGTTCAATTGATTAATTCTAAATTTCTTTTCAACTATGGACCCATCTAACATTCAAACATTCAGAAAATTTCTATCCATTATATTTATTTATATTGGGGAATAAGGTACATTTCTTTCCTTTTTGAAAGAAGATAATTCATCTTATAATCTGGATACAGCACATCATTTGAAATTTATATATGAAATATGGCCCTAACATGGTGGCATATATCTACTATACAAATTGGTGGCTTCTCCACTAAGACAGCAGTCATTCTGAAAGTCAAATATGTATTATTTATAAATGATATTTAAAAATCCTATTTTAGATATCCTTTGCTTCCAGTACTCCCTGCAAGCTACTCTAAAATGGAGGAGCGCTCCACTTTATATTCTTTTAAATTTTTATCTTTATTGCTGAACATTATACAGACCCATTTTATATTCTAACATGTATTTTAAAAATCCACCACATAAAAAAAATACAATACTACTTTTGAAGAAGTTTTAGCAGTAAAATAATACAGTCTTATACACCTGCCTCTTGAATTCTAACAACAAGTGGTGGTTAATTAGGGCAGCTAATTAGAATGTTGGCTTAATGATGTCAAAGTCACAGCTATGATTCCAGGGGGTGACAGGTAGGCCTGCAATGTTATCTAGCCACAAGTCATTCAGCACACTTTCATCAACAAAACTGGTAAAACGACTCAAATTTATTCCTATACAAAGGAACTAATTGGCATCATCCCCCCCCAAAAAGAACATATTAATAGGTATTTTGTTTCTTTTTGCAGTATCTCAAGCAGGCCCTTTTATTTTAAGTGTAATAATTATGGCTCTCCTAGAAAACTCTAACCCATTTACTAAACATACTTCACTATATTTTTATAAAAGGTTGTTCTAGCCGTGGCCCGGGTGGCTCAAGTGGTTGGAGTGTCTTCCCTTACACCAAAAGGGAGTGGGTTTGATTCCTGGTCAGGGCACATACCCAGGTTGCGGGTTCAGTTCCCAATTGGGGGCATATGCGAGCCAACAGATTGATATTTCTCTCTCACATTGATGTTTCTCTCTTCCTTTCTCTCTCTAAAATCAATATCCTTGGGTAAGGATTAAAAAACATTTTTAAAGATTGTTCCAGTGCCAGAATTAGAGTTTATGGTTTTATCATACTGACATTATATGATCAAAAATTATCTTAGTCTTTGTTTTTTTCAATAAGCAAACAAAATGTGTCTGTTTGTATACTCTTTCAAAACAACTATTCACATAAACATAAAAAAACATTATATTTTCATATGACTAATAATATACAAATAAAGGAATGTGGTACCTTTGTTTCCCCATTGAGAAGTTATCATTTTTTACAGAATAACTCATTTATTTTCATAACATGAATGATATACAGAGGAATAAATGTGTTCCTTTTTTGACTATCGATATGTATGTTTAAGCATTCATCAATATGAACAGAGCATCGATTATGTACATTAAGATAGGCATTAAAATATAATTATGAGTAAGACATGGTTCCTGCCCTCAAGGAGCTCACAGTCTAGTGGACATGATGAAGAAATCAACATGTAGTCATAAAGATATAAGGTCCATAACAGAGGTAAGAAGATGCTTTGGTAGCACAAAAAGGGAGAGGGGTCTAACTGCAATGTGGCTGGATGCAGCTAGGTTTCTGTAGAGGAGGCCATACAGATGGTAAGACAAGGAAGAGTTTGTTAGGAAAACGATAAAACAGACTATTTTACATGTATTGCATTTGTCATAAACTCAAATGCATATGACAATTCACATAAGATGCCAACACATGTATTTTTACAATCCAGTATCTTTTTATAACTATGATAGCATGTTCATCCCTTCAGCAGAAATAAAGAGCTAGTAAAGAACATGAAATGCTAATTCGAATCTAAAAAATAAAATCTACATATTTAACAAATATTTATTCAATATGTATTATATGCAAGGATCTGAAACAGCTGCCACAGAATACAAAGATGAATAATTTGTGCTTCTGATACCAAGTTCTAAAAATGCTGATGAAATTAAAACAACAGGGAAGAAGAAAATATACAGCTTTCCTAGCTGGTAGAAAATCAGAACTTGATTCAAATGACTGATACAAAAGACTAAAATAAAATTGTTAACAATGCACCTATTCTTGGCTCATTTGCATTCCACTAGAGTTGTCAGAAGTTGAACATCTATAGTGACAGTTGTGCCTCTATTCTATATATTACTAACTTCAAGTTCAGTAAAAAATCTACTTGCATTTATTCGTGTTCCACATATACTAAATCATAATTTGGTCAGTTTCCTGTCTGGCCTCAATCTACTATTTCTACCTTCCACTGCTCTGGCTGGCTCACTGGCAACACACCTCGGGTGAAGGATATTCTCCAACCTGAATTGCTTTCCTACCTCCACCATCTAGACTTATTGCCATTAACATTTCACCACCTTTAAGACATTCTCTCCTACCATTGAGCACCTATGCCTTCTATTAATATAATCTTCTATAATTAGCACAGACCTTGGTTCTCAATACTGGCTGCAAAATGTAATCTCTAAGGCAGATTTTAAAATACTGACATCTGCCTGGTTCCCACACTCAGAGATTATAATTTAATTGGAATTAGATTCAGTCTGGGCATTGATATTTTTTAAATCTCCCCAGGTGGGTATAATATACAGCCAAGGTTGAGATCTATAGCCAGAGTTTAAAAAAAAAAAAAGGGGGGGGGGGGAAGAACCATACATATTAAAATCAGCTGGAGCCGGGACCAGTTTAGCTCAATGGATAGAGAGTCGGCTTGGGGACTGAAGGGTCCCGGGTTCGATTCTAGTCAAGGGCATGTACCTTGGTTGCGGGCATGTCCCCAGTAGGGGGTGTGCAAGAGGCAACTGATCGATGACTCTCTCTCATCGATGTTTCTAACTCTCTATCTCTCTCCCTTCCTCTCTGTACAAAATCAATTAAAAAAAATAAAAATTAAAAAAAAATAAAAAATCAGCTGGAGAACATTTTTAAACTATACCACAACCCATTACCCTCCACCTCGGTTGCCTGGCCTTTCATTCTAAAGGAGGAGAATAATCCAGATGCCAAGACAGAGAAAGGTATCTGTGCTTTGTTAGAATAGCCAGAGTAAATATGATCTGACTCTCTTTTGAAAGTCATTATTTTAGAATTTTATGTATTTGGCTGATATCCTCCAGATTACAAGTCGTATTCATCTTTGTATCTCTGGGAGTGCCTTGCATATACCAAATCCACAAAAATTAAGACTGCAAAGAAATTTATGATTACCTGTACAGTAAGTAATGCAGTTTGAAATTTGGTTTACATTAATTTCCAGGTTAGACCTGCCAACCAAGTAATACTATTTGAGCTACGTATGAAGAATAGGAAAAGTAAAGAACATTTATTACCGGCATGGCATTGCTTGGATCCTCCCCATACATAAACTGCACTTTCACTGTTATATTTCTGGCAGAACCTTGACGATTGGCAAAATTGAGGCTTTGAGGGTATACGTAGAGAAGATTTCTGTGAAGGCAATAGTATACAGAAAAATGAATACATATCTAAAAACAATATCAAATATGTCATAAAAAGATAGAATTATTAATATTTATTAGCCACTATGCTAAGTATTTTCACGTACAATGTTTTATTTGATCCTTAGAGTAATCATTCAAATAAATGTATCCCAATTTTGCAGACAAATTACGGCCCCAGAAAGTTAAGGAATTTTCATATACAACCAAGTATGTGGCAGAGATGAAATCAGAATACAGTTCAGACTTCTAAACACATGTTCTTTCACCTACAAGAGGCTTTTGGGAAATAAAGGAGTATGAGCTGAAACATTAAGAAATTAAAAGACAGTTCCAATATTCTCTTAAGTTCTCCACGCAAATATAAATAGGATGACGTTTTTAAATGCGGCTTTCATATAAATGTGATCAAAGATTTAAGAGGTATAATATTCAATATTATTGTTAAAAACATATATGACAATTATGGTAAGTATAATGAGCAGCAATAGGTAGTTACTATGAGATAATCACACATTATTCTGCATTTGATTTCATGTCCAGTTTATGATCTTGTATCTTACACAATTTTAACAGTTCCTGCTATAAACACAAAGGAGAAATAATTCGCCAAAAGAAAGAGCTAAAAAAAAAAAAAATTAGAGATACTTTATCTGAAGACTAATGATAACAGCTGATAAAACTTCAATAATAACAAAACCCTGCTAATGGACTGTTAGGGCAACAAAAACAGGTCTAAATTTTCTGGAAGGTGCTAAGGTAATATAAAAATTTTAAGTGAATACACCCTTTGATCCAACAAACCCACCTGTAGTCTAAGGAGAAAACTACACATGTGTACAATGAGTGTGTTCAAAGAAATTCACTATAACATTTCTTATAACAGGACATAGTTACAAATAATTGTAAAGAAACTAGAGGCTCAGTGCACAAATTCATGCATGGGTGGGGTCAGGCCAGCCCCATCCTTGGCTGACCTCCAGTCAAACTCCCAGTCAAGGAGACAAGAGGACAATCTGCATATTAGCCTTTTATTGTATAGGATATAATGCTCATCAGCCCTGGATAAATTAATACAGCATGACAATGTACAGTAGTATTTATTCATGTAGAAGGAGATATCCACCACGTTGGATGAAAAAATGCAGGTTCCAGAGCAGGATATAGCGGCATTACACTACTTGTAGAAATTTGGAGTGGGATTTACAGAAATGAGTAAAAAAGGGTATTTCTGAAATAGTGGTTAAAAGTGATGGGTCTAATTTTTTTTTAAATAATTTTATTTGAAAAATTTTTACAGTGAGAATATATGATCTTTATAATTAGAAGAAGCAATAAAGTAGTTTCCATGGTGGGAATATGGGTGTGTGTGACAATAAGCATGCAATCTGAAAATCACTAAAGAAATGAAGAAGAGTCAGTTGTGCTCAAAATAGTCAAAAGTGCCCTGGCAGGTTGCTCAGTTGGTTGGAGTGTCATCCCATACACCAAAATGTTAATAGAATTCAGGATTTTGTACTTTTTTTGTTGTTAATCCTCACTGGAGGGTATTTTTCCATTGATTTTTAGAGAGAATGGAGAGAAGAAGAGAGAGAGGGAGAGAAACATGGAATGGCTGCCTCCTGCATGCACCCTGACAAGGCCCTGACAAGGCCGGTATGGCGCCCTTGACCACAATCAAACCTGGGACCCCTCAGTTGAAGGGCTGATGCTCTATCCACTAAGCCAAACCATCCAGGGCAGGAATTTTGACTTTTTACAGGTTTTTGAAATATCTGAGTTTCCACAGTATTTTCAACATAAAGCATTTAACATTTCTTAATAGTGAAAGCAAGTAAGATAAATAAAATTATTCCTGGAAAAGTCACTCATCTTCTAGACCAGCACTATCCAATAAAATAGTCTAGGCCAGTGGTCGGCAAACTCATTAGTCAACAGAGCCAAATATCAACAGTACAATGACTGAAATTTTTTTTTGAGAGCCACATTTTTTTAAAAAAATATATTTTATTGATTTTTTACAGAGAGGAGGAAGGGAGAGAGATAGAGAGCCAGAAACGTCGATGAGAGAGAAACATCGACCAGTTGCCTCTTGCACACCCCCTACCGGAGATGTGCCCACAACCAACTTACATGCCCTTGCCCGGAATCGAACCTGGGACCTTTCAGTCCGCAGACCGACGCTCTACCACTGAGCCAAACTGGCTTCGGCAGAGAGCCACATTTTTTAAACTTAAACTTCTTTTAACGCCACTTCTTTAAAACAGACTCGCTCAGGCCGTGGTATTTTGTGGAAGAGCCACACTCAAGGGGCCAAAGAGCTGCAATGTGGCTCGTGAGCCGCAGTTTGCTGACCATGGATCTAGGAGACTATCAAGCACTTGTTGTGTGCCTGTTCTGAGATATCCTAAAAGATAAAATATACACCAGACTCAGTATCTATTTGGGGGACTTAAATTAATTTTACTACTTTCTTTTTCTTTTCTACATGTATAATTCACTATATTTGCACTAGACAATGCGAACAAAGAAAGGAAATGGGAGCTAATGAATAAATCTGGCATTATTCTTTAAGTTAATATAAACATTTCTACTTATACACGTTTTTCTCAGTTATTTTCAGATTCTTTCTACCAAATACATTAATTAAAAACCAAATTATCACATTTAAAAGGGGAAAATTTAACAGGATACTATATTCAAAAGATCCATAATGCCTCGTATTTTATTCGGAAGTTGTATCTCCAAAAGATTACACAACCTGAGGGAGGATAAGAGTCTTTGTTTTGCTTGGAATTCAAACAAGGCTTCTAAATGTACTAAATTTCTATGTTGCTAAAAATTTTGTATATTAGTTATTAGAAACTAGAAATCCTTAAATTGGGGCCTGATTTTGCTTAGTTCCTCTTATTTTCTTTGGCATAAAATTTTTAATTTTTATAACATTACTGGTTATATTTGATCAGGGTTCTATTTATATAGGCACGAGTTCAAACAAAGTTTATATTCTGCCTTTAATAATGTGTACTCAGGCAGGAGACACTGAAAGGTAAATAAAAAGCCATTTATAAAATTACTACTTTCATCACATTTCCCACGTTGACACTCTTACACTTGTAATTAGGCAAATTATTTAATTATACTCAATAATATGTCAAACTACTATTTCAAAAAATCCAAATATTTCTACCCCAAAACAATACATTCTAAAAACCAAGAATTTGTGACATTGATTCTAATGTACCTGTTAGTGATACAAAGGGAGGAAATGTATAAATTATGCAAAGGTTAATATTCTAGTACAATAACCCAAATGGAAGAAAATTCCTTCACACAACCTCTCTTTGGTATTAATGCTGATGCTTTCATGCACTGGATGGGGCAACCTTTCAAAAATATATATATTTATTGATTTTTTACAGAGAGAAAGAAGAGGCACAGAGAGTTAGAAACATCGATGAGAGAGAAACATCCATCAGCTGCCTACTGCACACCCTGCACTGGGGATGTGCCTGCAACATGCCCTGGAATCGAACCTGGGACCCTTCAGTCCACAGGCCAACGCTCTTTCCAGTGAGCCAAACCAGTTTCGGCATGGGGCTACTTTTTAAATTCCTTTCTCTAAAAAGAATGGAAAAATTCTCATGTTATGACTTTATAATTCTCTTATTAATTCAGCACATATTTATTATTTCTTCAAAAAAGTAAGGCTTTGTACTAACATGCTGTAAGGGATATATTAGTAAATTAAAAACAGATAGATCTTGCTAATAACAGCTTATAATACAATACAGATAAGAAGTTGGCCCATCTCCATTTCCCCTCAACTAGAAAGTAGATAAAATATCAGGGTCAATCAATAGTTTTAAGCCAGAAAAGTAGACCAGCTTAGTTAAGAAAAATTTCGAAATATGCCCTTCATGACCAATAATGACAACACTAACTTTTCCCTTTTAAAATAAGAGAGAGAAAATTCTAATTTATTCAATACTTCAACATATGCTTTTATAATTTCATAATTGTACCACTGGTAAAGGTTAAGATGAATATAAAGTATAAGGAATTTTTGTTTTGTTTTTCTTCTTCATTACTGGAAGTATTTGTGTATTTTGTTTAGTTGCATTCTTCATTCTCTTAACAAAAATATTTACATGATTCTGTATTGGTTACTTAGAAAAAGTATACACAGGCTAAACAAAAGACAATATAATTCCATGTGCTACTAAAGCCCAAGAGAACAAAACTCCAAAAATCTAGACTCTGGCAAAATTTCCCAACTTATTTCTTAACATGAGATTAGATCATATTCAACAATAGAATAATACAGTATGTACATAAATGTGTTGATTGTTTCTAACTACCAAAAAACAAACAAACATACAACAAAACCCTAATACACTGTGTAATGTTTACTAAGCACCAGGTATTGTTCTAAGTGCTTTAAAAACATCAATTTTTAATCTTCATACAATTCAATGAAGTAGATATTAACTTCACTTGACAGACAAGAAAACAGAGATACAGAAAACCCAAATAATCTGACCAAGAGTCACACAGCTGCAGGACAGCAGAGCATTCCAATTCAGCCAGTCTCTCTACATAATACTCAACCACTAGAGCATATACCTCTACTATAATTATTCTGTACCCAAAAGCCCTTATTTCTAAATTTCAAAAAAAGAGGTTCTCTATTTTATACCAGAAAGAGAGACATTTCTTAAGAGTAGAAATTTACAAATGATTCATTTTGTAAAGTGTTAACTTGACAATTTACAATTTAAACTAAAATTCATTATATTAAAGCTTTGTTCTCTTTGCAAACAAAGGCCTTCATGCAAAATTTCTTTTGGGTAGGACTGATTTTACAGAAACACACAGGTTAAAAACTGGGATATAATGACTAATATTTTGAGTGCTTCCTATTTGCCAGACACTGTCCTAAGTGCTTTACACATATTATTTCTTTTAATTCTCATAATTCTATAATTA